TTCCAAACAAATTAATACCGATCAATTCTGAAATGTAGACGATTGTGTTGGTTAAAAGTGTTGTAAAGGGATTCAAATAGCAAAATAAACAATGGTTGAAAAAGTTGAACATATAAAACAAATATAATGATATAGAATGGTATATAGTGTTCACTCAGAACTACCGCATGTTGATTATCCATGGAAATGAACGATAGTTAGGAATCACTTTGTGCAACACTTTGAAAACAAAATAATTTGGCAAAGAATACCAATCATTCAAAAGTCTGTAATAGTCGCTTAGCATGATAGCAAACCAAATGGGTTAGTGGTTGTGTTCAAATAAAAACATGAATAGCAGAATACTGCAAAAACCAAATGAAATGAACTCTGCGCGCACCCTTAAGTGAAGACGAAGCTCTCGTTTGAGAAGCGAAGTCAACGAATGCAAAGGGTAATGAAAATGAGTATATTTAACATAGAAGACCGGTTTTTACTCAAATGTTTCGGTCAATAGAACATTCCAAGACAGTTGAATCAAGTACATCACTAAAGAACAAAGCTCATCATTCATATATCAGTGAGGAAATTTCACGAGCGGAAGTATTAACATAAAACGCTCATATCCGAATCACTACAATTAATTCGATTTGAAAGTCAAACCGCAAAAGTATTTTTTAACTTATTTGCGCAACCCTGAGGTGTTAGGCCGTCTGTGTAATCATGAAGAGATCGGAATCATCGGAAATAAAAATCCCAAATACCCCCAATAAATGATACCAAGGGGTATAACTGATACATACTGTTTTACGTTTATGCAGACACACATCAACAACCTGCTTACTCTCAAAAGCCAGATAGGTCGACGTATTAAGACCCAACAAGCATTTCAGTTAATAAAAAAACGTTAATGTAAAACATGCATACAGTGAACACCTATAGAGCCACAAAAATGTTCTCACTTTGACTACATGTAGGTGTTTATTACAGAGAGGGTAAAATTATACAGAAGTTAGTAGAATATATGTGCGGAGGAACGATGTCCACTAGAGACATGTGTTCACTAGAGAAAGGTGTTCACTGAGACAGGTTTTACTATAGTGTATATATACTACCTCTCCAAAAAAGATTATCGGCGCAAACTTTGTCGTATTAAAATATATACTTTTGCAGATTTTTCATTAACTTATTTTCTAAATAAACGGATTTCAATAACAATAAATTTGCTTTTTAAATTCTCACGCGATATGTAAAACGTAGCATACCACCAAATAAATATGAATCAATTATTGATGCGCATAATACCTCTAATTAATAGTTCTAGTAATAACAATGTCACATATTGTTTAACATATTTATTGTAATAAAAAGGGCTTGAAGCCAATTACTTAATTGTTATTTTGTTTTGTCAGAAACACCGGCTTCTCACTAGTCTCTAGTTATGGTGCTTTTGAATACATTTTATAATATTTATTGAATGTGTATTAAATATGCATTGAGTCAATTGTTATCGTTGAGTTGTACGTATCAAAATATATTTAATTCTCATGAGAATTTTTTTTATTATTTTCTAAACAGGAAACCTTATACACAGCATTTGTTTAAGAACGGTTGTTAGTAGTTGGTCCTCTGAATATCGACGTGTGTCATGGAAAAAAAATCTTAAATTAATTGTATCGATGATCTAAAAAGTACAAGTAATAGGGATCTAGCATTTTAGTGAAACCATCCTAAAACAATTTCTGTCTTGTTGTATTTATATACAGGAACTATTTTCATATTTTAATCTCAATCTCCTTCTAAGGATTATTAACAAATTAGCCTTTCTGTCAGTTTCCCAAAACGGCCTTTATATATAATCCTAAATCATAATTGATAACGTACGCCTCATTGCAAATTCTTAAATGTAGTTGAAATATAGATGTATCCAGGCGCGTAACTAGGCATACGCGAGGGTACGCAGTTGCGCACCCTAAAAGTAAAGCAAAATAAAGCAAAACAATGGATACAATAAACATGTAAATAGTGCCCCATTGCAGAGTCTGATATCGCTTAGAAACCCAACTTAGAAATGTACACTTAGGAATATACCCACTTTGTGTTGATATAAAATAAAATTGACTGCTACATTTTCCATTGATATAATGTCTATCAATGGGAAATGAAGCAGTCAATTTTCGGGGTTATTTTGTTTTTCTATTGGTTTCTCATCATCTTTAATACATGTATATCAATGGGAAATAATGTAGCAGTCAATTTTTCGGGTTATTTTGTTTTTCTGTTGATTTTTCATCATCTTTAATACATGTATATCAATGGGAAATGTAGCAGTCAATTTTTCGGGTTATTTTGTTTTTCTGTTGATTTTTCATCATCCTTATATCAATGGGATATATAGCAGTCAATTTTTCGGGTTATTTTGTTTTTCTATTAGTTTCTCATCATCTTTAATACATGTATATCAATGGAAAAGGTAGCAGTCAATTTTTGTGGGTTATTTTGTTTTTCTGTTGATTTTTCATCATCCTTATATCATTGGGAAATATAGCAGTCAATTTTCGTGTTATTTTGTTTTTTATTGGTTTCTCATCATCTTTAATACATGTATATCAATGGGAAATGTAGCAGTCAATTTTTTCGGGTTATTTTGTTATCTGTTGATTTTTCATCATCTTAAATACATGTATATCAATGGGAAATATAGCAGTCAATTTTTCAGGTTATTCTGTTATTATGTTGATTTCTCATCATCTTTAGTCTACGTGGTTTAGAGATCAATGAAAGTATGATACTTGTGTGATACAACAATATATTGTATCCTGAAATTTAATGAAATCTATAGATGTAGTGATACAAATGAAACAGGATAAGTTCTTTGGCAATCGATTGATTTTATTGGAATATGACGAGCTTGAGATTGAGATAGATAATGCAATACTTTATAACCGACATGTGTTTTTGTTATCGACCTGTTGAATTTACTGGCACTAGAAATGTTGGCAAGATGGACCTCGGGGAAACAACAAGTGTTCCTTCTAAAGTGGAAAAAATATCAAATATTTGTAGAAAGATCGATTGAGGAAAGTTTAAAAGAAAATAAAAGTTAAATAAAAGTTATTCAGAAGGCTAATTAAACAGATGTTTGAGACGGCATTATTGTTAAAGGTATTGTTCTGTACAACTCAATAAAACCTGTTATTTGAATCCTATTATGTGATTTTTAATTTAACGTTTTTTTGAGTATTGGTCGAAGAAGAATACGTGCTTATTCACCTGTGTAAAAAGGTGTACTTAATAATCAGCCTGCGACAGTCCAGGTGCCAATGGACTCAAAGTCAAAATTAATTCAAATATATGTATTTACATAACAGTATTATATCTGTCTATGATGTACAGACATACTCTTTAGAGCTTTAAATTATACTTCGCGTTTCATCATTGTTATTATGAAGTCGATTATTTCGAATGTGATTTCTGATAGTGATAGTTCAATATCAAATGATAACGAACCCCTTATAATCAACAAAATGCAACTGACTCTACTCAGGGATCACTTTTACATAATTATTGTCTCCGATTTTGACTAGATTGTAAATCTTGTCGTTGTTCACATACTAGAAAGAATGGTATGAACGAACGTATGGTTGTAGTTATTGCTTATATTTATTTTATTAGGAATCACTTCTAATCACACTATAGAGGAGGGGCTTTAGTATAGGATTGTAGTCCATTGTCATAACTGTTAATGTTAAAATGCTCGCTTTGCTCTTTCTGTTAACATCGAAATTAAGATATATTTATCTTTTTTTATTTTTGTACTTGTAATTTCCCAATGTTGCGGCTAATGCCCGTGTTAGCCTTAAATAGTTTCGTATTAATTTAATGTAACCTAATATGAGGAAAGTCTATACACCGAATTTTAAAGCAAACAAATGAACGTGCATACTAATTTGATATCAAACTAAGACTCTATTAATTGGTAAACTGCTTTGTTTATATTTCATTCTGCTTTAGTAATCTGCGCACGGTCGTCTATTTAATCTCTAGAGATATTCCAATATATTACATTTTTATCATCTTGCTTTCCTTCCGCAGTCAAAAGTGATAATTTGTGATTATTTGAAAATGATATTGATATCATAAATACTTTTTAAAATCATTGTGTGGGATACGAATGGAAGCGAAAATTAGAAATGGCGAATTTTGGTGCTGAGTTTTCCTGCTTTAAGTTCATTAAACGTTTTATGGGCATTCCCCTCATTTAAATTTGAGTCATCTGCCTTGGGTGTCAGATACCTCCTTAAGACGTTGACCCTGAACAATAATTAACCTATCGAACGTATAAACCATAATAAAACTTTCACTATATTTACATTTTGGATTGTAGCCCGCAAACACAATAGGTTTAAGAAGTGTCAATTTCTGGTCAGAAATTTTTATGGCTATTTTGCCATAAGTGTTATTGATATTTATTGATGTTTGATGGATAATAATGGTAATCCTGCTATATTATTTACGCCTTATAAAGTACTACGACTTCTTCATTATCATAAATAAACCTATTCAATTTGTAGATTTTGATAAATTAAATGAATTAGCTTGAGAGACACGTGCCTTAATCCCAACATTAAATTCAATTAATATCAAATAAATGTAACGAACATTTTATTTTCATTTTTACAGATTTTGAGCCGATATGTGTTACTAATTTGCTTCGCTTCAAAAACATAATTTTGGCTAATTATATTAATTTGAATATTTTGATTTTAAACGTTAGCACAACTTGCTGGCGTTTCATACAATCCTTTATCTTTCTTGCTTATTGCAAATGCACTTGCTATAAAGTGGGCGGATGATCGCATTGCATTCTTTAATCCAATAATAATTAATATCTGCATTAGCTAAGAACTTAGCACATTCTAATTGGCGAGTAGTGAGCATGCGCAGTAAGACATCACCAGTTTCATATTCAACAAGCAAGTTTTGTATTGTTTCAAGCCTATATGTGAAATCCTTCCACCTGCTTTCAATAGACTCCTTCCCATCACTTTATCCCACTATAAAAACAATTCGAGCGGAGCAACAATCACTATCTATGACTTCACGACAAGAACGCAGACCAACGCACAACGCTACCAGCAAACCGCACAGAGATTAACAACCTTTAAAGATTAAAATCAGTCTGATTTACCGAAAAATAGTTAACCTTTAAAAAAGCTCTGAAAACAAGAAATAATGGAAGAGACGTCTCGTTTTGGAGGACTGCATCCTCAAATGGACAACATCGCAGTTCGAGCAGCCTGTACGATTCCTAAGGGTAGCACCACAGCCCCCTATCCTGGTCCTTGCACGATCGGACTTAGGACATCTGACCTAAGGGTTGTACATTACGTTATCGAGGTACGTATTCTTTTTCAAAGTTACCCCAAATGCATTTTTCTAATTTTTCGTTTTGTGTTGTAATTTTTGCTAAGTCACATCGTTGCGTTTTACATGCTCAAACTAAACTCATGGTTTATTCACAATTTATTTTGGCTTATGTGACCTACGTGCACGGTGGCCCAATACGCGCTCGAAAGTAATTATCTGGTAAATAACATGAGAAGTGTTGTTTTACTTCTGAATTGTTATTTCTTGCCTATATTCTTTACTTTACAAAGTGTATCAAATTTATCCAATTTGGTTAAAGTCAATGCCAAAGTTTGATAGCAGAAATGAATAAAAATATTGACATTTTAAGTTCTACTATAGTATCATGTTAACTGTAAACAAAACAAAAAACTATCTTTTAACGGTTTCACTATAAAAGTTGTTTTTGCAACTTCGATATTGTATTGAACAATATCTGTATAATACGTCTTGTTTCATTTTGGTTGGTAGTATATTATAGTGGCACGCGTTTTATATTTACTGAAAACCAGAAAAACAGGTCTATTGTTTGGACTAAACAAGAGGCGTTTGCAGCTCTTCAAAATGATATTTCCCCACCTACCCGGATACCAGGGTTACCTTTTGGGTCAACGTGAAATCAAAACCTTTACTTTTGAAATCTAGTCCTGATTTGCTATTTATTTGAAACTGAGAACAAATATAGACATGAATTGTTGTATTTTAAATGTTTCCTCTGAATGGAGCTCATTCAAGAGTCCTTGTTTAAAGAACAACTACTTCACAATTGCTTATTATGCGACAACCTTTAAATTGGACACATTGTCACAAAATATAAAAGTAATTACTATTTAATGTTCTTCATGCAAATAATCTTATCAAATAGAACATGAAATATAAACAAGTTCTGACATATGTTTCTTCTACTCTTTTTGTACTTCGGCACCTGTCCAAATGAAGAAGTTGACATATATATTTCTATCTGGAAGAAATAGTTTTGCAACGAGTGGCATGCAACAGGTAGCCAAACCATTAAGCCACTAGCCTTTACTCTGTATATTTATAAGGTTGAATTTGTTCGAACTCAAGTAATGATTGTGAATGTATCTGATAATAATCCGATCTAATTTGTTTGCAGGCTCGCTCGGTGAACGGTGAGATCCTAGCAGACGCAGAACGCACAAGAGATTGGATGCTATACGTTCTCCCGGCACGTGACAATTTGGAGCAAAATCTAGAGGCTGTCAAACATATCTCAGGTCACATATTATTCCGCGCAATAAGGGAGGTGAAAACAGGAGAGCTGCTTTCCGTATGGTATAGTGAAGAGCTTGCGCAAGAAATGGCAATTCCAAACCTACAGAAACAACACTCAACAGGTAAAGCATAATCTAATGTAATCTTTGCCTGATTTAACATTCGCTTAAAGTATGCGCATTTGTTGAGAGATCATTTCCATTCATGCAAGATTATTGTCCAGATAATTCAGTTCTCAGCTGAATTGATATTTTTAAAATGTGAATTTCTCAAAGGTGACAACGCTTGACAACGACATTAATTATGTAATTATGTATATAATGTAACGCTTGGCAACGAAATTATCATGTATTTTTATTTTATAATTTTAGATAACAGAAAGTTCAACTGTCTGAGCTGCGATAAAACATACGACTATCCAAACTCCTTGAGGGCTCATATACGATACAGATGCATAGCCCATAGTCAAATTCCAAAGATCCCAATGCAGCCAACTGTTCTAAAGACCCCAACCGCACATAATGATCACCTACGACGTATCGGGGTACTAGGCACAGATGGCAATACGCAACTAACAAAACCCGAACCTGTTTCTCCAAATAGTGTATCTTCAATGAGTCCAAATCACATGCCTTTGAACTTTAGTACGAAATCAGCATTCAAGCGCCTTAAAACTGAAGATGTGAAACTTGACCAGGACAGTTCGGTTAGTGACGCCAACAGAGCACCAATCGGAGGACCGCCAGGATCTACGCAGTCTGAACTCGAAGTACCGCATATGTCTCCTTTTGTGGAGCCCTTGTACAGATATTACTATTACTCATTGTATCCGCATCTTTATCAACGATACATGGTTGATCATTTTGAGGCAAATAAGCAGACTCGAGGACGGCCCGTATATCGTCCATGTAAGAACGACAATTTTCCGACGATGCCAACGCCTGCGGTTGGAATGCGAGATGAAGATCAATTTATGGCCGACAGACAGATTCCTGAAGCCAACGCGTCATTCTCGCAGGATGCTGTGACATTACCATATCGCTTTCCTTTGCCATCAGATAAACACGAGCCTTTAGATCTTCTGCCTCGTTCTTTGTACGTCAGCAAATCCCGTAAAGGACATTTATGCATTTACTGCGGCAAATTATACTCGAGGAAATATGGACTAAAAATTCATTTGCGTACACACACCGGATACAAACCTTTGAAATGCAAAGTTTGTTTCCGTCCTTTTGGTGATCCTAGCAACCTAAATAAGCATATAAGGTTACATGCAGAGGGAGACACCCCTTACAGGTGTGATCACTGCGGAAAAGTTCTCGTCCGTAGACGGGACCTTGAACGCCACATCAAATCTCGTCATCCAGACGCTAACTTTATTTCCGAAGACGTTAACTCAAAAGGTGTATACAATGTATCAAATGCAACTGATGACAATACTGCTGTCAATAAAATTAGCATTTGTGAGAACACTTTTGGTATTGACATTGAAGGAGATGATAGGGACGCTGAAATAGAAGTTGTATAAAAGTTTAAAATAACAATCTGTATATACTTTGTTATATTGTATTTTAAATATGTGATAAATAAAACGTCAGAGAACGGGACCAAAGAGTGCAATACTAGTCTACTTTAAAATAATCAGTCGCAGAAATTATTGTAAGTTCTTTTATCGTTGCTTTCATTGTACCAGTCTTATATCTGTAAATATGAAAATGTAGTGATATTGATAAATAATGTATTTGTTCAATAAATTAGCAGATGAGAATAAATTTAACTTTGAATATAAAACACAAAGAGTTATTATTCTGTTCCATTCCTTTAACACCAGGGGTTGTTGACAAGTTGTTCCAAAATAATGATATCAATACTCTACATTAATAAATAATGCATTTATTCAATAACTGAAAAAAAATTAAGTTTTATATAAACATGCAGTCAGTTTTACTATTCCATTCCCATTCCTTTAACACCAGGGGTAGTTGACGGGCTATTTCAAATAATGATATCGATACTGTTACACTAATAAATAATGCAATTATATTATATATTCAATAGAAATTGAAAAGGCAGATGGAAGTTTAATTTTGCATTTAAACCTAAAGTTATTTTTACTGTCCTTCTGTCATTCCATAAACCCCAGAGGTAAAATATTGGCATTGACTTGTGATAAATATCTTGGCTCATATCCTGACATCTATATTTGAATACATCTCTTATAGATATCTTATTATCTTGGCATCGTGTCAAATAAGCTTATACATATTAAATAGATGTCATCCATGAATGCTACTTTCAGATCACGTATTCAATTCAAATATCAAACTGGCAGTCTGTGTTGTTTGTTTGTAATGTGAGGCACCAAATGTCTGACTTATCCAAGACTAACATATCAGTATGTTTGTCTCAGGATTATTGTATGCTAATATCGATATATTCATCATTTTTTCTATTAAAGTAAAGAATATAAGACTGTGATCTACAGACCCTTGTATTGCTACATCGATCTCTAAACAAATTTATTCTAAGTTAAATCCAAATTTAACTGTGGTCTTTCCCTCAAGTTATTGACATTTAATCCTTAAATAAGTACTTTAATATCCATCCTAATATAATGAAACACACTCTTAGCACCGGGCAACTTGCCGATTGCAGTCAAATGGAAATAAATAATTTGAAACTAAATGTAAACATAGGCGTTGTCTCATTAATGTTTTTTATTCAATGGACTGGAGGTTACTCGCGATCAGCTTGAATGCCCCATGATCGCATAAATGAGGACGCATTCAGCAAATAAACTAACGTGTTAAATATACAGCATAAGAAGTGTTTAACACTATTTGTAATCATAAACTCGGGATCTTATGAACATTAAATGTGATACGGGCTTATATTCCAAATACCGAACTCGTGAACATATATATTCAACAGAGAGGAACTCTGTTTTTGTGATTGGCACTGATATATATATACACCTGATAGTCTAAGAGGATATAGCGATTAGAAGGTATATACCGGAGGAACTGAAAATATTGGAAGTATTGTATTGAAATATAGTGCAATATTCTGGTAAGTAAAAATGGATTTTTATTTTATTCAAACGGTTTTTACTCGGGTATAAGTAGAACACGCGTATTTTTTATACATGTATGTTTTGTTCCCTTTTCTTGACATTGATTCAAGTCTCAGTTCAGAAGAACAGCCATAATGATTTTTTCTGTATCATTTTCTTTCAACTCAGAGGTTATAGTATATAACATTATTTGAAGCTGTCAAATGTTCTATTATCTGTTAGGCTAAATGACTTAATGTTTGGCTTCATTTCCCAAGAATGGTTTCCATAGCAACGAAATAAAGCTGGAGTCATCGTGCCCTAATTTCAACGATCATACACAAGGTTATAGCAGTCTTCCTCTCAGGAAGCCATGTGTTGAGATATTCATCTGTATGTCTCTACTAATATAACCAAAATCGGATGTTAAGTAGTTATAGTGAGCAAGAGGTCTAAGAAGTCACAGATCCATATGAAGGACATTCTGAAGATAACACGCTACCTTGTTAAAGGAGTTTGATATTTTGGCAGGTACATTATCAGCTCTAGAGGGACATGTGTTCCAGATGTAATTGTATGATACTCAATAATGTTCATGTCATGTTAATGATATTATTGCAGTGGGTATGTTTACAAGCATATTCAATATCGCCTTTGACGATTTCATCTTCAATCATACAAAGGAATCATATATGGATGGCCCCCATGGATTATTAAATGGATGGGGGAACTGGATGGATAAATATATAGACTGTTTGTTCCATTGCTGCTAATTAATATGCCGTAAATCAATTTGGATATCAAGAACACTCACATCTGTTTTTCTAGGGTATCTTTTCGTACTTCATTAATCAATAACAATATTGTATGATTTCCATTTGGTGGCTTTCTTTTATGATAGCCAGCCCCATCGTATTCCAGCATTATAATGAGAACCTCAAATCAATGAGAGATTCGGAGAGAAAATATAGTTTTTCATGATTATACTTCGGCATGGTCTTCTCACATAACTTCTGAAATGGAGCAGATATGCTGATAGCATGGTTGTCAGATTCTCGATGTAGTTATGTATCAGGAACCACAGCTGGTTCGATCTATGTTTATTTATCACTCAGTTCCATGTGATGGCTTCACCGGTTCCTATCTGATATCTGAGATTTCACTAGTCTTAGCATAGACCAGCATATGACTTATGAGGTTACACCGTTCTTATATTATGTCGCATGTTTTTTGTATGACTGCTTCCTGGTGTGGGTTTCAGATCTACTATTTTTTCTTACATGTTTAAGTGGTTAAAATTATTTTAATATTTGAGATGGAATTAGGATATGTCAGATTTCCGGTTTTGGCGGGTGTCGTATCTGCTATTTCTATGATTTACTGGTTGAATTTATTTTAATGCCGCTGAACCGAAATTTGCTTCTATTTTCCAGTGTAATCTCAGCAGAATGGAAAATGTTACATAAACAGTAAGGAATCTTTGGAAATACTAAAACGAAATGTCTTTTTCTGAGAAAGGATGACAAAGGGGATTAACCGACTCAGATGGATGTTTCACCTTGGTGTTTTTATCATCATATGTAGTGTTACATGTAGTGCAGTAGCCAACGATGACCTAGGTATGTATACATGACCCATTTTGCGTAGTCTTGCCTCAAGACTGTGTACCCCCCCCCTGTGTATTTAACCTCTTCAATTCACACACATTGAAAGTGAAGTACAGGGGGTGGAGGGAGGTAAACAGTCTTGAAAAAAGACTACATTTTGCATGAAGTGCTTACCATCATAACCGATAGTGATTGAGAATTTTTTACTGGAAAATATACCTTATGATCCCCATTACTCTTCTATGAGGTGCATTCTTTGGAATGGTGAAATAACATGGCCTAGTCAGAAGTCAAGTCTGAGCCCCCCCCCCTCAAATAACTTAAAGCCTTCATAAGGAGGTGAGGCATGCAGGAGAGGGAGTTTTAAGGGCTTGGTACAAGGAAAACTACAGCAATACCATCAAAATTATGTAATTCGTGGCAATAGGCATTATATTACCTGAACTTAATGTTAAACTTGATATTTGGAATTGTAATATTGTGGTGCATTGTATCGTGTTTTTTTTGTTTTGGTAACTTAAATGTGTTGAAAATTGTGTTTATTGTGTGTCAAGTTGTTCTTTGTGTCAATATCTCAAACAAATATGTTTTAGCCCAATTAGAATGAATATATACATATGTACTGCATATATGTTGCTCTCTCATAGACAGATTTGAATTTCATCCAATTGCATCGTAATTGTTAAGGAGACGCCCATGTATTCTTGCCTGCGGGACTCATGAATGCATGATATTAATTAGTAAGTTATTCCTGAAATCTAACTCGTCCTCGTCCACATACTTTGTAATGTAGTTCTATACTTTATAGTTTCATTAGAATTCATATCCTTCAAAACACAGTGATACATTCATACTAGACCGAATTTCGTTTTCGACTATTGTTAGGACTGACGTCAAATGTCTGAATGTACAAATGCAATTACGATTTCTTGTTTCACGCCTTTCGATTCAAAGAAAATGAAGTCTGTGGGTGTAATTGTTTTCGTTCACGTATTTTATAATATACAGGCTGGTCAAATAAAAATGGGACCATTACGTATATTCTCTTCAAAAGAGCAATGTGAAGCAAATATCGTAACAATTGGGGTGTAAAAAGTTTGAAAATTTCTGTGCATGTATGTAAAATATTTAATAAAGAAACGCTCTTTGTTTCTCCTTATTAACCCCTCATTTTACTCATATCTCACCAAAGTATCACTGTTATTTTCTAGCCTGGACATCGTTCTTTATGTTAAGAATAAGATTGTTACAACGTGTAAAAATTGTTCCAAAAAGCCTGAAAATCAGGGGTTTTGTGTGCAAAAAATAGAACTATTTTGTGAAGCCAAGTTGATTATGATTTTATCAAAACAAAATGTGGTTAGAATGATTTTAGAAATGTTTTAGGAATGCATATAAAGTAATGAGTTTTCTGAGATTGAGAGCAATTACCTTATTAAATTCCGCATACTTTGGTTTATCTCTTCGATCCTAAATACTTTTTAAGAATGATACAAGGTGTTTCATTTTATTGCCCACCCTGTAGTATCACAAATTAGATGAAGTTCATTGAAACTTGAAACATATACGTAAGATAAACTGATTCTAGGTAATGTGCTTCTGATAAATTCAAAGCAATGTCAGAGAATCATACTAAATATATCAAAGACAGTTCACTAAAAGCTGGTAAATACCAATGGCTAGAAGCATGATATGACTAAACTGCTGTCGTGAATGTATCAATGAAGAATAACATTTTATATTTGAAGAATACAATACAATGTACATGCATGTTCCATTTCTATTTGTTTGAGTTGTACAATCAAATAACACAACAATATTGCCTTTTCAATGACAAAACGAAAATATTTGGCATTTAAATGTTCACAAACCGCCAAAAATCATAAGAACCTCTATAAAACGTCAACGTTAACACGATGTAGACAAAACACATGTTTACAAACTAAATCTAGATGTCAGTAATAAGTGGTGAAAGGCTAACATTACAAATACGATCCAAATTCAGATCCCCCGAGGCAAGATATAAAAATATCACAGATTTCATGTTGATATACGATTCCTGTTATCAGGTTGAGAAAGGGATGGGCTGATATTCTGTCAGACTAACTGTGCTCTGATCGACTTTAAAAACTGCTAAGAAATAACGTCTATGATATACAAGGTTCACGAAGCAGTGTACACCTGTCAGGTTATTTTGATCTTCACAGGTAAGTAAATCCAGCCATAAAAACCCGTACGTGGAATTCGTATATATCTCGTCCTGGAACACGACCACATTACTGCATATTATTGGGTCTATTCCATCCAATTAAAATATTTACGTGTACACGTCACGGTCGTATTTAAAGTGTGATACCAACGTGACATATATAAAATACACGATTTTTCTTGGACTGTTTCTACTGATTTCTCTTTCAATCCGACTTGTGTACCATTGGTGTTCAAGCATCAGGTATATTGAGATACTTACTTAAATAGTAATATAGAAAAGTATGACATTCTGCACTCGATGTACAGCTATACATGTTCAACAAGAGCCCATCGCGTTACAACAAAGATCTCAACAGGATACTGGTAGTTATAACATTTTCACATTACATCTACTGAGATTGGTAAATTTTCTTGTCTACAATATGCACCAGAATTTCGACATTTTATTAAATCATCAAAACAATGATACGGTCGAAAAGAAAGTAACTATCGTGTCGCAAAGTGTGATGAACATAATATCTTATGTGGAGTTAGAGTCGTGTGTTATACCGGTGGCTCCCTAATATCAAGATGTTCATATCGAAGAAGTACAACATTTAACATACTATCAACGTTTTCCTACGGAAGGCTATATTGTTTTTGTTAGTATGTTTGTCACTCTTGTGCCTGTATACGATGCACAGTGATATTCATATTCGTCTCTGCGATTGTAAAATCTCATCTGAGATCAAGTTTATAGCTTAAACGCGTTAAGGGTTTAATTTTTTGTTTCTTTAAACGTTAGTCAGACTGTAAATTCAGGTTCACACTCCATACATGGATATCTTCAAGTTTTGTTTTGTTTACTTAGAGATCAAGACTAGTCTGACAAAGCCCATTTCATCGATTTAACATGTTCTGTGTTTACACCAGGCGACAAAATAGTTGCAGGAGTTACGAATACTAAAAACGAACGACCTCTTTATAAAGCTTTGCAAACTCCTAAGGCCCTAAGCTTTGGTCCACGAGGTTTCAGCTTCCAAGCTTCGAAGAGTTATGATTATACTGTCATCTCACCCCATGCATCTCAGTGACAGAAATGCCTATTTTAAAACTTTGGTGTTATTTCAATACATTGTCTTATCTCAAAATGATGAATACCCGAAATGCCAGTATATGCCTAAAAAATAAGTAAATTATTTTATATGATTCAAGGATCTTTGCAAAAATTTATCTAAACGACAAACTGAAAAGGTACATAAGTTATTAACGCGAACATTATGATTCTCTCCCTGCAGTTATTGTCATTTTTATTTTCTACTTCCTTCTAGTAGGTATTGCCTTTAACCATGGGCAGTTTTAAATGGTTTATCGTTACCCATTGTATTCGTTTGACTTTAATTATTAACAGATAACTTCATCTTTAAAACTAAACTCTTTTCTCATGGTACTGCAAATATCATCTTGTGCTGAATTAAAGCTTTGTCCACCCACTTCCCCTGATCATTAGACTACATGTAGTTTACGTTCACTCATATGGAGATACCCTATACTTACAGGAGAGCAACCAGAATACAACGCCACATATAAAGTTAGGTACGTTAAAGCAAACGGCCGAAATGTTGCACGAGGGTGTGTATCAACCTTTCTGGAGACACTGAAGATTCAACTGAATACATATCGACAGGATATACAGAGGGGTGCTGGTCCATCAGATGATAATAGAGACGCTTGCAATAATACCCAAATCATATTGGATGATTTTTCAGTGTCAAAAGAAGCAAATGTAAGTGGATACCATGTTACAGAGTCACCAATAAAATGCTAAAGGCCATAGGCATTTAAATTTACCTCTTCTTTAAACAAAACCTATTAGGCATAAAGAGTGCTTTTAGGAGCAAATTTTAAATAAAAAACTTTCTTTTATCTATTACCTTGGCTGTTTTAAGAACACAATTTTAACCAGTTACTCAGATGCGAGTAGGTAGTTACCAGTTTCGCCATCAAACTTTATTTTATATCTAAAAAGTTTCTTATGTACATAATATCTGCCTATTGTTGAAAATTAATTTACCAAACATGCTTTTTGTACTTAAAACAAATTATCTTCAAAGTGGTGTCGATTGAGCAGCGATGATGGTGCTACTGGAACAACTGACTTTACTGATCATGCTTCGCACCAAATTATTATGATGGTGAGGAAGTAACGCGCATTAATTTCCCCAACCACTGATAACATGTATTTTGGTTTATCTTCAGAAATATATAGAAATAACTGGGAATGTTATTTACAAACTCAAGGAGGTGAAAGCGGAAGATGTTGGTGATGAAATGCTATTACGTGATTGTGATGCTCTATTCCTTAGAGGACTAGGAAAGAATAATGTAGCGGGAGCATCACTGAACCCGCCTGGACGATGTGGAAGATTAAACATAAATGGGGAATTTAATTTGGAGGAGACTGGGTGGCAGTGCCCTACAAGATATACGTATAATTCGAATTATCACATATGTGAACCAGGTAAATGTTTGTTATTATATGCATGCATTGTTTGAGGTTAATGATTTGCATGATAAAGCATGACTTTCAATCTTTAACTAGATTAGTGATACGTTAGAAATCATTATGTACAAAGCATGCTGTACAATTTTACCTTTTTATCTATACTTTTGCACTAAAGCTCTCAGAAAAAAGAAACAACTTTTGAAATTTGATAACGTTGTAAAGGAGTTGTTTATTTTACAGTTTTAGACCCTGACGATTCTAAAACAACTCAAAACATTCCCTCCCAAACTCATACCTCTATTCATAGAACCTCAAATCCCAGTACAACTGACCCATCTTCCAAAGTAACACTTCCTGACCATACCCCTATTTTTCCTAATTCAATAACAATGATTACATCTGCAAAACCTTCGATGACCATGACAACACCAAAACAAAGTACAACAATTACCACAGCACCAGAACAAACTGCAATATCCAATACAGCAAAACAAAGTACAACAATTGTCAATACCCCAGAACAAACTACAATGACCACGGCAGTAGAAAAAACTACAATGATCACGATACCAGGAAAAACTACAATGGCCACGACACCAGAACAAAGTACAATGACCACGATACCAGAACAAACTTCAATGACCACGATACCAGAACAAACATCAATGTCCACGATACTAGAACAAATTTCAATGACAACGATACCAGAACAAACTACAATGACCACGATACCAGAACAAACTACAATGACCACGATACCAGAACAAACTTCAATGACCACGATACCAGAACAAACTTCAATGACCATGATACCAGAACAAACTGAAGTGACCACGATACCAGAACAAACTACAATGACCACGATACCAGAACAAATGTCAATGACCACGATGCCAGAACAAACTTCAATGACCATGATACCAGAACAAACTGAAGTGACCACGATACCAGAACAAACTACAATGACTACAACTCCAGAACAAACTAAAACCTACACCACACCAGTGCAAACTACTATTGCCAAATCAATAGGACATACCACAATCACAACAATGCCAGAACATTCTACAAAGACCATAAAACCGGAACAAACTAAAATATTAACAACACCCGAACAAACAACAATGACGACCACAACCATAGCACAAACTACAATGCAATCGACTCTAGAACAAATTACAGAAACCACTACGCAAGAGCAAATTACCAAGACTACAACCCCAGTACAAATAACAAATATCACAACACATGAGCAAACCGAAATAACAACATTCCAAGATAAAACTTCAATTGCCACAACCCAAGAACAAACAACAATACCAGAACAAACTTTAATGACCACTACCTTGAGACAAACTACAAAGGGCCCAAAACCAGAACAAACTGCAATGACCACATCCCCAGAACAGATTACAATGAGCACAACACCGGAAGAAACTATTAAAACCACTAACCCAGAAGAAACTAAAATTACCACACCCCCAAAACAAAGAACTATAATCACAACACCTGGACAAACCACATTGACAACAACACAAGAACAAATAACAATTGTCACAACCCCAGAACAAACGACAAATATTGCAACACAAGAACAAACTACACTGGCAACAACACCAGAAGAAACTACAATGACAACATCCCTAGATAAAAGTGCCACAACAGAAGATCGAATTACAATAACCACAACACCAGAACAAATTACAATGAAAATAAGACCAGAACAAACTATAATGACAACAGTCAAAGATCAAAATACAGACACCAAAACTCCAGATCAAACTACAATGTCAACAACAGGAGAACAAGTTACAATGACAACATCCCAAGATCAACATACAGAGACCACAACCCCAGAAAAAACTATGATGACAACTACCCAAGGTCAAATTTCAATAACAACAACACCAGAACAAAGTACACTGACAATTAGATCAACATCCCAGGATAAAACTACAATGACAACATCCCAAGATCAAACTACAAGTGCTACCACCCCACAACAAACTACAATAAGACCAGAACAAACTACAATTACAACATCCCATGCACAAACTACAATGACAACAATACCAGAACAAACTACAATGACAACAACAGAGACAACAGCCCCAGAACGAAATACTGTGACAACATTCAACGGTCAAAGTACAATGACTACAACACAAGAACAAACTACAATGAAAACATCCCAAGATCGATCTACAAAATCCACAGCATCAAAACAAACAACAAAGACAATAACCCCAAAACAAACTGCAATGACAACATCTAAAGAGCAAAGTACAATGACAAAAATACAAGAACAATCTACAGAAACCTCAACATCAGAACAAACTACAATGAAAACACCTCAAGATCAATCTACAGAAACCTCAACACCAGAACAAACTACAATGACAACAACGCCAGAGCAAACTACAATGCCAACATCCCAAGATCAAACTACAATGACAACAACAGAACAAACTACAATGTCAACATCCCAAGATCAAACTACAATGACAACAATGCCAGAACAAACTACAGTGCCAATATCCAAAGATCAAACTACAATGACAACACCAGAACAAACTACAATGACAACATCCGCAGAACAAACTACAATGACAACATCCCCAGAACAAACTATGACAACATCCGCAGAACAAACTACTATGACAACAACGCCAGAGCAAACTACAATGCCAATAACCAAAGATCTGACTACAATGACAACACCAGAACAAACTACAATGACAACATCCGCAGAACAAGCTACAATTACAACAACACCAGAACAAACTACAATGACAACATCCTCAGAACAAATTACTATGACAACAACGCCAGAGCAAACTACAATGCCAATATCCAAAGATCTGACTACAATGACAACACCAGAACAAACTACAATGACAACATCCGCAGAACAAACTACAATGACAACATCCTCAGAACAAACTACAATGACAACATCCTCAGAACAAACTACAATGAAAACAACACCAGAACAAACTACAATGACAATATCCAAAGATCAAACTACAATGTCAACACCAGAACAAACTACAATGACTACAACCCCAGAACAAACTACAATGACAACATCCCAAGAACAAACTACAATTACAACAATACCAGAACAAACTACAATGACAACATCCTCAGAACACACTACTATGACAACAACGCCAGAGCAAACTACAATGCCAATATCCAAAGATCTGACTACAATGACAACACCAGAACAAACTACAATGACAACATCCGCAGAACAAACTACAATGAAAACAACACCAGAACAAACTACAATGACAACATCCTCAGAACAAACTACAAAGAAAACAACACCAGAACAAACTACAATGACAACATCCAAAGATCAAACTACAATGACAACACCAGAACAAACTACAACGACTACAACCCCACAACAAACTACAATGACAACATCCCAAGGTCAAACTACAATGACAACATCCAAAGATCAAACTACAATGACAACACGAGAACAAACTACAATGACTACAACCCCAGAACAAACTACAATGACAACATCCCAAGAACAAACGACAATTACAACAGCACCAGAACAAACTACAATGACAACGACCTCAGAACAAACTACTATGACAACAACGCCAGAGCAAACTACAATGCCAATAGTCAAAGATCTGACTACAATGACAACACCAGAACAAACTACAATGACAACATCCGCAGAACAAACTACAATTACAACAACACCAGAACAAACTACAATGACAACATCCTCAGAACAAAGTATTATGGCAACAACGCCAGAGCAAACTACAATGCCAATATCCAAAGATCTGACTACAATGACAACACTAGAACAAACTACAATGACAACATCCGCAGAACAAACTACAATGAAAACAACACCAGAACAAACTACAATGACAACATCCAAAGATCAAACTACAATGACAACACCAGAAAAAACTACAACAACGCCAGAACAAACTACAATGACAACATCCAAAGATCAAACTACAATGACAACACCAGAACAAACTACAATGACTACAACCCCAGAACAAACTACAATGACAACATCCAAAGATCAAACTACAATGACAACACCAGAACAAACTACAATGACTACAACCCCAGAACAAACTACAATGACAACATCCCAAGAACAAACTACAATTACAACAGCACCAGAACAAACTACAATGACAACATCCGCAGAACAAACTACAATGAAAACAACACCAGAACAAACTACAATGACAACATCCAAAGATCAAACTACAATGACAACACCAGAAAAAACTACAACAACGCCAGAACAAACTACAATGACAACATCCAAAGATCAAACTACAATGACAACACCAGAACAAACTACAATGACTACAACCCCAGAACAAACTACAATGACAACATCCAAAGATCAAACTACAATGACAACACCAGAACAAACTACAATGACTACAACCCCAGAACAAACTACAATGACAACATCCAAAGATCAAACTACAATGACAACACCAGAACAAACTACAATGACTACAACCCCAGAACAAACTACAATGACAACATCCAAAGATCAAACTACAATGACAACACCAGAAGAAACTACAATGACAACACCAGAACAAACTACAATGACAACACCAGAACAAACTACAATGACTACAACCCCAGAACAAACTACAATGACAACATCCCAAGAACAAACTACAATAACAACATCCCAAGGTCAAACTACTATGATAATAACGCCAGAGCAAACTACACTGATAACAAAACCAGAACAAACTGCAATGGCAACATCCCAAGATCAAACTACTATGATAATAATGCCAGAGCAAACTACACTGACAACAAAACCAGAACAAACTGCAATGGCAAAATCCCAATATCAAACTACAATGTCAACATCCAAAGATCAAACTACAATGACAACACCAGAACAAACTACAATGACAGTATCCCATGAACAAACTACTATGACAACAACGCCAGAGCAAACTACAATGCCAATATCCAAAGATCAAACTACAATGAGAACACCAGAACAAACTACAATGACTACAACCCCAGAACAAACTACAATGACAACATCCCAAGAACAAACTACAATTACAACAGCACCAGAACAAACTACAATGACAACATCCTCAGAACAAACTACTATGACAACAACGCCAGAGCAAACTACAATGCCAATAGTCAAAGATCTGACTACAATGACAACACCAGAACAAACTACAATGACAACATCCAAAGATCAAACTACAATGACAACACCAGAACAAACTACAATAACAACATCCCAAGATCAAACTACAATGACAACAATGCCAGAACAAACTACAATGCCAATAGTCAAAGATCTGACTACAATGACAACACCAGAACAAACTACAATGACAACATCCAAAGATCAAACTACAATGACAACATCCCTAGATCAAACTGTGATGTCAACAACAACAGAAGATATTGCAATGACAACATCCCAAAATCAATCTTCAATGACAACAACACCAGAACAAACCACACTTACAATAAGAACAGAACAAACTACAATTACAACATCTCATGAACAAAATACAATGACAACAATACAAGAACAAACTACAATGACAACATCCAAAGATCAAACTACAAGTGCTACTACCCCACAACAAACTATACTTACAATGAGACCAGAACAAACTACAATGACAACAATACAAGATCAAACTACAAGTGCTACTACCCCACAACAAACTATACTTACAATAAGACCAGAACAAACTACAATTACAACATCCCATGAGCAAACTACAATGACAACAATACCAGAACAAACTGCAATGTCAACATCCCCAGAACAAACTACAATGACAACATCCCAAACTATTATTCCCACAACACCTGGACAAACCCTATTGACCACTACACAAGGAAAAACTACAATTCCCAAGACCCCAGAACACACTACAATAACAACATCCCAAGATCAAACTACACTTGCTACAACCCCAGAACAGACAACAATGACAACATTACCTGAACAAACTATAATGACTACATCCCAAGATCAATCTATGGAGACCACAACACCAGAACAAACTGCACTCTTCCGAACCCTAAAACAAACTACTTCATCCCTTCCTTTCAAAACCACCATGGGAATTATGAGTCCCTACACAAGTGCATCACCTACAAGGTCCCAATCAAATAGGTGGACAACTGAAAGGGTCCCTGGAACTACCTGTGAGATTTTGTTTTGAATATTTTGGGCAAATGGCTTATAAACAGGCTAATTTTCTACCAGGGATGTAGGTCTATTGGTCTAAAGAAATCTATACCCCTAAACTTTGACTCGACATACGCATGTTGGAATACTTTATTTTTCATACAATAGGCACATTTAACAAAAAGAATTGAAAAATTCTAAAATAAAGGGGAAGTGCTTACATAATATATGTTGTTACTGTGGCTTTAATCCATGTGTAGCTTTATTAAACACAAATGAGACAAGCTTTGAAAAATGAAATATTTCTCTGTGTGGTACTATTCAACGCATATTTGTAATGAGATCTCTGACATGTCTGGTAGAGTACTGTTAAAGGTTGCTTCACACTCTATCTTGAGGAACAGGGTGACACAAAAATGCCACCCACATTTATGTTGCATAACTTTTTTTGCCTGTATGATTTCTGACTTGTTCATTTGCACAGTAAAACTAGACTCTATGGACCATCTCCACAAGAAGTTTCAGATGACTTACTCATCTAGGTGCACTTCTATGAGCATTACAAGATGAACCTAGTCAACTGAAACTTCTTGTAGAGTTGTTATACACATATCTTGTGAAGGACCTAAAGAAAAAGTTGGAATTCATGCAGACAAAAAATTATGTTACATTTGGGTTGCATTATTTGTATTACTCTACATCCAAATGCCAGTGGGTTCTACAGGAGCTTTTTGGTGGGTTTGGGTTAGTTTTAAAGCTTTTATCTGTGATAACAACAATATCATGTTATGAAATGTATCACCTGATGAAAGTACTGTTATGTAAACGAAGTGAAATATTGAATGAAAATAAATAAATAAAACAAGAAAAATGCCAACTGATAAGATATTATTTTAGTGTAAGATATTTAACAGTTAAAGTATAGCTTTCTAATATATGTTTTTGTATTATTTGTATAAAACCGTTGTGTACTAATCAATGTATTATGTTTACTGTATGAATAAGGGGCCCTTCTTTTGCTATTGGTTTGTTTTACCCTCTCATTTCAACATTGTCTCCAAACAATACAATTATTGTCTGGACTGTGAAATTAACCATCAATGATATTATTAAACTGATTGGATTGTACTTACAGTATTTAGTACTACTACTTATTGTTAAACCAAAAAAATATTACATTATCCACACCAAAAATGTAAAGAAGTATTTGCAAACCATATCCATGTTTGTTAACATGAATACATGAATATGATACTTAAACAATAAAAAATATGATACTAGTGATTTGTTTGCACCATTGGTGAGAGTGAAAAGGTAGCAATTTTAAAAGTTCTGACTCAGCACTTTTCTGACTCAGCACAATCCAATGTTAAATGAAATTAAACGCTAGAATATTTTCCACATGGGCCTGATTTGAGAATGAACAAAACAAGCATTGCTTTTGTTGAATGTTATTGCACTGCACTAAGTTACTTTGGCTTTGGGTTGCCTCGCTATTTCTTTCTCTTTGTCTATGTGTGTCTCTTACTTATCTGTTTACAGAACTTCCACCCATCTTTTTATCAGATGACCTGCCAGCCACGAGTTGTGAAGATGCAGGATGTGGTGCAGATGTGAATCTAACCGTCGTACCTGCTGACTTGTTGGGAAAATTGAACCGTAAATTAGGAGTAAAATGGTGCAGGTAAGTAGTAAGATTTTAAAAGGCAATATTTCTGATCATGAAAAGGTGAATAATCATATTAAAATATTGCTGCATTTTACGTCTTCTGATCAACTGGATTCACATTTCATCAGATGTCCCGGGTCTTCTTTCAGATATTAAATTAAGGACACATTACATACCATTAGTTTATTGAAAAATAATCCTCTAACATCTTATTATCTATATATCTTTTGCTGCTACTGCGTTTTTAAAAAGTGACCCTCCAGTTTCATGTGGCATTATCCCAAAACAATATTAATCAGTAATACTTTGTGCAGTCAATAGACAATACTATCAACCCCCATTTGACCAATTAGAATTGAGTATAACAAAGAATTGAGTATTTCAAATGAGTTTCAAACAATTAATACTACGTGTACATTGTATGTATACTATAGTTAATACTCAAAATAGGATGGAAAATAATAGCTGATGAAAGAACTGTTGAACCAATTCTAATGTCAAAGTATACTCTTCAGTGGTAGGTCTTTTGTATTCCATTGTATTATGTATTCTATATTTAGGGAGATGAGAAATGCCTCAGAATGTTACAGCTCCAGTGGGTGTGAAAAGGGAAATACTGATGAAGTAATATCAGTTGCTATACAACAATTGCAACTGCAGTTTTGTGTTGAAAGTAGGTTCTTATATCTATTTTATTCTACTTATGTAATCCTTAGCTTCTTTATTCTTGATTAAGTCTGAGTCTCAAAAGCATTGTGATATAATTAAGTTCATGCTTCAGTGCATTTCACCAGTTATTGATTTTACACATGACATGATGATATAATTTCCAATATGGACATTGTGTTTATACTCCTGACAATTTATTAAGCTGTTGTGCATTGAAGAAACTTAGCAAGTAGTTTTGTTGAAAATGTATACATTATATTATTAGACAATTTGAACTGCTGAATAATAAATAAACTTTATATTTGTCGTACAAATCAAATATGGATCAAAGTGCATAGTTTGGCCCTGACTCATTAAAATTCGAAATTCACATGACCAAGACCTGAACAATAACCTGCTTCCTATCACATCAATTAATATTTATTCTTTAAGTTAATATATTGCAGACTGCTCCTATGTTGGTGTGGTAGACTGTATTGGAGATTGGATTCTACTAGATACACCAACAACCATAACTGACATCTCTCCATCTTGCTCCATCAAAGATGACATCTTTGACTGCATCAATCAGCATACTAATTCCTGCCAAGGAACTGGTCATCTTCCATCTTATGGTCAACGGATAAAGGATGCTGTAAATGAAAGCTGCACATATGAAACAGATAGCCCAACTACTGAAGATGTCACTGAAGATCCAATACAACTAACCACAGCTCCAACCTTGATAACCAGCACCGAAGAGCCATCATCTTTGACATCCACAAGCCATGATGTAATCATTGCCTCCACCACGATACTAACAGGTTTTTCTTTGTTTCATAGTAACTAAATACAAAATGTGTGCATTTCTAATAGAGCCCATGTTTTGTCTTTGTGTTCTTTGAGCATATGGGATTGAAGAGGGGTTACATGTATATTGGTATTCTATTGTATTCATTCAAACTGAGGACAATTAAGTGGTGACATCGGGAAAATGCAAAACAATTAAAAATACAAGTGCTGTATAAAATGCCTACACTGCCCCAGCCATATAGTGTAGGTTGCTACACTTTAGTAATGCTAAAACTAAATTGATTTTTGGTGGAATGATTATAAAAAAACAGTAAAACCCGAATTAGTGAACACCTCTCTAATGAGCTCCTATCAACAGCAAACATTTTTATTCGGCAAAACCTTGTTCTCTCATTGACTCCCATATTAAAGTACAATCCAATATTGAACACTTGCCTACTTTGAACAGTGAACACTAAATCTTGGCAAAATTAATTGAATTATCTTGTGGCTAGCGAACATTGAATCAGATATGAGATTTTCTGCAGGCCTTATTAGAGTTAAGCAGCTAATATTTTCTCCCAAAAATAATTAAAAGACCAATTTGAGATATGCTCTTCTCTTCTATTGAAACAGATCACGACTAATTATAATTCTTAATAAGCTACGTTTCTGTAGGATAGGAAATGTGTCTGGCCTTGATTGCTTTGAAGATAATTGGGTTAACTGTAATTACCTGTCTGCTGTGTCCCAACTTAATCTTTTTCTCATCTCCATCAATTTAAAAATAGCAAATGATTAAAATAAAAAATGACAGTTACAAGTATATTTGAGCAATGAATTTATAATAAGGCTGAGAGTTACAGTATTGGAATATTATTTATTTCTTGTGATAACTGAATTGATATTAAAAACTAAATAATGACTATGATCACCTCTACCTCTCAACATAAAAACACACACTCCAGAATTCCAAGCCGCACACAAAACAAATACCCGTTTTACTTGTTGCAGGTACCAAAGATAATGTGAGAACAACAGAATCCACACTGGCTCCAAATCCACCCTCAACTACCACAGAGTTGCCATATTGTAATCTTGAACAATGTACCACTGATGACTCAGAGGCTAGCGTTTGCAGGTGAGCCAATTTAATTTACACTTCCCTTTTATGGGATTGTTTTAAATGATTTGAAGATGCAAGAGTGTTATATTTGAATTAAAGATGCAGAATTTGCTTTACTTTTGGTTCTCATCTAAGATTCAAACTTCTGTTTATCCAGTTACAATAGCAGCATCCTATTCAGTGTTGTCCGAAATGACTTATTTTTTGTCTGATGTTTTAGGCCAGAGCAATAAAATTATTTGCATGTCTGTTTAGACTAACACTTACAATATAGGAACGTATATATTCTTGAAATAAAATTCTAATTATCAATAAACTAATTTGTGAGCAAAACTGAAACTGAATTTAGTTCAGTACTTAGCTAGGAGATTGCATTGATAGCTATAGATGTAGGTACAAAATTTGAGTAATCGTAAATTTTATTGAGTATTATAAGTGTAGATTGAGGTACTAACTGGATAGTTTTTTTAATTAGAAAAGTTAAAGAGGCATGCGTTCTTTGTGACAACAAAACGTAAGTAAAATTTATTCAAATCTTAATTATAGTCTTACTACTCTTGTTTTTAAATAGAAGGTGTGGGGCTTCTCTTTGGTGTTGTACAGGTATATTATTTTCCTAAAACATTAATTTCATGTAAAAGTGCGTTCAAATGAATTTGGACGTCTTAGATTACTTAGAAATATATCACCTTTTTATCTCTTCAAAAATAAGAATTGTTAAGGAAAGCAAATGGTGGATCGTTGCTTTTCTTTTCTTTCAAATTATTTACACTTTCAAATCTTTGCTTCTAATTCGAAAAATTAAATATCATATTGTAGAACGATTTGCGTTGACTTATTATTTAATATAGTATAGCTCTCACAAATTATTAAGGTATTCATATTATTTTCTGACTAATCAGAAGTCAGTATAGCCATTCTTTATATGCATCAATAAATTGTAAATTGTACTATTACTAGTATCATACTGCATATCCAAGTTTATGCTTATGCAGGTAAAAATGTTTGGGTATAGATACCCTTGTGAAATAGTTTAACAACGTATAACTTATGTTGTTTTATGTTATAACTTATGTATAACTGCATGTATGTCATATAACTTAGCATGTTTGTCTTGGTAAAGTCTCTAATAATACAATACTTCATTCAATCCTCAAATAGCTCATTTCTCAGTCATTTCCATCTAATAGTAGATGGAAGGGGACAATATTAGCTGCTTTATATATAAAGCCATTATTTCCATGAGACTTACATAAAATTTTATGTTAGTCTCAGGTTATAGCATTCACAGTAGCCTTCTTTGTACATCTACAGGGTGTGGCAGAATCAGAGATAAGGGGGTGAAAAAATTGCAAGCAATTTTTACAATCGATCTTCCAATGCATTCTTTCCCATTTATCTTTCAAAAGGTTTATGATAAAATTATTTATAATTCAAAGTCCAAAAATGTGTAAATCATCTCAGGCAATGTACAAATACAATGCTAATTTGGTCTTAGGTTCGCTTTAGGTGGTCGCCTAAATGAACCTATAGTGAGGTTTACTTTAGGTAAATACCACCTAGATAAACCTAAAGTTAGGTTTGCTTTGGGAAAAAGCTACCTAAATCAACTTATATGTAGGTTCACTTTAGGTTATTTAGGTAAAGTTTGGGATATAATGTTCATATCAGACTCCCATCAGTAGGTTGACTCTGTCTCTGGGTTCGCTTTGGGTAAAGTAGGTTCACTCTACAGGATCTTCTTAGGATGCCTGTGGTAAGATTCATATGTTACATAAATGTGTTCATCACTAATATCTGTTCTGCATGAATAAATAAAATATGGTGACTTATATTAAGGTGGTATTAGGTTCGAACCTAAAGTGAACCCACTTTTTGAAGGTTTGTTTATATTAGGTAAGCGTCAAATCATGGGATTCGATTTTGGTGTGCTTTAGGTTCGAACCTACATCTCCTTCTCAACACATGACACAACACATTCGACACATGAATTATTGGGATTTATAGAAAATGCTTATGACAATGAAAATATGACCCAAAATATTCTAAAACTTATTTTCAAAAAGGTTGATTGCTTGATATGATGTTTTTTTTGTTGACCCTGTACATATTTGACTTTTATTGCAGGCGCTGGGAGATAAAGCTGAACTGTATGAATCATATTCTCTCCACAAGTCTATGTAAACTAGAGGCCTCAGTTAACTCCTCTTTGAAGTTCATTAGGAACTATTTATCGAAATACTGCGGTCCACGTAAGTCAGTAAAATTTATAAAATATTTACAAACTCAATTACTGTAGGCCTATATATGTTAATTCCATATAATTAGATAAAATATATTAATAACATAATTCTATATAATAGAGATAACATAACTTGTGCTAATATAACAAAATGGATTTCACATGATGCTCCTGTGTCTAACACAAATGGACTTCATGGGGGGGGTATTATCAATACAGTATATGGTACTGGTACTATGTACTTTTGTCAATTACTTATGACACTAATAATGCAGGTTTCCACCATGGAAAATAGTATATTTTATGAGAGCTCGGTTGTAATTATCCAGGAAAATAATTGAATCTCACCCCTGAACAAATCTTTAGACTTAAGACAAACATGTATTCTTCATAATTACTTTCTCAGTCTGTATTTTGCCTTATGATTTTTGCTGTAATGGAGTGTATTTATTTGACAACTTTGTACTGAGTTTAAGGAATGGGATGTGCTATGTTTTAATTGTAACTTCTCTTTCTACAATTTGTTAGTGTATAATATTGAAAAGCAGCTTATTGAAGAGCCTGGCATTGATGAGCCTTATATTTCACCTGGCATTGAGGAGCCCTATATTCCAAAGCCTGACATTGAGGAGGCGTATATTCAAAAGTCTGACATTGAGGAGCCTTATTTTCCAAAGCCTGGCATTGAGGTGCCCTATATTCCAAAGTCTGACATTGAGGAGGCATATATTCAAAAATATATTCAAAAGTCTGACTTTGAGGAGCCTTATTTTCCAAAGCCTGGCATTGAAGTGCCCTATATTCAAAAGCCTGGTATTGAGGAGCCCTATATTCACAGGCCTGACATTGAGGAGCCCTATATTCAAATGCCTTACATTAGGGAGCCCTATATTGAAGATATTGTATTATATGACCAGTCGACTATGACATGTGAAGCAGTTATATCAGAATGTCCAGTATTGCTTCAAGCCTGGTCTACCCCTCCATTATCCCTCGATCCATCTAGCATCATATATAGCTGTGGATCCATACGCGACAGATTAAGCTGCCTTGAGGAGACAAGGGTCCCCAGGCAAAGAAGCCCACCAGTCTGCACTGATAAAGAATTAAATTCAAACTTTGAACGACTGAGCTTGTTGGCTCTGAACCACAGTCGTACTTGCATTGAGACGTCTGTTGTTTTAGGTATGTACTTATGATTGATGTTTGCATGGGCTGTGGCAGTGAAGGTGCATAGGCCCTGGCACTGAAGGTCGATGGGTCCTGGCAGTGAAGGTGCATGGGCCCTTACAATCAGAAAGCATGGGCCTTGGAATAAAGGTGCACGAGCCCCAATAATGGGCCCTGGCAGTGAGGGTGCATGGGAAAGTGTCTCAAGTGCATGTTGTACAGTATATACATAGCTGGTTAAACATACTAAGAAAGAATGGTGACTAATTCTTGTAATAATTTTAAGCCATTTGACACTTAGATGGGTATGCTGCAGTCTACAGTATTGAATTGTAATTCAGCCATTATACAAGATGTTCAATAAGTACTGAATGAATTGTAATTCAGCCATAATAAAGGATGTTCAATAAGTACTAGATGAATTGTAATTCAGCCATAATAAAGGATGTTCAATAAGTACTGAATGAATTGTAATTCAGCCATAATAAAGGATGTTCAATAAGTACTGAATGAATTGTAATTCAGCCATAATAAAGGATGTTCAATAAGTACTGAATGAATTGTAATTCAGCCATAATAAAGGATGTTCAATAAGTACTGAATGAATTGTAATTCGGCCATAATAAAGGATGTTCAATAAGTACTGAATGAATTGTAATTCGGCCATAATAAAGGATGTTCAATAAGTACTGAATGAATTGTAATTCAGCCATAATAAAGGATGTTCAATAAGTACTGAATGAAGTGTAATTTAGCCATAATAAAGGATGTTCAATAAGTACTGAATGAATTGTAATTCAGCCATAATTAAGGATGTCCAATAAGTACTGATGTTCAATAAGTACTGAATGAATATTTGTAATTCAGCCACAATACAGGATGTTCAATATGTACTGGTAAAAGTGCTTTAACTTTTTGGATTGATTATATTTCTGATTCATTTCCATATTGAATATTTTTAGAAATATTTTGATAAATAATGCAAAAATGACACACATGTCTTTCTTGTAAATGCAGACCTCTGAAACTCTTACAGTATAACAGAACATGCATGGCACTACACAGCCAAAGTATTTTCATTCAGTATCAGTATTTACTTTCTATCAATAATATACATTGACAAATTAGGTTGATGTTGAATTAAACATTCTTTTTCATTTTTTTATTTTAGAGTATACATGCAGGCATTGTTTAATGTGTCCTTCATACTTAAAATAAATGTTAATATAATGCAGGTTTTGAATGACTCCTCGTGATAGGAATACAAATGTACACGAATAATAGCCATAGGCATTAGAGAGAAGGGAGGGGTATTTAGAGGGTATTAAAATGTACATGTATACTAATATTGGTGTTTATAGTGTTTGTGAATGCCATGGTTTAGGTGATGGAATTAATCAATTAATCAGTGCCCTTTTTAATGGCCCACTTTAATTAAACTATACACATATTATTTACGTAATATGTTAATAAATATGATTTAAATAGTGATATGATTTAAATAGTGATTCTGTGGACTAAATATAAAGGATGTCAATCTCAAATGTTGATGTAAAAAAATTTGATGTTGTTAAGGTAAACTCTCCTTACCTTTGAATTCCCTTTAATCACATTATGAACTTCATGAAGAGTACCAAAGAGTTTTATTAATTAATTGTACCTTTTTACTTTTTACAGCAACAAAGCCATGTTCTGCCCATATAAAGGAATGTGCCATGCCTGTCATCTACTTTCTACCTACAATGAATGCCACATACACTCAACTTGAGAGTGAAAATGTCACAAAATTCTGCAGGTACATTTTGAACCAACAGAAAAATTAAATTTTTGGTATATGGCATATATACTAACATGTAGAGTATATTTTAAGATCAGATGATCCTTTCCAACTTTTTGATAAATAATTCTTTTAAGTCCCATATGTGATAAAATGATAGAGATCAGTTCCTTTTAAGTGGTCCCTATCCATTTCTTCAAATCTATGGTTATATAAATTGGGAGAATCATACTTTTTTAAGAATTTAAAGATTAACATGCAGATTAATTTGATCATACTCTTTTAAGAATTTAAAGATTAACATGCAGATAACATTGATGGTACTTATTTAAGAATCTAAAGATTAACATGCTGATTAAATTGATCGTACTTTTTTAAGATTTACATGCAGATTACATTGTTTTGTCTACTTTTTATGTAAAATTCTCACTTTTGTAAATTTTCAAAATGTGGTTGTTCTTTATTCAGTGCCATACCTGATGTCAACAACTGCCTTGGTGATCTTGAGGGTTGTACAGAAACTAACATAATAGATGGCGTTGATGTACAAGCTCTCTATAGTCATATCTGTATTGAAGGTGAGAATACCTGTATATTACACACTTTTTTCAATCTAAACTGAGTATCAGAATGGCTCAGGGAAAACACTGTTTCAAGGAAGAAATGATGATTGTTGTTCACATTCTGCAAATTTTCTGTGATATCATTTGACATACCAATGCTATATTTTTGATATGTAAGCCGATGTCGTCTGTTGGGTTTTTTAATACATGTATTTTACTTGTACTTTTTTGGTAAACCTGTGACAAAGAAATAAACTATTATTAAACTTAATTGTCAAAATGTCAGTTGTGTAATTGTAAAGAACTTCTGTTCAGGGATGGTGTCAAATGCCAACATGATGGAAAAATGGAGGTAATTTCATTATAGTTTACCCCCCCCCCCCCCCCATGTAACATTTACCTTTCAAAAATCAACCATTCTGCACTAATGAAATGTCCCACAAATGCCCCCCTTCCAATAATCCAACTTAACTATTCCACAATATTTCGACAAATTCTTATTAAGGTGGGCCAGGTTGGGCAATATTGCTGATCCATTTCTCCAAGACATCCTGCAGTAAGTCCACATGTAAAGGTTCAAATGAATTTATTTAGATAACTCATTATACTCTGCCCACCTGAACTGGCTGAATCAAACATTTTTTGTCTCATAGGATGTTCATATGCTGAAGTCAAAAGGTGCCTCCGCAGATTCCCTGATGCATTTCAACCACCCATTCAAGCTTCAAAATATATCAATACATGCAAGTAAGGAGTTAAACAATAGTAGGAAATATATACACTAAAATCTGTTTATAGTTCTGAATGTCTCATGAATCAGCCAAAGTTCAGCCAAATTCATATGGAAGGCTTGGGACAAAAAAGTTTTGGATTAAAAGAGGTTTTGCAGAACATTAGTAGATGATATATGATTTAGTAAGGTGCTTTAATTAATTAAGGGACTAAAGCCACAATAAGGGACTATGGCCACAATGAAGTGTGCATTAATTCTTTTAAGGGGAACCCTATATGATTTATGATGTAATTGCACAAAATAAAAATTCATGATAATTTAATTGTGTGGAAATGAACATGTATATACACTCCCCACAAAACATTTGGCAACACCAATTCCCCATTGTACCATGTGTTAAACCTGTAAATAGGGAGCCAGGTTTGCCAGTGCACATATCATACTCCAATTGCAGCAACAAGGTGTTTCTGACAGGCTGTTTAGAAGGTGCTACCAACACTTGCAATGCTGAATCTCCATTACTTCAACACAAACAGATGTTGGATGAACAATTTAGCTTCTATTGTCAACCCTATAGAGGTGAGTACATACAGGTTTTCATTCCATATTCAGGGTGATCCCAAACAATCTTTCATATACTAGAATACTAAAGTTGTGACATTTGCCTAACCATATAAACTGTATATAACACCTTTTCACTTGATTTTACAAAGCTCATAATGTCTTAAGAAAATTGTTGATTCTTCAAAGTGAGCCAAATTTTGAATGATGGATAACTTTCATCTTTTTACTCAAGTTGGAATCTATCACACATTTTACTCTCCTTACCTGATTGATTTTAAAGTACATGTAATAGTATATCACAGAGTACACTCCCCTCCATAAGTTTGGCAACCTTAGCTCCCCCATTGAACTACGTGTTAAAGCCTCTTTACGTTTGAATTTTTATTTACTTAACCGGCGATGAAATAACTTATAATATTGATGGAAACGTAACTTGACTTTATTTCCAATACCTCCAAATTTTCTCAATTTTTTCCTCAATTACAATAGGTCGAAAATTTATGATAAATTTAATGAATTTTTGAAAATCGTCATTCCCGATCCCATGTAACCCATGGGAAATGGAGGGTTCGGGGCAAATCAGAAATCAGGATATCTTTTCAGTAAAAGATTCAGCAAAGAATATTTTTATATAGAAAATTGAATTGTCTAACTTTTTTGAACACTAAGTGTTTAGTTTATTTGATGAATACTAAAGTTACAGCGCTTCAAAGTCATTTTGAAAATAATTTTTTGCCTCCTGTGTTATTTCAATGGGAGAGGTTTTTTGAAAAACAATTTTGACTTTAAAGCCCTATAACTTTGTTGAACCTGAACAAACATATCAATTTTTTGTTAAATAAAGTTAGCAAATTCACTTGCCTGCCTAAGTCGTATTTTTTGCAAGGACTCGGATGGATGGATATTCTGTCATATGACTTGCAGCAAACCTACCATTTCCCATTGGTTAACATGGGAATGTCGATTTTCAAAAATTCATCAAAATCATCAATTTTTGACTTATTGTAATTGAGGAAAAAAATTGAGAAAATTTGGAGGTATTGGAAATAAAGTCAAATTACGTTTCCATCAATAGTATAAGGTTAAGTAAATAAAAATTCAAAGGTAAAGAGGCTTTAAGACATAGTTCAGTGGGGGAGCTAAGTTTTGGCAAACTTATGGAGGGGAGTGTACCAAACAATGCGGTAGGGGGAAAACTGAATCAAACTACTATACATGTACTGTAGTTATCTATGAGGGCTTCTACGTGCTGGTGCTAGTTTGCACCCAAAATAAGGTTGTTATCATACAATTAATATAGATGAATTAAGTAAAGTAAAGCATAACCACCAAGTAGACAACTAAATTGAAATAGAAATAAAAATTTTGAAATTATTTTCCTGATTGCAGAAATTCCTGAAGTGGTTGTGACATGGGAAGATGCCAGCTCAGAAAGTATAATCACTACGCCTTTATTTACTGGTCAATATTATGGCAACCCAACCATAAGAGAGGGCCCTAGAGGAAAATACATCGAACTTAATGGAGATGAGCAGTATGTAAAGTTTACCACAACTGGGACGTGTTTATCCAATCCTTCACTATGCCTAGATGGATTGAGTTTCTTCCTCTGGGTGAATATCACCAGATTTGAAGAAAATATGTACATGGTGTCAAGCAGGGACGATGACATTGACTCACCAGGGATAAATATTTATTACCAGTCCGATATTGTACATTTCGAATTGTGTGATAGTGAACATATATGGAGGATACAGATTAATTCTTCAGAGTTTGATATCAATGAGTGGTTCCGTATTGAAATGACTTGGAATGCACAAAATGGATTGAAAGTCATTTTGAATAATGAGATAGTATTCAGTGAAAGTACAGGAAAAACAATATCACCTAGTACTAGGAAGAAGAAAAGATCTGTGGATGTGAATGCCGAAATACATTCCATGATGAAACAGTTACACGGTTCTAGTGAAGAATCCATCGATAAAACACAAATACCATTGTTGCCAAAAATACCTGTGATAAAAAATTATAACAAAAACGAGAACATTCATGCACAAAATATGTATCAACTCCAATATGCTAATTTAATTACATTTAATGATATGAGAACTATACAAAAGAATCAGAAAACCCATAACACATATCTTAGGGAAAAACGAGAAGTTGAAGCTGAAGTTGATCCAGAGTCTGAGAGTGTTGCAGAAACATATCTCTATCTTGGACGCTCTGCTCGTAATGATGAAGATGATATAATATATGCTGAGATGGCATTTGATGATTTTGCCTTCGTTCCAGCGCATAGAAGTACATTAGAAGATATGGGGATAATGCAAAGAAGTGAGTATAATATTAATTACAGTTAAACCTGTGGAACCCTTTTCTTGTCTCAAAAAGGGTGTACATGTACCACTCACAAGGATCATTTTATATTTAAGTTCATATGACCATGGTAAATGGTACTTTAAAAAGTGTTCCACTTATGCCTTGGTCACATTTGCTCCGATTTTCACTACTGCGCCCGGTCGATTGAGTATTTTGTTTAAAATTGAATTAATATTGAACAAAACACTCAATCGGCCAGCGCCAGCCGATGGATCGGACCAAATGTGACTTAGGCATTTCAAATGATCATATTGCATTATGTCATTAAATGGCACAGTACTTTGAAAATGTTTTCCACTTATGGGGGTGTACCACCTGAGAGCGATTCTGCACTACCAAAACATTTCCACTTCATGTTTAAGTACACACTTGCTTTAAAGAAGCCATACTGTTGTTTTTTTGTTTTTTTATTTTATTTATCATGTTTTATTCAATACAATAATATATATTTAAAGAAAATTTCCAAAAGGTGACTTTGTTTAACATTACAAGTCGCCATACTGTAAAACACTTCATGCAAAATGGTGAGTGGAAGTTGGACAAATTGGATTTACTCAACTCTCTAAGTTTATATTTCAGATAATGACCCATGCAGTATGGAAGAAGTCGAAGTGTGCGTTAAGAAGATGAATCACCTTGTCAACTACTCTGGTAGTCAGGACGATGATAAACACATTTGCGAGTATGTTTTGCATTTTACTTTTACCATATATACATGTATGGTGTGCCGAAATGATTTAATGCCCCCCCCCCTTAGTGTTCATTACTAACTGTTAGAACAAATATTAATTGTGCTCCTTGGAATGGTGTGAAGATAAATACATGTACACCTATACACCTTGTTCTTTGTAGATATTTTTTCTGTCCCAATGGAACCACACCAGAAGTTGAAAGCTGTGGTTGTTTTGAGAGTGCAACCTCAGGGTGTGGTCCTGGACTAATCCAAGCTGCCTATGAAAAACTGGTAGAAAACAGTCTCACTCAATACATAGACGAGTTTAACTGTGATTACTATGGGCCTGGTCTACAGGTAAGACAGTTATCTTTATTTAGTTTTGAATGGTGGAGGAGAGGGGTTGTGAGACACTGTTCTTTAGACATAAAGTATTTATTTGGGATGGTGGGGATTTTTTCCTAATGACTTGTTCTATACTTTACTTTCTTTTCCATCTATTTTTTTTCTCTCTTTTTGGTATTTACCTTTTTTCCTAATCCAAAGATTTTATATGGGGCCTATAAGTGGTAGGTACTCCGTATAACCCATGTCATATTGTGTACACAGCTTGTAATGAATGAGATATCTTTAAAATGAGTCTGAAAAAGTGGTTACATTTGAAGGTTTTCAGTGGTGACCATGTTTACTGATTTTACTGTCAAATATATCTTTTCGGTAAGGAGAAACCAATTCTAAACAAAGATTTGACCAACTATTTTATTAACACTTATTTTGTTCCAGTTTCTTACATCTAGTGCCATATTGATTGAAGAAGGTGCTCCCGCTACTGTGATTCAGTTCAATTTGACAGGTCCCCCAATCAAGGTGTGTGGTTCCAGTACCTGCCAAGTTGAGGTGCTCTTAGATAATGAGGACACATTCTTTCCTATGTAAGTTACATTTAAGCCATGTTGAGCCTCATCAAGTTAAGCCACTGTAAACAAATCTTTATTTCACCAAAGAAGAGAGCCATCTATAATGTTAATCAAACCATGATTACTTTAACAGGCCATAATGCATTTGACTTGGCCTTGACATTGTTGTATATAATGTGTTGTTTTTTAAATAAAGGAACCATGAAAACTAAACTGAAACAATTGTGTTACTTAATGGCATAATAGTAAGAGATTTTTTTAAACGTTGTTCTTTTTTGCTTTTCAATGTTGTCCAAAAAGTACAAAACGATCCATTCCCATACTGTTCAGTTGTCTGTCCAGACATTGAGAATTCCTTCTTCATTTTTTCTTCAGATGTCGTAAAACGAATGCCTCGATCCCTCAGTTGGTTGTAGAGGGCGACACTTGTCTGGTACAGGTGTCCACTGACAACTACAAAGAAACACATGAAATTCTAGTCAGAGCAAAGTTGGATTGGAAGTACGATGGAATGCAGACACGCAAAATTGGATTGCGTTTTAAAGATGGCAGCACACTACCTATTGCCACATTAGATGTAAGATTTTTTACATTACAAATACATACATATGTACAATAGATAACCCACAGCAGCTTAGCAAGTTAAAATGAATTGAACTATCAAATAAATAATTTGTGGGATCTCTTTTAGGGTATTTTTGAATTTCTAACTGAAATGTATATTTTTAGGATGGTATTTAAGGAATATTCTTAATTGAATGTTATACAAGTATATTGACTTAATAAAGTAAATTGATAAGTAAACAAGTAAGTTGATAAGTAAGTTAATAAAGTTTACAAATGTTGCCTTTCATGCTTATATCATATGTTATACAGTAAAAAGTAAAAGAGAAACATGTTCAATAGTGACACTTACATGTACTAGCAAAACCATTAAACATTAATGGCCATTAATTGATTAAATGAAAAATATTTGAATTGTGGTTGTAGGTGAATATAGAAGACAAGGATGGACAGGCAACTTGTCAGTCTATAAATGATCCTCATTTACTAACATTTGATGGCTTGTGAGTATACCATTTACATGTACTATATATTTACATGTGCTGAAACATATCACATGATATTAATGTAAGTCTTAAGTTTTGTTTTGCTCTAATTATTAAACAAATTTTATTTATTTATAAAACCTTCACAAGTGATTAAAGCACAAAGTTTACCAATATACATCACTATCAAAGTTGTCTTAAATACAGAACAGCAAAAAGAACATTTTGTGAAATCAGATTTTTACCTACTGTATTCAAAGAATCTGCTAACATGATAAATTATCTAATGATTGGTAGAGACAGGATTCTTATACCAAAGTAACATTTTATATGTCATTTGAAGAATGTTATCCTATTTTCTTTACTTTATTGCTATATTTACTGTTATTGAAAATTGTATATCGGATGTACGTTTGGCCCTAAGAGGGCATCAGTACTAATAAAATCCTATTATATTATTATTGTCTTTTAGATCTTACAACAATTTCTTCAGTGGTGAATTTATACTTTATAAACGAACAGACTTTGGGGATAACCCATTCAGAGTGAGTATAAAATAAAATCTTTTGTTTTCTTGTTCCACACATTAAAAACGACACTACATGAACATCCGCATTTCATATGTGCTTATACATATTTGCGTCTGTAACCCCTTTCTTTTGTTCCATAGGTTCATGTGATGTACCAGAATTGTGGAGAAAACGTGCTTGCATCATGTAATTGTGGGGTTGCTGTGCAATCCAATGATGACATATTTGTCATTGAGAGGTGCAGGAGAAGGAAGGATCCATTTCAAACAGGCCGCTTCAACAATAACAAACCTCTACTCAGGGCTGACCTCATTCTCAATGGACAACTGACCCCTGGAACCAAGATCATCAGTGATGCAGAAGGGAGAGTTTATCATGTGAGTGAAAACCTGAAATATCCAGTTTACTATGTCACCACCACAAGTGTTGACATTATGTTATTGTCTCTAACTTTTTTATAGACAGTGTTCAGTGTCTGGTGTTTGGTGTCTAGCGTTTGGAGTTTGGTGCCTGTAACAAATGGCTGGTGGTGTCATTTTGCATGTTAATGCCTTGTAATTTATACTGTAGTTGCATGCATGGTAAAGTGTTATCATGCATCATACACGTACACTCCCCTTGATAAGTTTGGCAACTGAAAGTTCTGCTTTGGATCACTAGTCTAATGCGTAGTTCACAAAATACTCAATCGTACGAGCACAGGCCAATGAATTGGAGCTTATGTGAGCTTGACATTATCAAATCATATTTCTATTTGGTGATTTTAACAAGGGACAGATTTCAGATTAACGAGAAACAGATTTCAGACAGTTTTAACTCTATGTGAAATTCCAAATTACTGTACAATTAATGCCTGGGTCACATTTGCTCTGATCCATCAGCCGGCGCCTGGCCGATTGAGTGTTTTGTTCAATATTGTATTCAATTTTGAATATAATACTCAATCGGCTGGGCACCGTAGTGAAAATCGGAGCAAATGTGACCAAGGCATTAGAAAACAAAGTAAGCATTACCATTTCTGACACAGCTGGTGTTCTAATTCAGTAACACATAATGAATGTATATTGCAGGTTCACCTACCACATGGCACATTTGTTACAATTAAGCTGAATGAAGATTTGTTGAATGTCTGGGTAACTGCTTCCCCTAGTGATGAAGGACATACTCAAGGTGACCTAATGTTCATTGAACTATTTTCGAAATACAGTAAAACCTGTATAAGTGGAGCACATTTGGTTCATTTAACAATAAATCAATAGGTTGGGGGACTTTCAAAAGTGCTACATTGGAGTTGTTTTACTTACAAAGGTGTTCCACTTCACAGGTTTTACTGTATTTTGAACTGAATATAAAATATGAAAATGTACATTTTTATAATGTCAAGTTCCTAATATGAAGTATTTTAATTCATCACTGAAATTCATGATTGAGTGTTTAATTTTTGAAAGATATTTTCAGTGGATATTATATCCAATGGAAGAAAGTGTTTTCAGTGAAATTAAATCTTAGTTTGTGTATAAATTTTGAATCTAGTGACATTCTGTACCTCTACCTTCTGTGTAATTAAAGGCATATACAATGTAATTATACTTGTAATTTATTTTTATCAAATTCATCTAATTATTATAATTACATACATACATGAATGAATTTGTTGCAAAGCCATTTGGAGAATAATTGCAGTGTGACCCAATTCTCTTTTCCTTCATAATAGTTTGGCCTCGCGACCTTTGATGATAGGTAGTATTCTAGATTAGCAAGTTGGTATTCATCATTTAAAAATTACTATCTTAAAGATTTGTGTATTGTTTTCAGGGTTATGTGGGAGTTATGACAGAAATGTATTGAATGATCTCATGTTTTCTAATGGTACAATTGACGAAATTCCTCCTACTGTTGACAATAACACTATTGAACCCAATGAGTTCTCAGCTTCATGGAGGTAAGAAAAACTCATGTAAAACTAGGAATTATAGAAATTAAACAATCTTTTTTCAAATTCTTTTAAATATGATGGATGTACACTGGCATGTAGCGGCCCTGATATCGATAAATTCTACACGCAATATAACCCGATACTACATGCTTGGTTAAAACTTTACACGAAAAAGCTTCGATATCCGGGCATTTACTCTTACACTGAACTGAAAATAGCATCGTCTAAACGTGTATGTGTTGGCTTCCGGGTAAGTTTATCAACATTTATACTCAATTGAAAGAGCAGTCGTGCTTATATCGTGTACCAGTTTGATTTATTTATATGTGTGTGTATTTATAACACGATAACCTAGTAATACCGTGTCGTTAGAACAACTGCTAGATATCGAACTGATGACCCGAAATTACATTATTGGACTGATCGCGCATCTGATATTAAATGATTACTTTGTATTGAAACTGATATTAACTTGCAACCCAATACCATGACTTTACATTAGAATGATAACACGGCCTCATATTCTAATCCATTATACGTCCATTGCAGGCCAAAAATGTTTCAATGTGGATATTGTAATGCACACGAGAATACATTCGATTCGTATATTGATCATACATCAATTGAACATGGAGATTTTCCTGTACACTTTTCCCAAACCTGTGGAATAGACAATATGCGAGTAGAAATTATCTTGATTTACGTCATCAAATATTCAAAATTCATTTTTTGAAAAAATTCGAAACCATCGAATATCACTTTTTAAGACGTGATATTCGATAGTTTAAAAGTGATATTCGATGGTTTGTAAATTGTTTACTAAAATATGATATCTTGGTCACATATCAAATATATCATCATGTGATATTCGATCTATATCATTGCAACCATGGGATATAGAGGATATCCTATGATTTATGAGAGATATGATTTTTATCCACGAATGAATATGATATCTTAAGTATGTTTCCCACATGCTCTGGTGTGTTACTTGCAAAATATGTTATCATTTTCAAAAAAAATTCAAAATTTTTCCAAATTTGTTTTCAATTTTTTTAAAAATGAAAAAGAAAATTTCCAAAAATTTTTTTCACAATTTTTTTTCAAATTTTTTGTCCAAAATTTTTTTTCAAGATTTTTTTCACATTTTTTTGCATAATTTTTTTCCACAATTTTTTCAAATTTTTATTTTCAGATTTTTTTTCAAAAATGAAAAAAAAATTCCAAATTTTTTTTCACATTTTTTCCCCAATTTTTTTCCCACATTTTTTTCACCTTTGTTTGGCATACGTTTTTTTCAGAATATTTTCAAAACTTTTTTTTCAAATTTTTTTCAAAACTTTTTTTCAAAACTTTTTTTTCAAAATTTCTTTTTCCGAATTTATTTTTAACATTTTTTTGAGCGGGACATACGATTTATATGGAGCTCCGTCGGAGCGGGACATACGAAAAATATTTGCCGGATATGGAATATATTCCCGGTTGATATACCCCTGAAACCTCATCAGGTATGGAATACATATAGGTTATTTACTGGGAGGGATTGAATATGGGTTTTATTCCGAGGGACAATATGATATTGACTGAAGGGTAATATAATATTGACCGAGAGCGCAGCGACCGAGTGTCAATATCATATTGCCCAAGGTCAATATCATATTTTCCGAGGAATAAAACCCATATTCAATCCTGACCAGAAATAACCTATTTATTATACATCCCTCTAGAATGTTACATTTGGATAATGCAAACGTTATATTAATAAATTCACATTGTTTGAAAAATAAAATAAATAAATAAAATAACCGGGAAACTAAAAAATAGGTCAATACGCTCCAATACGATTTTTTCCCGGGGACAATACGATTTTTTCATGTAATACGATTCAATACGATTTTAATTCCTTCATATTTCCCTGGGAAAACAGTAGTACTATGGAATAAAATATATTTTCCCTCGGGACCTGCGGCCCTCGGACAGATATATTATATTTGCCTCGGGGTAATCCCAATATCCTGAACCTCATATAGGATAATCTCTATATCTACCTGATGGACCATAGGGACCGAAGGTAGACGTGCATATCTCACGAGGGATAAACCCCATATCCAAACCGACCCCACATATCTGCTTTATCATATACCAAGTAGTTTTCTAAAAAATTAATCTTATTTCTTTTTTTGAATTTTTTAAATTTTAATTTTATTCTCTACTCTACTTGTCAAAGGATAATAGACGATAAATATATATATATAGTTTAGCATGATATGTACTTCTTTCTGTAACTGGAATACGATTCTAATATACAAGCAACACATACGTATTCCTGGGGAACCATAAATATTTTGTGTAGGGTGTGGACATTTTTCTTTTCATTTCTCTAAAATCAGATTATTTTCATAAAATCCATACAAAGTTGGGCCCAAGCCTCTATTTTCGTATTCTGCATGTTAAGATATTTATAATGTAAAACCTAAGAGATAAATTCAATGTCTTCAGTTGAGAATAAGTATAGGTAAATGTGTGAATTCTGCTTGTTGTTGCACTATTTTTATAATAAACAAGGTTCGATACGCAACACTGAATAGACTGCAGTTATAGCTTAGTTGTAAAGAAAACAAAAGAAGTTGGGACGTGGTCATACTTGATTATGTTTCTTTTATATATCACCGTTTGCATTCGTTGAAATCGGCCTGCATTGATTTCAAGAGGTGGTCGGTGTACAAGGTCATATGTTTGAGTTATTGGTTTAATGATAAATGTGACCCTTGAATGCGTTAGGCTTTATGTATGCGTGAAACAAATACTCCAATGGCCTAATCTCAATTTGCCTACAAACAATATAACATTGAAATGATGGTCATCTGCATATTAACTTCCGCACCACACGTCTAACTTCGACACAATTCAGTAAAGTATCCAGTATCGCTTAAATCGCTACATGCCAGTGGATGTAATTGCCATCATTTTTTATTCACCATTAAATTTTGTTTGTTTGTTTGTTTGCTTATTTGTTTGTTTGTTTGTAAAATAAATCCTATATTTTATTTCAGAGTTGACATGTCTAGTGAGACTATATTCAATGGAGTGCCTGCAAATGATGAGTACACACCTAAAATGTACTGCTCCTGTACAGGCACCTTGGAGGACTGTGAATATAGCAATCACGTTTCAACTTGTGATATATTTAAAGGTAAGAGTCAACCATGTTTCATTGTAAGAGTCAACCATGTTTCATTGTGATATATTTAAAGGTATAGAGTCAACCATGTTTCATTGTAAGAGTCAACCATGTTTCATTATGATATATTTAAAGGTATAGAGTCAACCATGTTTCATTGTAAGAGTCAACCATGTTTCATTGTGATATATTTAAAGGTAAAAAGACAACCATGTTACTTTATTGGTAAAATGGTTCATAAATTCTTTAATTTTCCATGTTATGATTAATTAAATGTATACATGTACATTGTTATGATGTATGTAGTGATTAGATATGAAATGAATAAGTATGAATATGAAAATACTATTAATGAAGTTACTTGCTCATGTGATTTTAGGTGAAGATGTCACAGAGGCTTTGGTCACAGAGGCAGTAATATTAGGAGGAAACTCAGGGGTTAGGCGGAGGAAACGCAGAGAAGCTGGATTTAATGTCATCAACTTCGACATCAATGAAAAGCAACTTCCTCCGGTATGTATGAAGCAACCATATTGCAAAATATCACTATTTGAAAATGTTTGCATTACACTTGATATAATCTATGAACTGTATCTTGATTGTAGTAATTTGAACTTATAATACTAAACATTTAAAAATGAAATTTTAAAACAGAAATAATTTGTATGTGTGTAAGTACTGATGATAACTCCATTTAGTACTACCAGTAAATCTTGTCAAATAATAGTAAATCTTAGCACCATTAAGATTGGCCAAAGGTGTTCAGATTGGCAGGTGTTCACATTTTGAGGTTTTTTATCATGGAAGTCTAAGGCAGAATGAAAATGGGACAAAAAGTGTTCACATTGAGAAGTGTTCATATATACAGGTTTTACTGTACATTCTTTATTTAAAGTTGTCCTTGTGACACCTTACCTTATATATTATAGATCTACAAATGGCCCACATTAAGCAATAGGACTGAAGCTTGGGCAGATCAATACTGTATCAGCTATGCCTTTGAGAAGTCAGAAATAGGCAAACAATGCAGGAAACTACCAAATATCGACTTCCAGCAAGAGGTGACCAGCTGTATTGAGGACATTAAGGTAAAACATAAAATACAATTTTAATTTGCTTTCCATTGAATCAATTTAAAAAAATTCTGAATCATTCATCATAAAGCATTCATCACCTTCCTATGTTAAAATCCCCCTTTTCTCTTCAAACTTATAGAAATCATCAAATATGAGTAGACCTCATTGTACCACCTCATTGTATTGCCAGTCACATTGCCTCAACAACATGTCGCCATTCCCATGTGTGTGGTAACATACAGGGTGACAAAAAAACTGGAACCCACTGAAGTCTTATTAACTTCGTCAATTATGTATATTGAGCTTAGTTATTTGGCACATGTATAGTCAACTGAATGTATGACAAGATGATAAAGTTTGAGCATTCTAGCTCAATTAGTATATATAGAGAAAGCAGTTATGGTTCTGTTGTTTTTATGTCCTCACCAGAAGTGGTGACATATTATTATAGTCTACTTTTTTGTGGTTGTTTGTTGCTGTTTTGCAATCAATGTCTGTAACAAATGGCATGTAGTGACATTTTGCATGTAATGACTCGTTCATTATTACTGTATAACCTCTATTGTAGATTACAGATGACATAGAATGGGCCCAGTCCTCTCTAGATGCCATCAAGGCCAAGTGTCTATCAGAAGTAGAGCGTAATACTGAGATATCAGAGGAGCTAGCCAACAGTATAGATGCCGCTATGTGTCCTGTCAATTGTGCCAACAATGGAACTTGTGTTAATGGTAATTATGAATAAGTTTCTTAATTAGTTTTGAAGAAGGTGCACTGTGGGGGATTCACTTTTTAAAACTTTCTGGGGGAGTTCACTTTTGATAATTTTGGTCCGAAAATGGCCAAAACCATTAAAAAAGTGCTCAGAATGGTGAAAAACTGCATGATAATGAAGAATTTTTTGGCCAGAGAGGGTTGCTCGAACCAGTCAACCCCCCCCCCCCCCCCCTCCCCAGCTGCGGGCCTGCTGCCAACATGAAAGTTTTATTGACATATTCTTAGCAGCCTACTTGGAATTGCCCATTTTCTGAAGTAACAACAATTCATTGGAAACAATAGATATGTTTTTATCACTTTATAGGTGTATGCATATGCAGTCCAGATTTCATGGGAGGAGATTGCACAGTCAGTAAAACAAAACCACCAACCATATTAGGAATGGCTAATAATGGAGAATGTGATGGCAACTGTAAACGAGCGACCATATATGGAGAAACTTTTGTCAAGTCAAACAATCTAACGTGCCATTTTGAAATTGTTGAGGTAAGGTTTAAGTTTTACAAGAATTCCTTTAACTCATTTAGGCAATAATATGACTTTATTTACATCCATGTACAATTAAAAAGCTACAGCTACAAGATTTTATAAAACAAATTGTTGCTTTTCCAGCTCACCAATTCCTCAACAGAATATTCTGGTAACTCCACCAAAGTAAAAGCCATCTTTAATAACTTCAACCAAATTGAGTGCACTCTTCCCAAGTCTGGCCAATCCTATATGATCAATGTCAGCAACGATGCTGAACATATGAGCGACCCGGTGCTATTCATAACCTACAATTCAACGTGCCAAACATGTGATGCAATCAGTGGCACGTGTTCTATAAACGTAAGTTGTAAATTAAAATAATGATATAGAGGGTCGTAAAGGGTGACACAAAAAAAGTGAAACCAGCTGTTCTTGAATTAACTATCAATTATAATGAAACAAATTCAAATTGTATTTTAGTGTCCTCTTGTATTTAGTTAATTGGAATGAAAATTGATTTAAATACTGAGGAAATAGTCTAGTCACATTGAGATTCAAAATGTTACAATTTTAGGATTACATTCAGATTGATACATTTGGAATTGTCTTTTAGCATAGACAGCGGTATATTATGTTAAACCTTAATTATGCTTTATTTTTTCCAGCCAAACTTTTGTTACATTCACATAGAGAACAAGTGTTATGACAGTGGATATGCGTCACCTTCTGATCCATGTATGACATGTAATCCTACAGAGGATAATAGAGGCTTCACCCCTGAACCAGGTAAAAATGTATACCCTTCAGAAAACCTCAAGCTTTTCTACACACATTCTTAGGAGACAGTGGACTTGTATGTTGGACAGTGTACATTAACAAATATTAATTCAAGAGAGATTGCTTTGATAATACCAAAACACTTGATCATTTATCCTTATATGAAGCAAATCACTTTGAGCTGCCATCTGTATGAGTCACCAACAACATTTTTGAACTTGATTTTATAGTATCGGGAAAATGTTGATTTGACCAGAAACACCAATTTGGTGGTTTGTTTTCTTCATCCTATGCCTGAATTAACAGCTAGAAGTACTCTAGTATGTGTGTAACTTGAACAGAAAAATATGGCTTTTATTCTGCAGGTTGTTCTCCTGATGCTGACGTGGTTATCGTGCCAACATCTACCCCTGTTGGCTTCTTGGGAACTAGGGACATCATCATTATAGCAGCATGTGCAGCTGTTGCCTTGGTTATAGTGATTGTCATGGTAACTGCCATAATCATTTGGAGAAAGTAAGTCTCTTTTATGTATGATGTGAAAATAGTCAATGGACTTGTTATTTATATGTAATTTATCAGCAGTGATGGTATAGCCACATTCTGATTTATCAGAGTCCCTCTTTACCTAACTCTTTTGAGAGAACTGAACTATTCCAAAAGGATAGTAAAGGCTGTGGATCCCATAATGGTATAGCAAACATATGTCAAACAGAAGCTTGTAGCAATTTTGTCTTACAATACTAGGGAAATTAATGAATGAGTTTTATTCCAGGAAAAAGCATGATTCGAATGATGGCCCCAGTGATCAAGGAATAGACACTGAAGCTATGCATTATACTAATATAGCCCTACACAGGGACAGTGGGTTGAACATCATGTATGACGATGCTGCAGAGTTTGGACAGTGGCCTGGACAGTTTAGAATCCCAAGGCCCAGTGTGTATGGGAGAAGTAGCAGAGGGTCCAGTTCAGGAACAACATTAGATGGTGTTGAAATCAGAGATGACACCTACTTTTAAAAGATTTATAGTCCTCTCTTTGTGTGATCAAGTGTCAAATACAGGGTCATTCTTTCTAAAGTGACTTGTTGTGATGTCACAACAAATTGGAGTAGTTAGCATTAATTGACAACAATAGTAAACAATAGTTTACAGGCGGGGCAGAGTCCTGAAAGTTTACAGGCAATGCATAGTCATGAAAGACTACAGGCAGGGCATAGTCATGAATGTTTACGGGGAAGAAATGGTCAAGAAAGACTACAGTCAGGGCATAGTCATGAAAGTTTACAGGCAAAGCATAGTCATGAGAGTTTACAGGCAGTGCATAGTCATGATAGTCAGAAGCAGACATTCATGTGTGTATTTATTCATTTAGGCTCAGATATGGAATTTGGGGTTATTTAGAATTCAAACTAAAGACCTCCATTTTATTGAAGTTTATCTATTGCTTCAGAAAATAGATTGAAAAAGGATGTTGCAAAAAGTGTCATCATAATTTGCCATAAGATAACCTGATGCACAGTTTTTCCCTAAACTTTCTCTCAGGAGACATGGGATATATGTGATATGTGTGATGTGATGTACCATATGGTGCAATATTATGGTGCATAATTAATTATACTAAATATGTTATGCTTTGATGTAACTATAAGTTCTTGTTACTAGTAAAATGTGTAAATACACTGTAAATATTATGCCACAATAAATAAACTGTTATATTTTTATTGAACAAAATCTGTTGTTGTATTACCCATTTACAGTTTAAAATATAGCCAATAGAGAACCTGTCATTTATTGCAGCTTTTATGTAACATTGAGCAACACAATGAGCTGACAGTACATGAAGCATTTATTTGTGAGCTCAAATCTTTGTTTTTGAGTGCCTGAGCTCCCAAATCATGTAGATACACATTTGGAGTCTGTTCAGAACTTCTGCTTTAAGTTTTTTCATGAATCCTACAGTGCCATGGCAGAATAATCGCATAATTACCAATTTTATAATGTGTAGAATTCATCTACATGTAAATGTATTAGCCGGAATTTTCATGGAATTAAAGTAACTATGGATTTTTAAATATTGAAACATTTGTTAATTCATGTCTGATATCAATTTGCAATCAATAAAGTGTAAAGATGTTTTCAAACAGAAAACTGGTATGTGTTGTACACCCCCCTTTTAAAAGTATGGCAAACTTGGCTCCCAAATGGATAGGCTTTACACACAGTCCAATAGGGAAATTGGTGTTATTAAACTTTTGAGGGGGAGTGAACACATATAATAACTTTGGGTAGAGTAGAAAATATATACTAAAACCTGTCTTAGTGATCTCTTCTTCCTAGTGAACACCCTTCCTCAGCACATATTCTACTGACTTCTGGATAAATTATCCTCTGTAGTGAACACCTACCAACACTGACCGTTTTTTCTCACCAAAAAATGTTCAATGTTTTACTACCCTGTATATGAATATGTAGACATTAACTAAACAACGGCTACAATCAAATATTTAGCTTAAAGAGTTTATTGTAAAGAATGATAATATAAAGTTACACATGAAAGTATAAAAATATAAATCACTTCATGGAATACAGCAATATTGTGAAGACAAGCCTACTTTACACAAAGCATTCAGATTCATATACCTAAAACTGACAAAGATACAAAATGAATATGAATATGTTAATCAACGAAATAAAATTTCTCGTGAGACAATTTTGAACATTAGAAATTGATCTGGAATGTTTACAAAGATAGGAAGCAGCAACAAAGTACATATAAATGCAATGTTTTGAGCAAAGTTCTTTCAGTAGAGGCCTTGACTCTCATTACTTATCAGATCTTGCCTTCCAGCAAAATTAAAAATATTAAATTCAATAAAAATACAGTATAAATGATAACCAGTCTGCCTTTCTAATATTAAAAAAAATATTAACAAAATTTAGTAATGCCACTCTGAAATTAGCATTTTATAATCAGCTACATTTGAATCAGACCATTTATCATTTTTACACCATAAAGTACAGAAATATATATATTCACACCATACATATAAGAGACCAGCTCAAATTATATAATCAATTTTCAAAGATAATAAACATTATGCGACATCTATATATCATGAAATATTTTTATTTCTTAATCACGCAGATAGTATTGACTATTCAGGGAATATATTTTTTTATAAATGGCGGTCATGTTTGTTTCATTCTTTTTGAATAAAATAGGAGGATTTGTTTGCACCTGTTCTGTTTAATTGACAGTAAAAAGAAGTGAACAACATGACACACCTATATGATTCTTATAAAATGGCACAATTTGAGAGGCCGAAGTTCTAATATGAGCTATAGACTTTCTGGAAGTCTAAAATCCTCCTGAGCACCCTGTAGTTAATATACATTTAGTGTCCAGGGACACTCTCATTAATTCTGTCCGTTGTAAAGCTTCTCTTGTATTCCATTTGTACTTGGCACCCAACGTGTGGCTATAGAAGTCACATGTCCAGGGGTTGATACCTGACTACCAACTGCAGATGCAGAGTCTTGAGCAGTCGTAGACTGGAAATCATTATCCACTGCAAAACGGTATTTAATGGTAGGGTCCCTATGTAATTTGGAGTCCTCATATGTTTGGTTATCAATTGCAAAACCAGTATCTGATGAAGTCTCTTCGAGCTGTTTGGCCTTGGCATTATTAGCCCTGAAATTTAATGATTCGGGTTATTGTTAAAGGAATGCATCAAAACTGCTTATTGTTAATTTCCAATGTAAAAATAGACACCAATACCATATAGAAATGGTATTTTTGACTGCTTTAGAAATTAAACAATGATAACAGTATAACTTTCCTCCATCTATATATCAAATGTATGTTATAAAACCAAGTCAACACAGCATTTAGTAGTTGTGTGAAACATGGATTTAGTGATAAAATTCGCCTACATGTACCTGTTATTCCTAACACAATAGATTGCAACACCAACAATTGCAGCAACAGCTACCAATGCAGCTACAACTGCAATGACTGCAGTAGTTGTGGCATCAAGACCTTCTTGCTTAGCGGGAATGTCAAATCTGTTACAGAATTCAGCTGAAAATAAATTAATAAAAATTTTGTATTTTGGTACAAGAGTGAGTCCTATGCTTGTTAGTACTTGCATGTACTATTCAATTCTTTTAAAATTAGCTAAGATGACTGATTTGATTTGGTACTGTCCTGTTTTTAGTTACCATTATTGTTTTTTTTTTGACTTGCATAATCTAAATAAAAAGTATAGCTTGACAATCCAGTATATTGGTATATTATGAGGCAATGAATAGATAATTCCCGTGTTCAAGTTTGTGTATAAATATCTCAGAAATGCTAGTTTTTCTAATTTCTGAGCACAATGTTTGTTCCATAATAATTAGTATATAAAGAAAACATGAATCATATATAGCAAGTTTCATTTTAGAAAATATCCCTTACTTTCACTATCAGAGAATTCTGTAGTTGACTTCTCAGGGTTACAAATCTTGCATTCGTCACCTTCTTTCTGGTCATTTGCCCTATAGCACTTGCCTTCGATACTACATCCAATCTCCTATAATACAATCAATATACAGTAAAAACCTCCAATGCAGTAAAAAATTCAAATGTGAAATTTCTAATTAGAAAACCTCTCAATGTGAACAGAGCATATCTTTAATCTGCAATCAATATCAGCCCTGAATCAAGATTTGAGTTCGATAAGGCACATCTATGAATATGAAAGACTGATTCAACTAACCAACAAACTAAGGTTGGAACACCGGACAAAGATAGGAGTGCTGCACACATTCCCTGTATCACCATCCCCCCCCACCAAAATTCAGCACTGAATATTCTGTATTAGCATGTGGGTGCACACAGGTGCATACTAACCTGTGGCGTACATATGACTTCCTCTGCATCACAGACCTTACAGGCAGAGTCATACACCATCCACAACATCAGATTCTCACTGGCTTGAACACCGTCATTGCTGACACCTAAAACACACAAATACATTCTTTAATACATTTAAAACTAGATATACAAATACTAAATATTGAATCGCTATAGTACATGAAGTTTATTAAATAACATGTCAACAACACGGCATTTGCATACACATGTCATTTGTTACAGATACCAAATGCCAGACACCGACCACCACCCTCCAAAAGTCAAACACCATCCACAAAAAATTGGAGACATTGACATAATTTCCTGGTCCCTTATTAATGAGATTAGCATAGGCAAAGGCCGATAGGAATAATTTTTAAATAAAGATGGCATGGTAATCGATCTGTGTTTGAGAAAAAGATAATACTGGATTCTGTTGGTGCTGCCATCTTTATATCGGCCCAGAACCTATGGTGATTAGTAATTATTTAAACTTACTGATGAAGTAGTGATCCAGAGTTTTAAGCTTGCATTGAATCTCATTGAAGTTTATGTAGGTTCCATCCACTTTTGTGAACTCTCCTGTAGGACGGTGGGAAGTACCACTAATCTGTAACATGCAATACAAAAATGGCATTACAGAATAGAGAAGGATTTAATTTAATTTTTGGACAGACCAATGCTTGGTATGTGTATAAATAAATACATGAGTAGAAAATACTAGTCAATTATATTCATCAGAGTGATACTACATCAAACACCTGACTCTAATTTTGAAAAGCCACATCAGACTAATGTGCAAATATATGTACATGTGCATGTACTTCTTATTTGCACTGAGTTACTTTTACTATGTTTCGCTAATTACTTCCTCTGTGTACTGTATAATGATATAGATTGAGAGCAATTTTTAATATTTGTCCTTTTAACATGCTCACCTCAACACGCTCCAAGTGACATGTCAATTGGGGAGAATCTACGAAATCGTCTCCAAGTACCACAGCAATGGAACAGTCGGTTCCAGCTCTCTGGTCACACAGTCCATCATCTTTGATGTCTTGCAGGTCTGGGACCGCTGACTTACTCTGACTACAGTCTTCACCGGTGAACTCTTCATTACACTCACATGTACCTGGGATAAACATGTATATGTTAAATATCAGGTTTACATATAAACTGAAGTAAAGTAAAACGTGTCTAAGTGAAACACCTTTGGTACCTCTAGAAAGTGTTCCACTTGGGAGGTGTTCTACTAACAGAGGTTTATTTAACATTAAGTCAGTTGGTATTGGGGCTCTGAAAAGTGTTCCACGGGTGTTCTGCTTCTAGAGGTTCATCAAACATTATGTCGGTTGGTTTTTGGACTCAAAAAGGTGCTCGACTAACTTGTTCCACTTTACAAGTTTTACTGTAGCATAAATGTGTAGGCCTAAATGCAATATGATTTCATAACAGTGTCCATACAGACAGATTAGAAACTTGCAGCTGATGGCAATTACTTTTCACTCTGCGCAATGAACAAGTCGCCAGTTAGGCAATGGACTTATATGGACCCATATATGGTAAATTGAGGCAATACTATTTTCTATCTTAGTCCAAAACCCTGCATACAGTATAATTTATTATATACCCAATATGTAACACTAATCCTGATTGGTCAATACCTAGTCACGTGTTCCGAAATAGATTTACTATTTCCCTCGGAAAGTTATATTCCCTCAAATGTGACATCAGCGGTAATATACATTTGAACTATTGCCCGCTGACGTCACGATTGCAACTACATTGTAGAGGATATTCCCTCGGGGAAATAATTTACACTATTGCCCTCAATGGCAGTCACTATTTGTATAATATTGAGTATTATACATAAATGTACAAATATCTTCTTTCTTGTCATACATGTAATATGCATATGTCAAATAAAATAAAACAAAATATTTGATGAGTCATTCATTTGAAATATGATTTATAGAGGTGAGAATTTTGTTTTCAAATGTTGCCCATTATTTTTTTCAAATTCTAGAATGTACCCACCATTGACACATGCTCCATTGTTATTGCAGTTGTTAATACAGTTGACAGCTTCTATTTGATCAGCTATGGACACACCGCCATCATCTCCTTCTTCACTGTATGTAGGATCTTTGTCTAGAGTGTCAGCGCAATCAGAGAGAGCATCTTGCACATTGTTCTCTGCCCAAGATGTGTTGCCGTCATTCAACTGGAAATACAGAAATATATTTATTCAGAAATCACTGAAGTACATCTGCACTTGAAACGGAGACAATAAATTCAAACAAGGTATTTACACGCAAAATGTCACTGCCTGCCATTTGTTACAGATGCCAACTGCTGAAAGTCAAACACTAACCACAATCCACAAAAAGAGACTAAAACACTATGATAATAACACCACTTGTAAAATTGTGAATAAAAATATATTCTCACCTTGATATCTTCAACACAGGATTCTATTTTCTCATCAAGGTTGAAATCTTTAAGATTCTCAATGCAGATCTTCATAGCAGGATTCTTTTGTTCTGGAAAATACATTTGCAATAATGAACTCAAATTCGATAAATTCAATAGGACTTGGTGGTTTGGTCAATGAATCAAAGTCCTTTGTAAAGATTAAAATAATATTTAGTTCTGACCTTGTATTTTACTCACTTTTACTTTACTAGAAATTAGTGTATAGAGCATGCATCTCAATTTTCTTTTTTTAAGGTTATTGTTTTTGTTTTCCTTACAACTTTTAAAAGAGATGCAATATATTTTCTCACCTCCACCATTTTCAATGAACTCCCTACAGAAATCCTCTGCAGTGGTCTGATTCCAGCCTTCAATATCCTCCCACTCAGGCTCCTAAAGAATAATAGCAGAAAGTACTATATTTTGCAAAATTGCAAAATATTATTGCCCACAATTCCAATAGTTCTAATTTGCGGAATATAGTACTAGTAGTCGCAAAATTCCCTGGAATTTATTTCACTCAAACTTATGTTTCACATTGGTGAAAATCTAATGTCTACATTAAATTGCATTGTTTAAGTTATTGTTAAATGATATTTGAAGCACATAACTGTAATAAGATTTAGAAGTAATTTTTCGAAGAATAACTTCTACCTTAACCTTTGATTAAACAATGTTACTGTATTAATTTACTACATTGTTATCTCTGCAAAATCATCTCTCATCATGATCATATTAAATAGAGTTAGTGATTCATATGCAATATTTCTACAAACCTCAGGGTTAAAGTCAGCATCAAAGGCGAAATCATCTGCTGCTGCCTGTCGTTTCTTTCTACCTTGTTGTGCTTGCTGTACAAGGTCTATGGCAGTAGAGACCACCTGACTGGTCACCTCATAGCCTGTAATATATGTACACTGACATTATAATGTTATTCACGCAATAATGTCCCCATACAATACAACTGAAATATTATTGATATAGTTTAACAGAATTGTTATATACACATGATACATGTAATTCTGTTATTATTACAAAATGAACATAGGTTGGGAAACGAACAATAGTGCCACATTGAATTCAAGTCTCGCTGATGCCTCTCGTCAAAGTGTCTTATTGAATTCAAGTCTCATTGATGCCTCTCGTCAAAGTGTCTCATTGAATTGAAGTCTTGTTGATGCCTCCCATTGGGGTCATATTTTGAGCCAGAGGTACTGGTATCATGAACATCTCCCATGAAGGTCAATCATGAAATATCTATTCACAACATATCAGCTTTTTAATTCTGCCACAAATTTTTTATTTACTTACGGAAGTCAAAGTGGCAGGTTTCGACATCAAAAGCTCTCAAACAAGTGGCATCTGCTTCGTCTGTCACCTCGCAATAGCGAGCAGGGGCGTATTGGTTCCTTTCAACACCATAAATGATATACTCATCCTGGGTTGCTCTGTAAAATACCACACATTGATTAGGATAATACATGGTAAAACAATGTATTTTACTAATAAAGGATAAAACTTCTGTGATCTACTTATAAAGATTTCTTCATCTTCACCAAGGATCTTTTTAATCATGTGATAAAACTATTAGCCAATGAAAAGGGAGAAACAGTGCAGTGTATAATATAATAATTAGCTATATATTAACCTCCAATCCAGGTTGAAGGATTCGGATCTGATTCTCCTCCTGCGTCGTCGCACATCAAGAGCCTGAGTGCCGTCACGCATGGTGAAGTCATTCAACTTGTCTCCATCATAGAATCCACACAGACCTTAAAATCATACAGTAAATAGAGAAAAATTAAGATAGTATAATGTAGAAAATACTGAAAGTTATATAATACCTGCTCTTTTTTACATTTTCTTTCCTTATTTAGTTTTTTCAAATTATAAGTTTCAGCAAGATGTAGTGTAGTGAATAAGCCATTATTTTAGAATAAAATATGTAATTAAATGCTTTATATATCCAGAAGGATATCAAACTGATTAGTATATTGTATTAAATGTATGTAATATTACTGTTAAATAAAAAAAATAAATAAATAAAAATATATATAGTTTTTATGAATTCACACTCCCCAGAAAGTATACATGTACATTTATTTCATTAAATATCTGATTTCTTAAATTTTTTAATTGAATTATACACATGTACGTGGAATAATATATCACTTATAAACTGAACAATGAATATACACTGTATATAATATAGGGCAGGGAAAGTATAATCGATATTTTGACAATGAAATTGTTTTGATTTTCAAAATACAAAATGTTTATCAATATTTATGGAAGAAAGTCACCAAAGGACTTAGTAGTTTTGAACTGCATTTCAGATTGGCCTCTTTACTTCCCCTTTAAATGAAACTACTACAATTCTTGCTATTTCAAAATTTAAGTTGCTAACTGATTTCAATTTCTCAAGGTGAATGAAAGATCTAGCTGGCAATAAATATACCTTCTGTGTTCTTCCAGTCCGCTGATGAGGGGATGACCCAGACATTGATCAAATTTCCCCTTTTAGACAGCCAGATGTCTACAAGGGTTCCATGTGGCAACAGAACCTGTAATTAAATGTTGCTTTTTTAAATGTTAGCTAAGGTAAGAATATATGTCATTAATATTGTAACGACTGTGGGCATGCTAAATAGGGGAGCTGTACAGTGTAACGAGCCAGATACTAGACATGAAAGGGAGTTTGCTAAATTCAATATCCCACGCGGGAATTGAAACGAGGACCTTCCACTCACAAGACTGGTGCTCTACCATTTTAGCTAAAGAGGCTAGCCACTAAAGCCATGACTGTAGTAGTAACTTGCTATTGAGAGTCATTACAATATGTCATACAAGTGTATCATATGGAAAAGACATCCTTTGAAAGATCAGATCAGCTGAACGTGTACACAGTAAAACCTATCTAGGTGGAATAGCTTGGTTCCTCTTAAAAGTGTTCCACTTGGGAGGTGTTCCACTTACAGAGGTTAATTCGTTACAGAGGTTAATAATAATAATTTTGTGTTAAAAGTACCACTACAGTATGTAGACTGTAGCATATGTTAATATTTTCATATGCATCAGTAAATAAGATTATGCAATAGTTAACATTATTGTAATATCATAACTGATTTAGTCTTACACGGATCACTTCTCCTAATATGAAAAGACAATCTATTAAGTGTAAACAAAGGTCCATGTGAAGTATGGCAAGTGATTTTAGATGGTCATATCTTTCACCATGAATACTTTCTTTGGCATGAATACAGTGGTTTTTATGAGAACAGTATGTGTTCTTTAAAATGAAGTACCCATGTCAATAAATATATCAATCGAACAATTCGAAAAATCATTCTGATTTTTATTGCATGAAAAGATTATTCAACAAGGTGTCTATAACTTCTTCAAAAGTATAATGGTATTGAATGTGTAGTTTTGAAGATACCAATTTTCAATGACCAAAATTATGCTGAAAATAATGGATAGCATGAGTTTTCCCCAAGGGAAAATAACATTGGATATGTGGTTTTTAACTTTAACACATTCTTTTCAGGTGAAGAAGAAACTTTTGATACATTTAAATTGAGAAAAACAAGATCCTCTTTTTAGAAGATAAGCCTAACATTTTTTTAAAAGTGCCAAGGTGGGGTCCTAAACCATAATTTTTCAGAGAGTTAGATTGCTATTTTACTATCATCGTTACTTCACTTTAAAGAATAAAATCCACTGTATTTATGCCAAGAAAGTATTCATGGTTAAAGATATGATCGTCTAAAATCAGTTGCATTACTGCACATGGACCTTTACACAGTTAATGCATGTAAATGAGTTCAGAAAATTGTCAAAATTTGTGGTTTTCTACCATCATTAAATTCACACCAAAGTGCTTGATTGTTGTTTAAATGTATAACTTAAGACTTACACCATAGCGCCGTCCATTGTTCCTCTGGAAGATATGAGTTCCATCTGTTAGTTTTGTGTGGATTCTTAATCCAACCTTCACGAGGGACATCGCTTTCTTGACACCTTTTCCGAATATCCTTCGTCGTTTTGTCTGATTAGGTTTTGCGCAGCGATCGATATAGAACACGGAATCACCAGATCTGACAGCAACTGCACAGTTACAGGATGCCTTGGCGTTGTTAGCGTCACTGCATTTTGTGTAGAAGATTTGGACCTGGATTGGAAGAGGGTGAAAATGGGTCCTATGTGAAGTTTAAAAAACTCATTTTGCCACATTTAAAAGCCACAATAAACCATCCGAATAAGTATCAAGGGTAAACACATACAAATTAGTATATCAGGAAATGTACAGTACTTAAAATGGAAAATAATAGATTGTTTATTTCTTCATCGAGCAAAACTCTCATTTACCTCAGCGGGAAGTTGCTTATGTCTGTAGAAATGGAAGAAGCCTTCCCTGTGGTTGTCATAGGCACGTCCATCAAATGTTGTGATGTGAGGATCATTGATACTCTTGCAAACTGATTTCCTGTCTCTGTCTATGATCTTTACCTATATATGAAAAAAGGAAAGTGTCAAGCTGTTTGCTATAGACCGTGTAAATGTAAATGAATAACTACATGTAGGTTCACTATGTGACTACTGAACGAAGTAAATACTTCCACAATTTTTTATTGTTGAATGCTCAAGTTAAATAAATGGTGCCACTATGTCAAATCTGAACACCTCTAAAGGGATATTTATTTGTTTCAGCTGTCTGTTCTATAGCATTGTTCAATAGTGGATGTTTCATCACCCCAAGGGTGCACTTATTAGGCACTGTTATACTACTTGTACAAAAACTGTTCATTAAGGATTAAGACAATTGCCAAAAAATACAATTTAACACACCCACAGGGTAGTTAAAACCAGATATGAAAATCAATATCAATCTGTACTTTTAAATTCAAAATAAAACATTCAAAGTAAAATGTATTCTTACATTCACTGTTTTAGTCTCAACAATAGTTTCAGTTGTCCCAACAATTTTCTTGCTATGTAGAGTCAGTTTTCTCATTTTATTTCCATCAAAGAAACCGTCCATCTTTGCTTTGATTGGCACATTGTGGCACGTTTCATAATCAGTATCAGTGAACTCGACACGATTGTAAGTATTAGAATTCCCATGTTTGCCAAATACGGCTTGGACGGAGGTTCTTCTGTCTCTGTTTCTTCTACCGCGACACCTGCAATATACAATGTACATATGTATTAATAAAGTAAATAAAGCTGACACGACATGAACATGTTCATATCCTCTGTTCTCCAGGTGTACATGTAGCATTACCACTTTAATCTTAAAGATTTTTTTAATTATACATGTTTATTATCAATTTATTTTAATGATGTATGTAAACAATAGCAGACATACCAAGAGAATGAAGGAAAACATGTTTGTGGCTAATACCCAATTGTACATAAAGTCATAACAGTCATATTTTGGAAAAAACTCACCGTCCTAGGTCTGTGAATATACATGTAACTATAACTGCATATATACACTCTAAAATGGATATGTTGGGAAAAATTTACCTCGGCCATTTGCCGTGTTCTAGATCCAAGTCGACAACTGCCTTACAGTTTGCCTCTCCAGCACAGATACTATCGCCAGGTGGTGCTGTTCCCTTGATACACAGGTTTACGGCAGACTCGCCTTCAATGACAGTCATTTGCTTACGGTCGACGATCATCTAAAATTGTACGAAACATATATAGATGAGCTTCAATAGCATTAAACCATGCACTACAGGCTATGTGTAATTTCCTAGAGTAGCATCATCTCCTTAGAGGATTTAATGAATTTCTGTTGTTTACATTCAACAATCATTGAACAACATGAAACATTAAATGAATGACACTTGGATCAAATCATCGCATATGACTCAGGCAACAAATGACTACTTTCACAACATGAGTAACATTTCGAGCTTAAAAGAATATTGAATTGTATACAGAATTTTTTTATCCCCCCCTCCCCTATTCAAACTTCATACCTTGAAGTCTGGTTTTTCCTTGCATCTCTCAGTGATTCCCTCCAGAACAAACTGGAAAGTTGAGTTGATTGTCAGTCTGAACTCATTGTCACATCCCAAGGCAGCATTCAGGATACATCCCCATGATGCTGCTATCTTACTGTAATACAAGGAGATTTATGGAGCATAAATTTGATTGCATGATTTTGGTCTACTACAATCTACATGCTGATCAACATTCACAATACATGGTAACCATATGCCCCCTCCATCTCTATACTTCTGGAATGCACAATAAGAAAGATGCTATGAACATCAGAATGCATGCTGATATTTTAAATGTTAATCTTAATTTTAAGCTAAATGTAAAAAATATGAAAATTTAAAGTAAAAGTAAAATTGTACATACGTTTCAATGCTAGTGCAAAAGCCCTTCCAGTCAGGATTTACAATGGTGGTGATTGAACTAAACTCAGCGAAACATTTGTTAGTGACAAAATCTGGTGTACACTCTTTGACGCTACATGTCTGTTCAATGAAGTCGATCTCTGTCTGGATTCTCTCAGTGACTTGCTTCTTGTATGTGTAGTCGCAGCCCACAATGACGGTAGTGGTACATTGTTGAAGGGTAGATAGATGTCCTCTTATACCCCTGAAATTCAATTAAACATTTGCTAGATTATCTCTGCAATACTTTAACTTTTCTATTGTTGATTTTTAGGGCTTGTGTGTTTTCAAATGTTGTCCTTTCTGATAATTTTTGAGTTAAAACTTGTTTCATGTCTATAAGCACTTTTGAAGATGGTAATTCAGTAAATATACAACTTGCCTATGTCAATAATCTGCAAAAAGGTAATAAACCCATTTAAAGCAGAAATATAATTTAACTTACTGACAAATGACGTATCTGTCAACATTGGGCTGCCTAATCTCAGTTCTGAATTTCTGTAGCTGGAACTTGAAGTCTGAGAAACAGGTCTCACTTGATGAAATCTCACACCTGGGTTTAGTATCTGGACATTTGTTACCAACCATGCTTAGTGTCATCTTCCAGGCCTAAACAAAAAAGATGAAAGTATATTGAATGAGAGTTTAGATTTTTAGATTGTGACTGTGTGCCTTGTCCTAAAAAAACAGATGTGAATGAATAAACACAAGGAGAACATGCATCTCGAACTCGCAACCTCGTGGTTACAGCACCCAATCCCCTAGCCTGAACGTGCCGACGCTCAAGCCCTTTCGGCCCAACTCGACAACCCCTGAGTTTTATATGATTTTAATTATGACAATTCGAACTGTATACAACTAGAATTTAGTTGTCTATGTATTTCGCTAATATAGACCTCTACATTTGTATCACTCATGTTTGGGGCAAAACACTATGCTTTTGCATGCACCACTGAACCTTCACCCATCTGGCACAAAGCATAAACTGCAAGTCAATATATCATATTTCTAATGGCTTCTTAGCCTCATTTAAAAACATAATCACATGAATCATAGTTTATCAAATGTCATTTTGTGTTTCCCAAGCTCTTGTTAATTTGTGATGTCATATTTCAGAGGTGTTTAACTATACATACATAAGTGTCAAGAGTATGTACACTTGTATCTGCACTGTTAATTCTGTTCAAAAAAATTAAAAATATATTTTTACCTGAGAAATGCTGACTTTCTTGCTATCAGAGCAAGCAACTGTGTTAGTCTCCACACACTCTGCTGTGGCCTTTAGAGATCTGGCAATTTAAACAATTTGTATTTATAGAGTTTGTTAACATTGCTGAGTTAACCAAAAACTGCTGAGTTAAACAAAAAATTAGTCTATTGCAATAGCTAGAGATATTTACAACACAGAAGAATATTGAAATAATTATGATATACTATATATGGTACTTATGACTCGTTGGATATGTTGCTAATTCAAATATCCAAAGGGAAAAAATAAAATGTTTTTCAAAACATTGAAAGAAAATGAAACAGGAAAACAAAACCTAAATATCAAAAGCAATGATCAGACGTGTAACTAAACAATTTCTAATACCCCTCCCCTATCATAATCACATGTTTCGTTAAAAAACTGAAGTTATACAATTTAAGACCGATTAAATTTTCGAATCTGTAATTTTTATCTCATCTGGTTTGAATAGAATTCACATATAAATGTACTGACCCACAAACAATGTTTTGGTAGAGACTGTCATCAACACCTCTAGCTCCAATGATGACTTTCTGAACTTCAAGGATACACTTTAGTGTATTAGTGACATCACATATACCTGGAGCTACAATACACACAGTACACCATTAACATAAATAAACACAATATTAAGATCCATGCTTCACATCTATTTTGTCTATATCTTTGACATAAACAATTAAATAATTTGGATTATGATCTATATCAAATTTCCAAAAGAATAGATTTTGTAAATTGTACAAACATTTCAAGCAGAATAAAATATACACAATTCAAAAGAAATGTATTCACATTATTATTTTTTCCATTTTTCTTTGACCAAAAATTAAGCTTGTCACAGTTAAGTCACTCTATTATTATAAATTGTATATGGCATTGCATAGTACATTTTATGACCGTATACATACAAATAAATAAATATAAAATAAAAAGAAAAAAGTCAAAATAAATATGACTTACGTCTTGTGGGTGGGTCAAGAGTGGTGCATGGCCTGCATGGGTTAGCTGGTCCTTCATGCCATTCTCCCGCGATGCAATCATAGTCGCAACACTTGTGAGTCAAAATGCCATCTATACACTCATAGTAGCAATGGTCGTCAATGCGGATGAACCAGTCGTTCCATTTGGAGGTGCATACTGAAAGGAGTAAATGTTATGATAAACTGGCATGAATCTCATGAACACAGTAAAGTACAAACCTAATGATATTTATAAAAATGATATACAGATGTTTTAGCAGAAAATCCTCAAACAGGATAAAGTGATATCCTATGAGTATGGCATATATCTACAGTAATGGCTTTAGTTTCCTTTTTCAAGGATGGTTTAAAGCTAAATATGTAAAATATCAATTCTTACCAGAGCTGGGGGTAGTTGTGACTGGAGGCAGTTTGGGACACTGGCCACATGGGTAATCACCTCCCTCTGTGAATCCTGGGGTCATGCAGGTTCCTCTGGGGCAACAGAAACAGTATTCCTCACCAGATTGGCACACGGAATAACACCAGTCATCTGTCTTAGTGTACCATAATCCCCTTGAGTCATCACATTCTGGAGCAGAAACATTGAACAATGTTTTATTCATAACAGAGTAATGTGCCAACAGAAAGGCATTTTTGTTAAGCTTTGAACGGAACAAGTTTGAAGAAAAACGGTGCAGTATGAGACCTCAGACTACAGATGAGACTCGCAATCCTAGATTTTCATGAAATATAAGGCTAATCTGGTAGCCAACAGGCTTTAGTTGCATTCCCGAATACAAGCTTAGTTTATGCTATTACTAAATAATAAAAATATGTATATAAAATATATTGTTCATCTTTATAATATTTTTAATAACAAATTACTCACTTGGTGGTGGGGCTTCCGTGACAACAGGTGGTTGAGTAGCAGGGACTACAAATATAGAATATATTATACATATTAAATGGTATAAAACAGTATGCTATCATAGATGTATTTCTCTTTAAAATCCCATTATTGGTTCAATAATGAGAAACATTATATTCTGGACTGTATAAGCAAGAATTATATAAGCAAAGCAAACACATTCAATTTACATATGAATCATGTTCCTTCAAGCAAATGAAGCCAGATAGTATAAACTATATATTACAAAGCAAAGCAAATGTGTTTTTCTATATATTGACAAATATGGGAGTATGTTGGAAGCTATGGTAACTATTCTAGTTAATTGTTACAGATCCAGAGTAAGCAAAATGTTTTTCTTCTGGAATCATTAAGGAGTCAAACCTGTCGTTGAAACAGTGTCACATTCCCCACAGGGGTTAATATTTCCTTCCACATATCCTTTCAGTATACAACTATCTGGTCTGCAGCAATATTTGTACTCTTCTCCCTCCACACAGTGATAGAAACATCTCTCATTCATCACAATGTACCAGTCATCAGCCTTTCCATTGCAGATACTAGGGGTAGAGGTGGTGGGTGGATATGTAGGGGGATTCGTGGGTGGATATGTAGGGGGATTCGTGGGTGGAATAGTAGGTGCCTCCGTGACACATTCACCACAGGGGTTGATATTTCCTTCTACATAGCCCACCAATAAGCAGCTCCCCTGTGCACAGCAGTGTTCAGATTCAATACCATTTTCACAATGGTAAAAACAACCACCACCTTTCACAATGTACCAGTTTCTAGCTTTTCCACTGCAAATTGTGCTTGGTGTAGTGGGGACATTTGTGGGTGGAATGGTTGGGGCATCAGTGGGTGGAATGGTTGGGGCAACAGTGGGTGGGATGGTTGGGGCAACTGTAGGTGGAATGGTTGGGGCAACAGTGGGTGGAATGGTTGGGGCAACAGTAGGTGGAATTGTTGGGGCATCAGTAGGTGGAATAGTAGGGGCAACAGTGGGTGGAATGGTTGGGGCAACAGTAGGTGGGATAGTTGGGGCAACAGTGGGTGGAATGGTTGGGGCAACAGTAGGTGGAATAGTTGGGGCAACAGTGGGTGGAATGGTTGGGGCATCAGTAGGTGGAATAGTAGGGGCAACAGTGGGTGGAATGGTTGGGGCAACAGTAGGTGGAATAGTTGGGGCAACAGTGGGTGGAATAGTTGGGGCAACAGTGGGTGGAATGGTTGGGGCAACAGTAGGTGGAATAGTTGGGGCAACAGTGGGTGGAATAGTTGGGGCAACAGTAGGTGGAATGGTTGGGGCAACAGTGGGTGGAATAGTTGGGGCAACAGTGGGTGGAATAGTTGGGGCAACAGTGGGTGGAATGGTTGGGGCAACAGTAGGTGGAATAGTTGGGGCAACAGTGGGTGGAATAGTTGGGGCAACAGTAGGTGGAATGGTTGGGGCAAGAGTGGGTGGAATAGTTGGGGCAACAGTGGGTGGAATGGTTGGGGCAATAGTAGGCCGTGGAGTAGGGGCTTGAGTTGGAGGATTGGCATTACAGAAACCACATGGATTTGTTCTTCCAGCTGTGTACCCATTTATCAGACATGTTCCAGGGGCGCAACATTTCTCGTAGCCAATCTGGTTGGCACAGTGATGGAAGCAGTTAGTGCCTATTATAGCAATGTACCAGTCGATTCTCACACCTTGGCAAACTGTCAAGCAAAACAATAAAGCATTTACTAAACAGAGTCAGGGCTCAGTTGTTTTAAATACAAGCAAAGCAGGTAGTACAGTAGTATTAGCAATTTATTAAATAGTCTTTCAATCCTGCAAACTGAACCCTTAATTTCAGAAAATTTATACTAGATAATATTAAGCAAATGATAAAAGTCATCCAAATGCATGCATGTATCACTATGGCATAATATAAGACTGGACATTTATAATATACTAAACACACTATTATAACATAAATAAACATAGTATAACAAGCTGTTTACCAAATTATACTAATCTACATGTACATTTACTCATCTGCAAAGCTGAGACAATTCTGGGGGTCGTTTCCAGAAATGTCGTAGACTTACGATATCGTGACTCCACGACAGTCGTAGGAATGGTGAAAGTTACGACAAACTTACGACTGTCGTAGACTTACGACAGATCCGTTTCCATAAAAATCGTAAGTCTGTCGTAGAAATTCGCAAGTCACGACAAGTTCCACGATAAGTGATACGAACGTCACGTGACATTCTTATTTAAAATTTTAGTTGTATAATATGGTCTTCTAGTCCTGTAGTCGTATATTTATTGAAAGTTATTGATTTGTTTAAAAATGAAATCACAGGCCCGGGATCATAGGCCCGTGCTCGAGGGCTCGTCTTAGTAAACGGTCAACATTAATAATTTTTACTTCAAATAACGCAAGAAGGAAGACAGCTTTGGTACAGTTACATGATCATCATACACCAGGAATTCTATGACTAAGAAATAATCTTACCCAATGTTATCAAAGTTTGATATGTGAAACTTTTTTTAATTTTAAAAAGAGGTTTTTGAAGGACTTTTTGTTCAAAAATAGTGAATTTTAGAGGTCACACGTATCTTTTAATAAGCGATAATTCATACCAATGCTTAGTATTCATCCTCACATATTTTTTTAAAGGAATATTGAACTATAGCAATGCAATTATCGTTAAGTTTCTGGAATTAAATGCCAAAAAAGACCTTGACATACTTAAACTCATTTCAATACCCACCCCCTTTTCGGAAATTGTTAATATAGTGTAGAGGAGACTTTCGATATGTTTAAATTGAGAAAAACAAGATCCTCTTTTTAGAAAATAAGCCTACAGTTTTCAAAAAGTGCCAGAGTAGGGCCCTAATCCATAATTTTTCAGAGAGTTGGATTGGTATTTTACACTCATGGGGACTTCATTTGAAAGAAAACATATTGTTTTTATAAAAGCCATTGTATTTATGGCCAGAAAGTACTCATGTTGAAAGATATGACTCTTTAAAATCACTTGCCATACTGCACGTGGTCTTTTCTCTCCAGTAGCCCAAATAATATCCTTATTTAGTGGTACAAATATGGACGAGATTGGTTACATATTATGTGAGACCGGTACTTCCATAGCGTTTGTGCCAGCTATCAAGTGATGTAGTGGCATCCTGACACTGGCATCAGTTTTTGTCTCAAATAAGGTTGTCTCTGGGTCAGGTATATTGATTTGTTTCATTGTTCTCTGTATCCAAATTCCGTTCTGTCCAAAGTTTCAGTTTGGAAGGATTAACGTTAACGATGTCTTTCAGTGAAAGCGATACGGCTACTATTGAAAATTGTTTCGACAAGGTGAAAGGATGTGTTGGAAGATGAATCCCAGAACCGTTAAGCTACGTTCACACCAACGCCGCTTTGATGGCGCTTTAAAGCGGCTTGTAAAGCGGCACCAAAGCGTAACAAAGTTTGATTAAAGCGTCGGGGTCGTAATAGGTAATAGAAAAGCTCGGAGTTAAGCGGGATATTCGGCAAGAGCACTAAAAATTTAAACTGTTCAAGCTACGTTCGCACCAACGGCGCTTTGATGGCGCTTTAAAGCGGCACCAAAGCGTAACAAAGCTTGATTAAAGCGTCGGGGTCGTAATAGGTCGTGGAAAAACTCGGAGTAAAGAGCGGGATAATCGGCAAGAGCGCCAAAACATTTTAAACTGTTTAAAAATTTTGGGCGCTCTGTTACGAATTGATTGAAGCGCCGAGAGCGTATCAAAGCTTAACAAACAGTAACAAAGCTCAACAAAGCTTGATCCAAAGCGTAGGAAAGCTTAACAGAGCTTGGTTCAAAGCGGGGACCCCAGTCTCTTCACGGTCTATTACCACTTGACACGCTTCGTTAAGATGTCTCAAGATTTGCTACGATCTGGCATGAAGATCTGACACGAGGTCAGACGCAACGGTAAAGTTAAATACCTGTATCACAAATGGCGGCCACAGGTTCGTATTCGATTCAATTTGAGTCTGTTGAAAGCCCATGTTTTTCATAAAATGAATAGTTTAATAGAGCACCTAGATTTAATTCCTTTTGTACAACAATCAATCATCGTATAGTTTATTATGATCTACCATCGAAACAAAGCCTTAGTTTAACCGATCAAAATATGACACAGGACAACGGATATTGCAAATGACAACGATAAATGTGGGTCAAATGTGCTTTAAAATCGGGATGAGAACGGTAACATTTAATGATGGTAATGTAACCCTAGAAGCATTGAATCTTAATGGTATGATGAGCCTAACATTTTTAAAAAGTGCGAAGGTGGGATCCTAATCCATACTTTTTTAGAGAGTTAGAATGATATTTTACTACCATGGGACTTCACTTGAAAGAAAACATATTGTTTTAATAACAACCACTGTATTGATCGCCAGAAAGCACCCATGGTGAAACATATGACCATCTAAAATCACTTGCCATACTACACATGGGCCTTTGGATTTCATATAATATACCATCACAAGATCTTAATACACGCACAGAATTAGCGACGATGAGGTCCCGTGAACTGAAAAAGTGATTAAGAGTAGATGCGATGGTTACGTCCGCCATCTGTGACAATGGTAGCTGACTTTATCGTTGTCAGGGTGTTCCGGTGTAGGTAGCTAGATAGTTTACCGGAGACAAATATACATGATTTCAGAATAAAGTGGATGTAGATAGTTTGGCGATATGCATATTTGCAACTCAAGAAAGGAAATAATGCAATAAATAATTGATGATGAACTGACTTTTGGTAAAACAATAATATTTCTCACCTTGCTTCATTCGTTAAAAAATACAATCCAAAGAGGCGAGATAAGTTAATGTTTTAAATTATAATTATTCAATACACCATTTAGAGAAAACATGGTTATTTTTGATTTACACAATCTTAAAATTGTTATGTCTCTTTTTTAAAACCCAACTCGATCAACCTTCATATGAAATAATATGATCTCTCGTTTCCTTTATATTCCTAAATAAGAAATAGAAAACCATGTGAACGATGATGCCGCCAACGAACTTCAGTTTCTCTATTTTTCAATAGCAGGGGCGGATCAAGGATTTCAGGTTAGGGGGTGCGCCTTGATTTTTGAATTCACTAAACCAGTGGCGTAGGAACATGTACGCCAAAGCAAATGCGTACTGTTGATCAAGATTTAGTTCTTGAAACGATGGTTGCAAATGGACTGAAAACTGGATCTGCAATGAATTAAAAGTTTCATTTTTCTTAAATAACGCCAACATTCTATTGTGTTTTTGGTAAAATTATTTTCATCAACATTCGATAAAATTTATTGATTTTAAACTGAAATCTTGATCAAACTGAATATCATAAACATACATATGATAACGTGTGACATACTAGTAATTGACAACTCTTTTAAAATAACTGGGCCATACTCTTAAATCTCTATCATCATTTGTACACGTTTGAACTAGACGATGTTACCCGTGTACGTCCATTATCATGACACCAATAATGATAAAAGGCTATTGTAATCTGAATTTAATTGTTTTACCAAAGTGAAATTGGTCGTCTATAGCGTCCTAAAAATAAAAACATATCTTTCATTAGACAAATCAAGGACGTCTATAGACGTCCTTGGATAAATAAGACGATGCGATTTAAAAGATCATCGTTTCCAAGCAGTGCATTATTTTGCATCGGAGGCATTTTAACATTGAAGCATACCATCTATTCAATACAACTATCAAAAAGACGATTTACAATTATACAATTAGTGTTCTAACATTCATTAATTTGCAGAGTTTTGAATTTACACCTATTGACACGTTATCGGTTTTTCATATACTTTTTTCAAAATCTCCATTGGTATTATCTACTTGAATACATGTATTTTTCTTTGATATTTGTTGTGTGTCATTATTGTAATTTTCTCGTCGAAAAGTGATTGAGTATATTGCGGCTTCCAGGCATCGGCTTCTCTTTGGCAAGTATTTAAATACCCAATTCTTTACATCGTATATTGCATAAATTGATGCTAGATTGAAAATATGTTTGTTTAAAATTGAATTGGCCATTTACCTTATGTTTTGGAGGTTGTGAAAATCGCAATTTCTTCAGCTATCTGTCAAGTGCTCGCCTTGAATAAGCCAACGTAAATTGTGACATAATCTATGAGATAATCAAAACCCCACAAATAACTCAAATATTGCTCTACGACAACCTTACGACACCCCATGGGGGTGTCGTGGGTTTAACACGATAGCTATTGTCTTTCTACGACAGGTGTACGACATGGTAGTTTGTCGTAGGTTTACGACAAATTTCTGGAAACGGGAATTTTTTACTTGTCGTGAAAACACAATTGAAGTTACGATATCGTAAGTCTACGACTTTTTTGGAAACGACCCCCTGTATACTGCATGTAGTAATATAAGCAGCACAGGTTAGGCAGGTACATGTTATGAAAACAAAGGCTTATAATACAGATATGTAACATTCATTTATCAATGAATATAAATACAATAAATGAAGCACAAGATAGTGTAAATTGTATTGTATTATAATGTTTTCTACAACCAAGAAATATAACTTAAAAATACCAAATTATATACAAAATAAAAAAAAATATTATGATAATATCTATCTTAACACAGAGTAATGTTTATATATAATATCATACTACAATGGGATGTACTAGTAAGTGTATAATTTGACACGTTAGTGTAACTCTCTGAATACCTGTGGGAGGATCAGTGACACCAGAACAATGATCACATGGATTGTCAAATCCCTCATTAAAGCCTGGTTTCACACATGTACCAGGGGCACAACATTTCTCAAAGCTCACACCCTTATCGCAATGGTAGAAACATTTCTCATCTTTCTTGATGTACACGTTATCAGCCTTCCCAGTGCACACTATTAGAAAATGTATGAATAAATGCATGTATATAATGAAATGTTGACATTCAATATAAGCAAGCATATGCATGATGCGCATAGTACTAGTAAATATACTGATGTATAATAAGTTGATGAATGATATAGTATAGTGATGTACAAAAAGTGCAACCATACAATACATATACAACCATGAATTTTATTTAAACCAATGGTTTGATGTTTTGTAAATGATATATTGATGAATTTATGATTATGAAAAATGTAAGAATAATAACCTGATGGTGGTTGAGCACAATGATCACATGGATTGTCAAATCCCTCATTAAAGCCTGATTTCACACATGTACCAGGGGCACAACATTTCTCAAAGCTCACACCCTTATCGCAATGGTAGAAACATTTCTCATCTTTCTTGATGTACAAGTTATCAGCCTTCCCAGTGCACACTATTAGAAATTGTATGAATAAATGCATGTATATAATGAAATGTTGACATTCAATATAAGCAAGCATATGCATGATGTGCATAGTACTAGTAAATATACTGATGTATAATAAGTTGATGAATGATATAGTATAGTGATGTACAAAAAGTGCAACCATACAATACATATACAACCATGAATTTTATTTAAACCAATGGTTTGATGTTTTGTAAATGATATATTGGTGAATTTATGATTATGAAAAATGTAGGAATAATAACCTGATGGTGGTTGTGCACAATGATCACATGGATTGTCAAATCCCTCATTAAAGCCTGATTTCACACATGTACCAGGGGCACAACATTTCTCAAAGCTCACACCCTTATCGCAATGGTAGAAACATTTCTCATCTTTCTTGATGTACAAGTTATCAGCCTTCCCAGTGCACACTATTAGAAAATGTATGAATAAATGCATGTATATAATGAAATGTTGACATTCAATATAAGCAAGCATATGCATGATGCGCATAGTACTAGTAAATATACTGATGTATAATAAGTTGATGAATGATATAGTATAGTGATGTACAAAAAGTGCAACCATACAATACATATACAACCATGAATTTTATTTAAACCAATGGTTTGATGTTTTGTAAATGATATATTGGTGAATTTATGATTATGAAAAATGTAGGAATAATAACCTGATGGTGGTTGTGCACAATGATCACATGGATTGTCAAATCCCTCATTAAAGCCTGATTTCACACATGTACCAGGGGCACAACATTTCTCAAAGCTCACACCCTTATCGCAATGGTAGAAACATTTCTCATCTTTCTTGATGTACAAGTTATCAGCCTTCCCAGTGCACACTATTAGAAAATGTATGAATAAATGCATGTATGTAATGAAATGTTGACATTCAATATAAGCAAGCATATGCATGATGCGCATAGTACTAGTAAATATACTGATGTATAATAAGTTGATGAATGATATATAGTGATGTACAAAAAGTGCAACCATACAATACATATACAACCATGAATTTTATTTAAACCAATGGTTTGATGTTTTGTAAATGATATATTGGTGAATTTATGATTATGAAAAATGTAAGAATAATAACCTGATGGTGGTTGTGCACAATGATCACATGGATTGTCAAATCCCTCATTAAAGCCTGGTTTCACACATGTACCAGGGGCACAACATTTCTCAAAGCTCACATCCTTATCGCAATGGTAGAAACATTTCTCATCTTTCTTGATGTACAAGTTATCAGCCTTCCCAGTGCATACTATTAGAAAATAATAGTATGAATAAATACATGAAATGTTTACATAAAATATAAGCAAGCATGATGCGAATAGTAAATAATGATGTATAATAATAATTTGATATATTGGTGAAATTACGTGTATGATTATGAAAAATGTAGGAATCATAACCTGATGGTTGTTGTGCACAATGATCACATGGGTTTTCACTCAAGCCCTCCTTAAAACCTGGCTTCACACATGTTCCAGGTGCACAGCATTTCTTGAATCCAATTTCCTTATCACAATGATAAAAACATTTGTCATCTTTCTTGATGTAGTAATCATCAGCCTTTCCGCTGCACACTGTAAAATGAGTGATAAGCGTAAATGATAAAGATTGTGACATAAATGAAAATATTGTTATATTATTAGTATAGCAATGATAACATGTTAGGATACAAAGTTATGTTTAGTGTTCATGCAATGAAAACAGAGTGTGTCTTTGACCTGATTGATCTGAGGCTGAACGGACACAAAATCCACAGGGATTGCCAAATCCTTCAGTAAAGCCTGCTTTCACACAACTTCCAGGAGCACATGTTTTTTCAAATCCAATTCCATTGGCACATTGTAGGTATTTAAAGGAATCAATCTTGATGAAAAGTCCAGTGTCTTTGCCATCGCATGATGGAGGCGGGGGAGGTGTTGGTTCTGGGGTGTCACAATGGCCACATGGGTTATCCAGGCCTTGACGGAATCCTTTTACGACACAAGAGCCTTCAGCACAATATTTATGGTAGCCATTTCCATGGGAACAATGCAGGAATGTAAAGTGTCCTGTCTTGATAAACCAGCCCTCTGCCTTATCACTACAGTCTGGTGGGGGTAGGGGAGGTTCTAGATAAACAGGTTCGAGAGAAAGGTTAAAATAAGCCATACATTTATTAAAATGTAGAAGTAGATGATGGTTAAATATGATATTAGATGATATGTTAATGAAACATTTTAATATGTTAGTTGATAATTGAAGTGAAATTTGCAAAACAAATAAAACAAGACACACAGTGATAAATATCGCACTTTGAAGAGCAAACTGGCCACCATGCAATTTATCCAGCATGGCCAAAACCTAATCAGACCTTGGCACTAGTCTGCTCTTGCATCTGTAAACATTTCAAGTTGACAAGGTTAGCGGTTTTCCTGCAATTTTGATGACAAGAATTTATTTGTAGTCTTGAACTTTGGGAAAATTTAGATAACATTGTTTGTGACCTTATTTGATGACCTTAGACCTTGAAAATTTCACTTTTTCAGACCTCAGTAGGTGTTTTGTAATTAAGCTGACCTAAATTTAAATCCAAAATATCAATTTAGAAAATCAAATTTTTGACCTTTTAAAGGTCACTGAAGATCAACGAAAGGTCCAATCTGAAATCTAAGGTCAGATTTGAACTTCTGAAAACTTGTAGATGTTTTTAAAAAAAAAATTTGGTCAATTTGGAGCAAGTTGAAAAATTCAAAATGGCCACCAAATTGAAAAATTCAAAATGGCCACCATGTTATTCAGCCAGCATACCCAAAACCTAATCAGATCTTGGCAATAGTCTGCTCTTGCATCTGTAAAAATTTCAAGTTGAACGGATAAGTGGTTTTCCTGGAATTTTGATGACAAGATTTGTTGAAAAATTCAAAATGGCCGCCACGGAGTTTACCCAGCATGCCCTTAACCTAATCAGATCTTGGCACTAGTCTGCTATTGCATGTGTAAAAATTTTAAGTTGAACAGGTTAGCGGTTTTCTTGGAATTTTGATGACAAGAATTGATTTGTAGTCTCAAACTTTGAGAAACTTGGATAACATCATTTGTGACCTAGTTTAATGACCTTGACCTTCGACCTTGAAAATTTCACTTTTTCAGACCTCAGTAGGTGTTTTGTAATTAAGCTGACCTAAATTTAAATCCAAAATATCAATTTAGAAAATCAACTTTTTTGACCTTTTCAAGGTCACTGAAGGTGGATGAAAGGTCAAATCTGAAATCTAAGGTCAGATTTGAACTTCTGAGAACTTGTAGATGTTGTTAAAAAAAAAATTTGGTCAATTTGGAGCAAGTTGAAAAATTCAAAATGGCCGCCAAATTGAAAAATTCAAAATGGCCACCATGTAATTCAGCCAGCATACCCAAAACCTAATCAGATCTTGACAATAGTCTGCTCTTGCATCTGTAAAAATTTCAAGTTGAACGGATAAGTGGTTTTCCTGGAATTTTGATGACAAGATTTGTTGAAAAATTCAAAATGGCCGCCACATAGTTTACCCAGCATGCCCTTAACCTAATCAGATCTTGGTACTAGTCTGCTCTTGCATCTGTAAAAATTTCAAGTTGAACAGGTAAGCAGTTATCCTGGAAATTTGATGACAAGATTTGGTTTATGTGCCGCCCACACGCCCGCACGCCCGCACAACCGCACGCCCGCACGCCCGCCCAACAGCACAAGACGACGACAATATAGCACTTTTTCAAAGTGCGATAAAAAAGTTTACAAGGATCAACATTCAAGCACAATGTGTTAGTTTATGAAGCACCTGTTGGAGGGGTTCTGCCAGAGCAATGGTCACATGGGTTCTCACTTAAGCCCTCAATGAACCCATATTTCACACAAGTTCCAGGGGCGCAACATTTCTTGTATCCCTTATTCTTATCACAGTGGTAGAAACATTTGTCATCTTTCCTTATATACCAATCATCAGCTTTCTGGCTACACACTGTTAGTAAAAATATGTTAGTTAAAATATGCTATGTATTAAGATGAATGTGTATCTATTGTCATTCAGTTAATGGATGGTGCCCAAGTTTCAGAAGTTGTAGAAGAACAAAGTTAATTTCATTTTAGCCGAAGGGGCTACTGACGGTTTCATTGGTCTTACTTATTATTTTGGCCCTAGAAGTGTAAATAAATCAACATTTTAAACTTTCTTTTAGAGGTGAAAACAAGAATATTCAACCACACTGGAATTAAACCATAGGGGAGTGTTTCCACATCTGTTGATATTTGGACACTATCCCTAAATGTCAATGTTAATGATTGGGTTAAATTAGTTATGTTTACATGATACTTCTTTTAATGAAGTCTCTATGAATATTAGTATTAATGTATTAATGAATGATGATGACCTGAATCATCAGCTAATGCTGATTGTACACAGGATCCACATGGGTTGCCAAATCCTTCAGTAAAGCCTACTTTCACACAACTTCCAGGAGCACATGTCTTCTCATATCCAATTCCATTGGCACATTGCAGGAATTTAAACGAATCAATCTTGATGAAAAGTCCAGTGTCTTTGCCATCGCATGATGGAGGCGGGGGAGGGGTTGGTTCTGGGGTGTCACAATGGCCACATGGATTATCCAGGCCTTGACGGAATCCTTTTACGACACAAGAGCCTTCAGCACAATATTTATGGTAGCCATTTCCATGGGAACAATGCAGGAATGTAAAGTGTCCTGTCTTGATAAACCAGCCCTCTGCCTTATCACTACAGTCTGGTGGGGGTAGGGGAGGTTCTAGATAAACAGGTTCGAGAGAAAGGTTAAAATAAGCCATACATTTATTAAAATGTAAAAGTAGATGATGGTTGAATATGATATAAGATAATATTTGAATGAAACATTTTAATGTTAGTTGATAATTTAAGTGAAACGTCACATCTAGCAAAACAAATATAAATTGTTAGGGGAGGCATCAAAAGTTCGATGTCGGATAGAAAACTAAATAAATCTAGTTAGGGGGAGGGGGTTCAAACTCATTTCAGTTTGCTATCCGACAAATTTCAAATTTCAAATTTTTGGCAATTTTGACTCAGAATGCCTTGGAATGGTTTAAAAATAAAGATTTACCTGATACTTTCTTTGTCAAGATCATTCCAAAGGATTCTGTTCTATCAATAGTTGTTAAAAGCTGCAAATTATGATAGGAATTAACGAAAACTAGATCGTGTTTAGCAATAATTTTTCAAATTCTCAAACTGGAAGTCAGCGATCAACTTTCATGGTATTTAGTTTTGGGGGGGAGGGGGGGTCAGAGTCAAAACTAGATTTATTTAGTTTCCAATCCGACATTGAACTTTTGATGCCTCCCCTTACAAGGATCAACATTCAAGCACAATGTGTTAGTTTATGAAGCACCTGTTGGAGGGGTTCTGCCAGAGCAATGGTCACATGGGTTCTCACTTAAGCCCTCAATGAACCCATATTTCACACAAGTTCCAGGGGCGCAACATTTCTTGTATCCCTTGTTCTTATCACAGTGGTAGAAACATTTGTCATCTTTCCTTATATACCAATCATCAGCTTTCTGGCTACACACTGTTAGTAAAAATATGTTAGTTGTGCAAATGCATGTTATATAATGGTGCATTTATCATTATTTTGATTAAGGAATTGTGTCCTAGTGCCAACAGATGTGGGAGAACAAAGTAAATGTAAACAGATCAACATTTTAAACTTTCTTTTTAGGGATAACAGTGGATTGCCAGCATTTAACCACAATGAAATTAACTTCATTTATCCATATCTGTTGATATTTGGACATGATCCCCAAATGTTAATGTTAATGATTGAGTTAAATTAGTTATTAAATGTGGTAACAAAGTCTTCTTTTAATGAAGTCTTTATGAATATTAGTATTAATGAATGATGATGACCTGAATCATCAGCTAATGCTGATTGTATACATGATCCACATGGATTGCCAAATCCTTCAGTAAAGCCTGCTTTCACACAACTTCCAGGAGCACATGTCTTCTCATATCCAATTCCATTGGCACATTGTAGGAATTTAAATGAATCAATTTTGATGAAAAGTCCAGTGTCTTTGCCATCGCATGATGGAGGCGGGGGAGGGGTTGGTTCTGGGGTGTCACAATGGCCACATGGGTTATCCAGGCCTTGACGGAATCCTTTTACGACACAAGAGCCTTCAGCACAATATTTATGGTAGCCATTTCCATGGGAACAATGCAGGAATGTGAAGTGTCCTGTCTTGATAAACCAGCCCTCTGCCTTATCACTACAGTCTGGTGGGGGTAGGGGAGGTTCTAGATAAACAGGTTCGAGAGAAAGGTTAAAATAAGGCATACATTTATTAAAATGTAAAAGTAGATGATGGTTGAATATGATATAAGATAATATTTGAATGAAACAGTTTAATGTTAGTTGATAATTGAAGTGAAATGTCACATCTAGCAAAACAAATATAAATTGTTACAAGGATCAACATTCAAGCACAATGTGTTAGTTTATGAAGCACCTGTTGGAGGGGATCTGCCAGAGCAATGGTCACATGGGTTCTCACTTAAGCCCTCAATGAACCCATATTTCACACATGTTCCAGGGGCGCAACATTTTTTGTATCCCTTGTTCTTATCACAGTGGTAGAAACATTTGTCATCTTTCCTTATATACCAATCATCAGCTTTCTGGCTACAAACTGTTAGTAAAAACATGTTAGTTGTGCAAATGCATGTTATATAATGGTGCATTTATCATTATTTTGATTAAGGAATTATGTCCAAGTGTAAACAGTTGTGGAAGTACAAAGTAAATGTAAATGAATCAACATTTTAAACTTTCTCTTAGGGATAACAGGGGATTGTCAGCATTAAACCACTGTGAAATTAACTTCAGTTATCCATATCTGTTGATATTTGGACATGATCCCTAAATGCTTATGTTAATGATTGAAATATATTAGTTAATGACTATGTTAACATGTCTTCTTCAAATGAAATCTGTATGAATATTAGTATTAATGAATGATGATGACCTGAATCATCAGCTAATGCTGATTGTACACAAATTCCACATGGATTGCCAAATCCTTCAGTAAAGCCTGCTTTCACACAACTTCCAGGAGCACATGTCTTCTCATATCCAATTCCATTGGCACATTGTAGGAACTTAAATGAATCAATCTTGATGAAAAGTCCAGTATCTTTGCCATCGCATGATGGAGGCGGGGGAGGGGTCGGTTCTGGGGTGTCACAATGGCCACATGGATTATCCAGGCCTTGACGGAATCCTTTTACGACACAAGAGCCTTCAGCACAATATTTATGGTAGCCATTTCCATGGGAACAATGCAGGAATGTGAAGTGTCCTGTCTTGATAAACCAGCCCTCTGCCTTATCACTACAGTCTGGTGGGGGTAGGGGAGGTTCTGATAGAGATTAACATTATGATAATTAATATTCATGTACACTGTACAGTGTGTGTACAAAATGATTGTGATTAGTTGAGTTAGTTCTTATTCCGTTTGAGGTAAAGTCATTATTAGTTCAAAGTAAATCATTAGTAAATCAATAAGTAAAAGATTAGTGAAGCAAATATTATTTTACAAAATCCCTCCCAGATTATAATTATATATGTGTACTCAACATTCTTATGAATGAATTCCATACTATTACTTTAACATTCTCACAATTATTATATAACAATATATTACACAACTCGCATCAACCATAGCATATTGTACCAAACACACCGACTCACATACAATACTACAACAACAAAGGTCATCATACACTTTACTTTTATCGAATGTAATTTTGGAAAGCAATTACAAAGATCTACTCACCAATAACAAGCTATGTATAATTGATTTTCTCAGATTAACAAGCACTTTAAAGCAGACAAGCTACATGTAGTTACATAATACCTGAAAGAATCCCTGAAAAAAGGTTGCTGAATTATACATATTCAACATTAAGACATGTCATAAGCATTATAAGCCAATGTTTTCAAATAAATTGAATGTGAAGAATAACCTTCAAAGTTATTCATCCTGCCTATTGCCTACAATACAATATAAAAGCATATTTATATATCAAATGAACATATTGAAAGTGATACATGCATGCCCCTGAATGTTACTACATCTACCAAGCTAACCTGTGTAATCTATATCACCAAATGCACGCTTCTTTCGCCCACTGAGGTGATTAGTGATATACTGTGGAATATCAGTGTTAGCGTTACAGTTGTCTCCTTGGCAACAAAAGAAGCAGAATGGACTAGGGCTTGTTGCAATGCAATTGTTGGTGTTGCCCTTAGCGTTGTTTGTGCATGCTTCAGCTTGCTTTGCTCTCTTTGTGATGCGTAATTGCCTGCTGTTGTAGTCATAGCGTATTTCAGTCTCACAAGAGCAAGTTGGCTGTAGGGTTAAAGCAAGCAAGGCATAATTTCAAAGCAGTTAAGATATACATGCTCTACAATAAGCAATTTCATATTTACTATAAGAATTTTGAGTACATGTAAGTGGTAAATTATGCTGGTATAAAGTAATTAAGTGTTCACCGAGTTTCTTTGATAATTCAAAAAAAATCAAAGCCTGCATCCATGTTAAAACCAAAATTTTGATGCTATTATCTGAAAGAATTCATAATATCATAAAGCAGAAAAGCTTACAAATTCATTGCAAACAGTTGTTGATCCTCTTTGTAGGCACTCTGCATCACTGGCAGCATTATTGCAAGTGTGACAAATAAAACTTGATTTTGGTAGGACAGCTTTTGTTGGAGCAGCAGTAATAGCTACACCTGGTTCAGTTGTTGTTTGCTCTGCGACAGTTGTTGGATCTTCTACAGTTGATGAAAGATGATCTAGAGTTGTTGCTTGATCTGCTACAGTTGTTGACAGATCCGTTACAATTGTTGTTTGATCTTCTATATTTATCTCTGGATCTCCAATCATTGTTTGATCTGCTACAGTTGATGCTTGATCTGCTATAGTTGTTGACAGATCTACCAAAGTTGTTGCTGAATCTGTTATAGTTGTTGTTTGGTCTGCAAAAACTGTTGTCTTGTCTGATAGAATCGTTGCTTGATCTTTGACAGATGTTACTGAAGAACCTATTGTTGTTGGACGTGGCACAGATGTTGTAGGATATGTCACAGCTGTAATGTGTATATAAAATGGTATTCTAAGTACTATAAAGCATAACAAGCAATGCATAAGTCTGCATTTATAAATAAGCAAAGCTAAAGACATGAAGTTTGAGTAAAATAACAAAAAGCCTCAAACCTGTAGAGTTCCCTTTACTGCAAGTAGCACATGGTCTAATGGTTCCTGATGAGAAACCATCTCTGATACATGTGCCTGGTGGGCAGCACACACGTACAGGATTCTCCACTACACAGTGGTAGTAGCATTGTTCTGATGAGCTGGTTTGTTCTTCATCTTTCATGTACCAGTCTCCGAAACCACCTGGACATGTTGGTCCTTCATCTAACCAAGCAAAGCATCATACATATGCGTGAAAGCTTAATATGAATGTATGATACAAACAATAAAGAAGCAATATTAAAGCATGGATATATATGTTGTAAGCATTTGCAAATATTGAGAACTTAAGCTACTGTATTTTAAAGCATTTTCAGTGCAAGTATGTCATGTTCAAAATGTAAGAAACCCTGAATCGTCAATTATGTTTCACTCTAATTAAGCTATATGTAAGCATTTAATAAAGCATTCGATTGAAAACATTTCTCAAAGAAATCATTTCAAATTAAGCTAGATGATAATTAAATGATAATAAGCATTTTCTACTCATGTAGCATATTTTTAAGCAGTTTAATAAAGCACATTTTATGGAAAGTTTTTAATTACATTTTTTGTCTAAGAAGAATTAAAAAAAATAAAATTTTGGAAAGCTATGTTCATAAGACCTATGAAACAAAAAATAAAAAATTACACATATCCCATATAATCACAACATTCAATCCATCATTCTTATTCTAATAATGCATGCTAATTCTCTCATCCAATCTCCTACAAATAGCACATCACAAAAACAGCTTGTTCTGGTTTAGATCCTAATGTAATGTATCTCATTTTCCACTGTGCTGCTGAAAATTGAAGACATAAGTCCTAATTCCTATAAGTAAACTAATTGCTTTAACATACCTGTTGGAGGAGCTCCGCTGCAGTGATCACATGGGTTGTCCTCTCCTTGGCTGTAGCCTGGACGTACGCATGTTCCTGGGGCACAACATAGCCTGTAGGGCACTTGGTTAGAGCACTGGTAGAAGCATCTGTAGTCTGTTGGGTCAGCGATGTACCAGTTAGTAAATTTGCCCTCACAGCCTACAGTTCAATACATATGGGGAATATTAGTATTGCATTGAACAAAAATGCAATTAGAATGGAATTTTGAATACCTACTGGTTTTGACTTAAAGGGTAACGCATATCGTTTAGCAAGTCTAACACTCGTTTTTGGTGTTGCTCACTGTTTATGATAAAAGGCACGATCCCGGAATAATACTCAAGGGTGTGAAGGTTGAGGTCAGTGTGTAAACACCTCTGCCTGTTTATGCAGCACTAGTGTAGTATAGATGGCCATGTGTGTGTAAAAGGGAAATTTTTATTTTGATGATCAATTTTACCTTTAATTGGTGAAGTTTCATGATCTTCTGTTTGTATTTAATGAAAAAATTTATCTCTTGATTTACCTACCAAGTATACGTACAAAGCATGGTCTTATGAAATATCTCATTCATAGATGAAATAAAACATTTTGGACTAATACAAGGATGTTTTTCATGCATCCTTTGGATAAGTCACCCACTCAACCTCTCAATATTTACAGATTGTTAACTTTTCTACGCATTGTTTTATCTTTGCGAAGACAACTTGAATAAACTGGAATATACCAAACTCCCCTAAATAGACTGATCTAGTGGACTCGTCTGGAGTCGCCATACTGTATTTATACGGGAAGGTATACATAACCCTTTAAAGTCCTATTGCAAAACAGAATATATTATGTATAATTTTTAGACAATTATGTGATAAACAGTGGTAATCTTCCTTGCAAGTGTATTTCTGAAACAGGAACAGTGTAAACACAAGGCATTAACATTCAAAATGTAATCACTTGCCATTTGTTACATTTCTTACAGATGCCGAACACAAAATGCCAACCACCACCACTGAACACCACGTGTCAAACACCATCCACAAAAATTGGAGACTATAACAAAACATTGTGTTACTATTGAAAAGCAATGTATCCATGTTCTCACCAGATCGTGCATTGTAATTGATCCAAGCTTGTATTGCTCTGGGTGCACATTGATCACATGGGTTGTTGATCCCCTCAGTGAATCCAGCTTTGATGCAGGTACCTGGGGCACAACACTGCTTATAGGCGACTTCATTGGAACATTGGTGATAGCATCGGTCATCGACTTTGATGAAGTAGTTGGATTGCTTGCCTCGGCATACTGAGGAAGAAAGTAGAACATTAACGCCTAATCACACATTTCCACAAGTAGATTGTATTTACACAGTATTTCATCATATAGCAAAATAACACTGTAAGTGGTCCACTATAATATTGAAAAGTAGACCTGGAACTCATAGGGTACCAAGTGCAATTCCTGATTTATTCACTAAACCAGTGAAGCTAATTTAAATAATCCGTATTATTGATGAGCATTAACCAATTCTATGGGAAAATTCACGATGGGTAAATACTCAGTTTGTTTTCCTTACCATTCTGTTCTGGCTTGATATCCACGCATGCACTACATGGATTCTTACGTCCTTCCTCCCAGTTGTCTGTCATACATGTACCAAGACAACAACATGTGTAGATTGGGGTACCATCAACACATGCATAGAAGCAATTTCTGTTGATTGCATCTCCTTTGATGAAATAGTTGTTCTTGTGAGCAGCACAACCTTTAGGTGGCGGTGCGGTTGTCCAGGGTGCTAGCGTTGTGGTTACTAAATATACAATTTTCATATTATTTCATTTATTTCTTTTATCATTCATACATTTGTAGAGTTCACATATTCAATGGTATATGTAATGTGAAGTTTAAAAAATTAAATCTACAATAACTTAAATCAAAAGATAATCGTTTTAATGCATGAGACTGCAAGCACTTGGATCATGCTGGCTAAAAAACAGTTTCGAGATGATATATAAAGAAATACAGTATAATTACATAAAAATGTTTTTTACTTATATTTCAGCTGGATTTACATGTACATGTAGTGAGACTTGTATTGTATTTTAAATGTTGGGGTTTTCTTAGTAACCTCAAAACTGAATTGTGCAGCAAATCAAGTAATAGAACTTACTTGCTGGGTTGCAGATAGGATCTAAGATTACAAGAGCAGCCTTAAGTTCAGCTTCTACCCTGGCTATAACATCATCTCCACATCCAATGGTTGCCTTAGCGATACACTCGATTGTGATCTTAACATAGCTACAATATAATGTGAACAATATAATTAAATATAATAGTTCATTAAGATTTAGAATATATGTAGTACAGTTTATGATAGCATGAGTGACTGAAGACGATATACATGTAAGTTAATATAAAATGTGAAAAAAAGTGAAAAAAATATGAAACTATGGAAATTAAACACCAAGGGTGTGTAACTGTGCTCTTCATTAACTTCTGATGCATTTCTTTAATTCAATGCATGTGAAATGACCTGAAGGCATGCCCATCTGGGAGCTGTAGTGTAACGAGCCAGATATTAGACATGAAAGGGATTGTGCTAAATTCAATGCCCAATACGGGAATTGAACCCAGGACCCTTCGCTCACAAGTCATACGCTCTACGTCCGAGCCATAAGGGCTAGCCACTACAGCTGAGACTGTAGAAGCGACTTGCTATTAAGGGTCATTCCACATGAAATATTCAAATCTTACTTACATGCAAACCTCTCTGTAGTCCCGCCTGATGATCACTGCTTCAGTGTTCTGTTTGGCAGATAGTTCAAGGAGACACCTGGGAAACATCAAAAATATGAAATAATTACCATTTTGGTATGTATATTCATTTAGTTAACCATTGCAATACAGATATAGATATATTGTAGATAAAAACTGACAAAACATCTCTCTGACTCAAACTCAAAACATACTTTGCAGCAGCATCGGTTACATAATATTCATCACACACTCCAGGAGGAGGAGTAGTTGGTGGTTTTGTGGGGCCATCATTGCAGTTACCTCCAACCAATCTCAGAGCCTCTTCAAATGAAGCCTTTATCCTCAGTTTCACAAAGTCTGAGCAGTCAACTGTGGCATCAAGGATACATTTACGGGTTGCTTCGATAGCGCTAAAATACAATTAATAATCATTAATGTATACATAAAAATATTGGGCGAGACTTGAAAATTTGCATAAAATGTCACTCAATATAAAGTATTTAAAATTTGTTATGCACTGTACTCTTCAGTATTAACCATTGTTCCATGCTGTTGGATAAAAAAAATAAACAAATAATGTCTAAACTCTGAGGATTCTTATTATGAGACACCCCATTCTTGAATGCAGTTTCCAAGATCAATAGTTAGCTTATTTTACTTACATACAGACTTTTTTCCATGATCCTTTACCATATTTGGCATCCAGAATAAGTATACTGAGGTCACTAACACACTTGCTGGCCACGGTAAACTTGCACTTGTCTCCTACAATGAATATAAATAATTCATCTTAATAGTTTAATACAAAATGAGGCTTACAGGACATGTGTCTCAATATCACATGGAACTGCACAGGGTCGAAGCACAAACATTAGAAATATTAGCTAAAGAGTACATATTGTACATGTTCATACATACCTTCACATGGAGCTCTGAAGCATTCCTTCGTCTGTCTCTCCTTGATCTTAGGGATAATCTCTCCAATCTCCCATGACTTGGGCAGTTTAATAGATTTATATGAGCCCTTGCCTGATTTTCCCTTGCTGTATCCCTTGCTAGATTTTCCCTTTGATTTGCTCTTGCTCCTCTTTCTTCTTCCTTTTCCTCCCTTGGCTGATTTACCTCCTTTGCTTGATTTTCCTCCTTTGCTTGATTTTCCTCCTTTGCTTGATTTTCCTCCTTTGCTTGATTTTCCACCAGATTTGCATTTGGATTTTCCACCCTTGGATTTACACTTTGATCCTTTACATTCACATTCATCAATGATCTCTTCACTTTTACATTTCTTTGATTTACCTTTGCTATCTTTACACAGGCATTTACCATCTTTGCTCTTTCCTCCAGTGCATTCCTTTGATTCAGGTTTTTCTGGCTTCTTGCAGCCTGCTCCTTTGCAAATCTTGCAGATTTGTTTAGGTGGAGGTTTAACATCAACTTCACAACTTCCCTTGCTGTACTTTCCAGATTTTCCTGATTTCCCTCCTTTTCCTTTAGAGTTGCACTTTGATCCTTTTCCAGAATATTTTGATTTTCCTCCTGAGTATTTGCCTGATTTACCTTTTGACTTTCCTTTACTCTTGCTCCTCTTTCTTCTTCCTTTTCCTCCCTTGCTTGATTTTCCTCCCTTGCTTGATTTTCCTCCCTTGCTTGATTTTCCTCCCTTGCTTGATTTTCCTCCTTTGCATGATTTTCCTCCCTTGCCTGATTTTCCTCCCTTGCAGGATTTTCCTCCTCTGATTATGTCTTTATCATCAGGGATCTCCCTTGTTTTGGGTTCAATATCTTCACAGACACAGTTTTCATCCTGAAAATGACAGTTTCATATGTTATTTCCAAATAAATGTGCAAAAATGTTCCTCTTTTCTGTTCAAACAAATTTAAAACCTATCCCGATATGAGATAATTATAAATACAACTTGTACAATGACAAAATTATGTTTATGCAAAGAAATTTGCAGCTGGAATGTTTTAATGTGGATATGGACAAGGACTCTAAAACATATAAAATTCTTAAAAAGTCATGCCATTTAAATGGTATATCCATCATATGCAGGAAAGAATTATGCTATAATACAGGGTAACCCAAAATAAATGTTATCATCGTGGTGGAATTATATTGCATGTTTAATTTTGAGATATAGAGTAATCACATTTTCCATCCAGGTATGCTCTCATGTGAAAGTGTCCATAAATGTCAAAAAAATACAATTTTCTGATATTGAAATTTCTTTCTGAATTGCTTTCATCCATATTATCAATAGTACAACGTATGTCATATATGCCCCTTTTCTAAACAATTTTGTCAAATATGATGATCTGACTTGCTTATTGGGTTTTAAAAAAGATAGATTTCCTTACATATATTTTTGAGTGATTTGGAGTCAAAACATGCCTCCATGAAAAACACAATATATCCAAGTATTCAAGATGTTGATGCTACACAAGGACACCAATGTTTCATGCATTGAACATCTAAAGATTCCTTTATAATTGAGAAATTCAATCCTAAACTAGACAGTAACGTTTATGGTATCACCCTGTATATATCACAACATATCGCAGTTACCTCCTTTGGATCGCAGACTTCCCAAATGCCATCTCTCTTGCATTCTCGCTCTCTGATTCTCTTTCCAATTCCGCAGTCCTTATCACATTTGCTCCATGCTCCCCACTGAGCCCAGTTCTTGCACTCCTCTGCAAAACAATAAAACTAATTTAATCGGTATGACATCATATAAGACTGAATGCTTTAAGATATAGTATCTACAACTATTTTTGATGTTTTGAGTTTGGTTATCAATTTAAATTTATTCTTCAACAAGTATTGTAATGACTTCAGTATGAATGAAAAATCCATTGGTGATCTGGTCTCGGACTGTGATAATGGAACTTTAATGGTGGGAAGGGTGTTTAAGATACTGTTTCTTTTCAAGTTAATTGTTTGGGATAGTTGGGCTTTGTTTTCCTTATGACTCTGATGTACCCTAAGCAGTATATGTTTTATTTTTCTTGCTGTGTTCTGTTACAGTTTTTGCTCGTTTCCCTTTGGCACTTGTGCATACATATTTATATTTATTTGTGTGATTTCTGGTGATATTGGTTTCTGAATAAGCATCTGTGGGAGAAGGGTGTTTTCAGCATATTCATGTTTATTATTGTTCTTTTTTATGATTCCTTAATATGTTTGTAATTCCTCGGCAGAAATTGTTATTTAAACAAGTGCAAATAAGTTTAAATTTTCAACAAAGTATTAAGCATATGTATTATATTTCAACATTGAACAACGATGAATATATACTTTTTGGCAAATTGAACTTACCTCCTGGATACTTGGGTATTTTATCTGTGTTACAAAGATTGCTATTGCAACATTCATGGCATCTGTCAATAACTTGGCCATCATCACATTCATCACGATTGTTAAGTCGCTTATTTTGACAAGCCTATGAAAAATAAAGATAAATGCATGGAGAGAATTGGAGAATGTGAATAAATTGAGTTAACATATTTACTAGATATTTCTTTTGTATTCAGCAGTAAATTATTACAAAAATATAATCCACTGGATATCCTTGTTACATTCATAACTTTGTGACATTCATAATTTTGTGACATTCATAACTTTGTGACATTCATAATTTTGTGACATTCATAACTTTGTGACATTCATAATTTTGTGACATTCATAACTTTGTGACATTCATAATTTTGCGACATTGATAACTTTGCAACATTCACAACTTTGTGACATTCATAACTTTGTGACATTCATAACTTTGTGACATTAATAACTTTGCGACATTCATAACTTTGTGACATTCATAACTTTTAATATCATTAAAAAAACTGAGTTGAAAAGTACAATATATATTGTATGTTGAGACTGGTAAGTTAAACAGTGAAGTACATACATTCTTTCTCCTGCAGCCTTTAGACATGACGAGTCGTCCATCATGATTCTCAGTCTTGATGAAACAGCTGAACTGACCATTGGCAGGACATGGGACTGTCTCACTAGATTTGTTGCAAGTACTTGGATTCAATCTATCGCAGGTGTAACACTCAAAGGTCTCGACAAAGACTGGAACAACAAACAAAATACAGTAATAACTGAATCAATGTAAAAGATGCAAGTTATATAGAATAAAATCTGTATATCCCAACACCCCTCTAATCTGAACACATCTAAATGTGAACATTTTTTATCTCATATTGACTCACATTAGTGAGTTAAAGTGAGTTAAATCTTAGTGATAACAACTAAAAAAAGATATTTTATTTTTAATTTTGTTACCCTTTTAAATTTAAATTTGAAACCACATTGTGCGCTGATTAGAGAGAATATGGTATTTGTAATAACAGTACTTACTTTCATCACAATTTGGTCCTCTAAATCCTGGTGGACACTTGCAGAAATAATAGTTATCTAGATTAAAGCAGCTTCCTCCATTTCGACATGATCCACGCCAGCAAGAACAATAGCCCTGCACCTATACATTAACAATACGAGAAATTACTACTTTTTCTCCATCTTTTACACAATTAAATTTCATATCTGCAATTAATGACTTTGGCAATTCATGTAGATGCTAGTGGTTGCATCATACTAAGTCTCAAAACATAGGAAATCACAAATTGATAAGAGCCCTTGTTCATTTTAACAAAACCACTAATGATGATAAAAAAATGATAAGATATTGATAAAATTAAAAACTTTACAACTCAATGTATCTGTTTTATGTTTTATGGATCTATGAAAAAAGCATTTTCATATTAACAAGATTTATAGTTTCATTTACATGACGAAGTGCGATTATATTCTTCCTGTTTATTATAAATGCAAGTGTATCAAAGGAACTTTTTTATAGGGGGATATATCATGCAAAATGAACATAGTAGTTGTTAGGGGGATATATCACACAAAATGAACATAACAGTCATCTATATATGTGTACCTGTCTGAACATCGCATCAAATTCTGCCATGATTGAAACAGCTAGACTTCCAAATGGACCAGTACATTGTGATGCAAACTTGTAGACACACTGTTTCCTGGCAGAGATGTCTCTACAAAATACATACACATACAATGTAATAGAGTAAAACTTAAAAAGTGGAACACCTCTGTAAGTGGAACACCTCCATAAGTGGAACATTTTGCAGTGTCACATGACTAACTGACTCAATGTTAAACAAACCTTTGTTTGGAAGTGCAACACCTCCCAAGTGGAACACTTTTTAGAGGTACCAAATATGTTCCTCTTACACAGGTTTTACTGTAAATTGACTCTGAAATATATTATCTGTAAAAGGCCAGACTGTATAACACATATGGAGAGACAAGTTTGTGTCCCCTGAATATTTATAAAAGAATTAAAACTAAATACGCACTTCAATATAAGTGTGTATGTAATGCAACGTATGTGTGCATGTACTATACCAAAAACTAAATATCCTCAAGGTTCACATTTGTTAAAGGAACATTCCTTGCCAAACCATCTCTCTCCTCATATGGTAGCTATAACCATATATATGCTTGCCATGTTTAGCAAAACACACAAAAATGTTTTGATATGGTCAAATTTGATCACTTAGAAATGTGATGCTCAATTCCAGTAAGCTGCCATCTTTTAAAATTTCACACAGGAAGTGATGTCATCGACTCTCAACTTTGCATATAGCATTAGGTGAGGAGCTATTAAGAATAACAAAACCAGCTAAATATTCTTTTTCAACTTTGTATCTTATTTAATCCTTCTGAAAATCTCTTCTTTTATTCTAAGTTTACAAGCCCTGAACATATTTTTGCACAGAAATTAATGATCACTTATCTAGAAGTGATTTTGTGCTACTTTCCTATACTGTTATGGGCAAGGTTATAGAAGTTGAGAGTTGATGACATCACTTCCTGCAAGAAATCTTAAAAGATGGCAGCTCACTGGAAATAAGCACTAGATTTTTAAATGATCAATATTGACCATATTAAAACATTTTCCCATGTTTTGCTAAATATGGAAACTATATATATGATTATAGCTACCATATCAAGAGAGAATGGGTCTGGCAAGGAATATTCCTTTAAGCATAATCTCCTTCCTGATGGAAGAAATGAAATGAGGAAAACTATAGCAACTGTCATAATTACTGATAGTGCGATTCATATGGGAATCCTAAAACGTTCAACCCTATTTCATTTATTTGAATAATGTTCCAAAAGCCTCAAGGTATTTCCATTCCTAATTAAAAAATGGGAATTTATATTGTTTTGTAAGTGCTGTCTGCTGGGGAATCAGTCTTTTGGGATCCATTTGTTCAAATATGATCTTGTTTCAAAATTAGTAGTTATGTCGTTACAGTGACAGTTAAATACTAAAGTAGTTTTCTATTGTTTTAATGTTTTGATTATGCATTGAAATAACAATACCTGGGTGTTAATCCATAGAAAATCCTTGAAAATGAGAAATATTTTTTAGGATTATATATATATTGATGGTGCAATATTATAGTCAATAAAATGTTTTAAAGGGTATTGATGTTTTTTAGATGAAAAACACAAGCGAAATGCATGAAAAAGCTTCCCAGATTCATTCAACAAACAACTCGAGGTCCTTTCTTTCAAAGTCATGCGGTTTTTTACCATTTTGGGACAAAATCATCAACCCCCCCAGAACAACTGAACAACCATCCATGGGAGAGGTAGGTTACAATTGAACTCCATAAATGTGGTAAATAATCTGACATTGAATGTTTGAGATGCTTCTTAATTAGATGATCTCCAGTGTCACTTTATTTAATTCTACATGCATCAGCTTTTCTCAATTTATTTCTGCCATTACAGTTCCATATTAAATCATTAATCATGCATTGAAAGCTGTTGAACATCACAAATTAGAGTTATTATGCATGTTTTGGTTTGAGAAGTAAATGAAAATACAAGATGCTCACAACATAAAGATTGGATCTGAGAAATAATGTGATAAACAATAATTTATAGTATATTTGTAGGGAAATAAAAACGACATATAAGTAAAATGAAATTTCTTTAATATGAGAAACGGTATTATTGTAAATTGAGTTTGCAGATTAATAGCTTGTCTGTGTGGCTAGAATGAATTAGGATTTCTAGGTTTGCTTATACAACTGCAAATGATACAGATGCAGCATTACAAGACATAAATTTGTTGCAACTGGGCTGTATCAAAATTTGACTGAAACTATAGCTCTATGGATGACAAACAAATCAAATAAAATGAATAAAAAACAAAAATCATCACTGGTGAGTCCTAATACAAAAGTACAGAGATTACAAAACTAAATTATAAAAAATAAATTACATTATCTGGTAGCATGCTGACATACAGTATGCCATACATTATACATATCAGTACAGGAATCATCTGAATGAACAAGTTAAACAGTTAGACAGTGAAGAAGACCCAAATAAAAAAATACAAGAGCTACAATGGATATATGTCAGTCGGACAAGTGTGCTTTTTGGCCAGACAATTCCACAGACACTAAAGAAAATGTCAATATTTCAACGGGATTTGTATTTTACACAACTATTGTAGTATATAATATTATTACTATATTTGGACTCATAGGAAACGGACTATCATTGATTGTATATAGTCGAGAGAGGAGACCATGCACGAGGGTGTTACTTTTGAAAGCACTGGCCATAACAGACTCTTTGCATTTATTTCTACACATGCCATACTCATGGATCATTGGCCATCACTTTGGAGTCGTGGACATAGGGGAGGATCTATATGAAAACACAGCTCGTATTTTATCAAAAATGCTACCATTGGTTGCGACTTCTGTTACATTGACATCATGGATGGTTGTTTTGGTGACCTTGGATAGATTTATACATGTGTGTATTCCATTACGGGCAAACACACTGTCAACGATAGTTCGTACAAAAATAGGAATCGCCATATTAGTCCTAGCAGCGATATTGTACAACCTCCCAAGGTACTTTACAGCATATCTAAACCAAACACAAATGGCTACGTACCGAATCATTTATGAATTAATTCTTGATTTCATATTCAGACTATTTGGTCCAGTATTCACAGTGTTCTACCTTAATATCAAACTATGTCACTCTATCAGAGAATCGCAAAAACTAACAAGACAACTAACTAACAAAGAAAAGGATGAACAAAGTTATACACTGACAATGATTGCAATCGTTTCCCTTTTCATTTTATGTTCAATTCTCGGCTTTATCACAAGAATATTTCGTATATTATCTGTGCTTCGGATAAGTTCTTACATGGATCCATATTCATATATTTTCAACCAACTTAGCTATCTTTTTCAAGTATGTAATTCTGCGTTTAACTTTGTAATCTATTTTCTAATAGGGAAAAAATTTCGTAGAAAATTAAGACGTATTTTTCAGCCAGAGAGTATAAGCGCTTCAGATGAGAACAATATTCAGTAAAATAAGATAAATATGACCAAACTAATAAAGGGAAACCAACCATACTTAACTGATGGAGTAATTCATGCATTGCTTAAGGATAATAAAGCTCATTAGATGAGAGTGCTTTATCCAATTTTACAATACATTTTGCTCATATTTTTCTTGTTCTTTCCTTGTCAGGGTATAAAGAACAACATTATTTAACACATAATGCATGTCTCAGATTGCGATGTATTATTGTTAGATAATAAATAAACAAATAAATAAATAAAATGAGTTTATTTCATGATAATTACAAGGCACTGATTTATGGGCTTTTGACCTCAAAGAAAATCTTGACCTATGTAAATCATACTAACTGAACACATGACGTTTAGCTTCAGAAAGCTTTGAAATACACAACATGGATACATTATTACCCTGCGTGCAGAGTCTAGTTAAACTACACTCTGCCTAGTAGAGACCACATTACAGTTTAGTAGCCCCGCCCCCACGACGGGTACCGGTGACAGTTTGGGTAATAAATCACTTTTGACCTACGCGCTGACCTTTCTTCCACCAATCAGCGAGCTTGAAGAAACATACGCCAAATGCTTCTAATTAAATATGCGCATGTCATTGGTCAATTCCGGGCTCAACGATGACGTCAGAAGGAATGACCATATATAGAACGTCGGTCAAATTTGGCCGACGAACACTGATTGGCCGGTGTGAGTTCACAGGTTTATTTTAGTTTGAAAGAGTGAAGACGAAGCTCTCTTTTAAGAAAAGAAGTCAAACGAATGCAAAGGGTAATACATTATGGAATGACACAAATGAATTGACCTTTGACAAACAACTATAAATATGAAAGTTAGCTGATGACCTTGAATTGACCTTTGACCTTGAGTCCATCGCCGTCCCATGTATGATACTTTATCCCATGATAATGCTCCACCCGTTAATTAAATTGAGAGTGTTTGTGATAACATAGGTTCATAAACATCAATGAATACAAGTGTAAATATATCCAATTGCCTCAGCCCTACTGAATAGTACAAGAGGCATAATGGATAAATAACATTAAGGAAATACAATTTATTATAAACCTTTACATCTCCCATGATTAATAGAAAGTTTAATATCTATACATCATTAATAGAGTATCAAGGTTTAATATTTATCTTGAGTAACAACTGGAAAATAAGAACTTGAATGTCAAAGTGACCTTTCAATTGTGTTAAAAAATGATGTAAACAACGTGAAAAACAGCACCTGTAAATTGAAATATTTTTTGCACTGTAATTAACTGCATAGCCTTTAATCATAATATTGAATTGTATTGTTTTAGATTAATTTCAATATCCCAGTCTTAAAATGCCAATATGATTGGTTAATTAAAAGTCGACTACATTGACTGTTGACTGCTATAATGTACTGTTCAATACTGATATGGTTTATATTCTTACTTAACTATTCTCACACATTCAGGCCCGTAGCCAGGATTTGCCAAGGGGGGCTCACTTTTTGAAAAATTCCAGGGGGGGATTCACTTGTGACAATTTTGGTCCAAAAATGCCCAAAATCACTTAAAAAGTGCTCAGAATGGTGAAAAACTGCATGATTTTGAAAGATTTTTGGCCAGGGGGGGGGTGTGCTCGAAACCCATCTAACCCCCCCCCCCCTGGCTATGGGCTTGACATTGCATATATTCAAAATGTTCAGAAATTGGATGTGATTGTGGGGCTCCTATTCTATGTTTAGTTTGCATGACATTATTACTTAAATCAATAACATAGCAAAGGTTGTTCAATAAATACTAATATAAGCTTTCTCATTTTCTTGTTAATGTGAGGGAATCAAGATGACATTTTCAGGAATTGAAGACAATTTGTATTTCTTTATACTGACCAAATTATATTTTATTCTGGGTACTTTTAAAGTTACAGCAAAAGTATATACACGTATGGATGAGGGCACCCAGAGCAGTTTTTTCCTTATTTTAAGTTCCCTAAATAAACTATCGCATTGCTCAAATCTTTGAAAATTTCATCTTGTTTTCTTTACAGATCACAAATGAGACAATTTGTATAAGTATTAATTGAACAAACCTTATTAATGTGGTTTGAGGGAAATCAAAATACCATTACTTGTTGGAAAGGATAAAGTTATGGATAAGTCCCATCTCTTGCTGACCTATCCAATTTTAAAAACAAATATACATACAAAAGTATGTAGCTTTTGCTTCAGAGAATTTCTTCCCTATCACATCATCCAATGCACTATCACGATCTCCTGATATCATGATCCTGACCAATTAATACTAATAACTAGACACTGTAGTCACATCTGACTGCTCTTACAGATATATAATATACTTAGTGTTCAGAATCTAAAAACAATTTTCACCTTGATCCTATCATGTTAATAAACACTTCAAATATTCTTTTATGTCAATAAACACTTCAAATATCCTATTATGTTAATAAACACTTCAAATATTCTATTATATTAATAAACACTTCAAATATTCTATTATATTAATAAACACTTCAAACATCCTGAATAATTGTTTAATATTTCTTTCATTTAATGTTTTTGTGAATATATTTATATGAGACTGGGACTTAATTATTATGTGACGCCTAATATCATGGGCTTTCTAGTTGAAAGCCCATGCTAATATCAATGAATAATGTATCATTGGTTTATCTTTAATAATCATTTTCAAAAGGACAAGATACATTTCTTAATTTAAGCAATAGGCTATATAAAGTTAACCTATCTTGTTATAATGTGAATTTCCACAAAAATTAATTTAAATTATACTTACACACATGTTTGTTTGTTAAAGATTCCTATGACAATGCTAGCCTTGAATTCTACAAGACATTTTGCCGCAGCATTCAGGTCACATATAATTGGGGGCGAAGTTGGAGCAACAGTGCTGACACCTGGTGGGCGGGTAGGAGGCAGAGTTGGCGGAAGAGTTGGTTTTGGTGGGCATTTTACAGCCACAAATGCATTTAGTTCTTGGATGAGTGAAAAAGAAGTAATCTGCGTTTTTGCTGAACACGTATTGACATTTTCAAATATGCAGGTGATGCTGTTTTTCAGTTCCCTAGAAACAAAGATACATGTATGCATTTAGTATAACAGATATTTCATTTTTTGTTTCACAAAGGATAACTCTTTTAAGTAGAAAAAGTTACAGCCATTTAAAAATGTAGTGTGCCAAAATGGAAATGTTGCGTCACTTTCAATGGAGGACAGAGTAAAACAAGAGTGTTTCAATGAAGACGTGAATAAGTCTAATTGTGTAAAAATCCTAAGAATAGACTACTCACAGTTCCATAGTACCACAGACCAATCTTGGCCCAGAGAGGTAGATAGCCACCTTGCCGTAGAACTCAATAGCACATGTCATTGCAGCATCAATGTTACAGCTAGGTGGTTCTGTAATACACAAATGATGACATGTGCATTCATTTTTATTAAATGCAGAAACAGTGAAACCTATAAAGTGGAGCATCTCTACCATATGATAAAGTTAAGAATTTAGATAATTGTGATGTCAAAGAGGTAAAGAGTGCATTCTCTCATTCTTGTGAATGTTGAATTCATTTTTTGAGTTGAATCCTTCTATCAGTGATTTTATATATAAGTACATTATTTGTCATCATCAATGGTAGAATCTCATGATCTTAAAATGCCCTAATCATATTGAGAAAAGGATTGCAATCTTAAAAATGCCGAATACAGCTTCAAATACAACACAAAATATCCCAAATGATACCCTTATGGGTTTTATGTTTGAAGCCAGTGATGTATTTTTACAGTGGTATAAAGAATTATGTGTATATATCTATAAAATATAAGGTATTATGTTATAAAATGTTAAAAACATCAAAAACAACTGAGATTTATTTTTGTAATTCTCAATCATTTTTGATGATCATAAAATATAAAATAAACAAATAAAAAAATTGTAGAGAGTATAAGCTTACCTGTGGGTAGTACAGTAGGCACTGTTGGTACTGTTGGTACAGTAGGCACTGTTGGTACAGTGGGAGCACTGGGGTCTGTCACAACAGGAGGCAGAGTTGGTGGTGAAGGTGTCACTGAAAAGATCGATTCAGTTTCAAACAGTTAACTTAATTACAATTGTTTTAGGGGCTTGGTCGATATTTCAATGTCTGTCAAAAACGTAATTAATTCTGGAGTTAATCAGGTCTTAACCCCCTCCCCCTTCCCTTTCTAATGATATATTACGAGTGAATTCAGAAGATTGATTTTAAGGTACATGTATTTCCAATGTTTCTTCATGATGCATGATGAAATACTGCATGTCAAAATGATAAACGATGAACTGTGTAAAAAGTCTATTGAAAAAACACATGTGTTCTTTCTGCACTGTATTATTACAAATAAGTCATACATACCTCTTATTTTACACTCTGATTCAAATGATGAAAATGTTTGTTGGAAAAATTTATCAGTTTCAATTTTGATACTGTCTGGGCAGGTGGTGATAGAGGATGACAAACACTCAAGCTTTTCATCTTTGTACTTGGCACTACAAATTAAGAATTAAATTCAAATCTTGCTACCTGGTAAGCTATTACAAATGATTGCAAAAGTGACAATCTCGCTACCTGGTAAGCTGTTACAAATGATTGCAAAAGTGACAATCTCGCTACCTGGTAAGCTGTTACAAATGATTGCAAAAGTGACAATCTCGATACCTGGTAAGCTATTACGAATGATTACAAAAGTGCAATGGTTTGTACAGACAGATCAAACGACAATGGTGGCTAAATCAAAGCTCATTGCTTCTTGATGGTGACACAAATATGTCTGATATTCATCTTGAATCAAAACTATCAAATATGCTGAAATTATCAAATGGTTTAACTTAAATCACTGTACAATTGTTTGTGTGTTATGGGATATTGCTGTCTACTAGTACAATGGTATAATCTTACACTAAGGAGAGTATTGAAACACTCAAAATGTATGTAACTATATTATGCTTATTGGTGCATGTTAATGAAATAACAATCACTGAATGATAAACAAAGTTGACTTACTCGCATACAACATTGGCATCAACGAGTCCAAGGATCACCTTGACAACAAGCTCTGCAATTTCCTGAGTACATTTCCTTGCATTCTCAATCTGTAAATATGTAAATGCACACATTCTTTGAGCTTCTGTTTCAATTGTACATGTTAATGATGTAAACCTGTTCAATAAGATTTGAACCCTTCCAGCTTACATGTATTTAACCCAATTCATTATTTCAATTTTACTGTCCTTATAAAATATTGAACTTCGACAAAATATTTGACATTAATATGCATTTTCTAATCTTCTACAGACCCGGGAAATCCCAACAGATCTGAGCCCTTGAGCAGGCTTTCTACTCTTTTCTTAAAGTGAAATGTTTAGTGGATTGAATTATTTTTTGAGGCTAAAGTTCCACAACTGGTATAGAAAATCTACAACATACAAACTGATTATCCAGCTATGGCCACAGTATGGATCAAGTGTGACTGAGGCATTAGACACTGTTAATTTTCTCAGTTTGTCAATTGTTACACCTTAATTAACATTACCTTGCAGGTGACAGGTATAGGTGTCGTCACTGGTGGTGAAGCTTCACAGGCGCCACCTATAAACTCTAGAGTAGACTCCCATTCTGCTCTTATATAGTCCCTGATCTTGCCATTACAACCAACCACGTTCTCAAATACACAAGACTCCTTTGCCTTGATTGAACTAGAACATATACACAACTATAATACAGCATGCTTTTAGGTTAACAATACATGTATGTACATGATTATGAACATTTACTAAATATGCTTTATAAACTGACAAAAATACAAAAATAGAAGCTTGATATGAATTTTTCGAATGAAAAACATGGTGAACAGTTTGACATACTTCCATTAAAAATGAAGTCTCACATTTATAGCAGCATTATTTTCCCTTAACTATTTATCAGCATTTACCTGCAAATTTGTGTGTAGTCGCTAGAGCCTGATGTGATGAACTCTATGATGACAACTCCTACCTCAGTCAGACACTGCATGGATGTATCTTGTTTGCAAAATAGCTTATCTGTAAACATACAGTAGAAGGTGGTAAGTGAAACACCTCTGTATGTGGAACAACTCACAAGTGGAACAGGTTATTTGTAAAGTCCTGTGGCCCATTGACTCCATGTTAATGAACCTCTGTAAGTAGAACTCCTCACAAGTGGTACATTTTTTGTGGTTCCATGGGCGTTCCCACTTACACAGGTTCCACTGTACAATGTATGAAATTGGTAGTTTAGCTACAAGCCATTGTGAACCCTCTTTACACACAACCCACAATGCATCCATTCTCAATAACTAGGCACATTTCCATGAGTGAAATGGACCAAAAGTGAAGTTGGTTTAAATGGTTTCAATTTGATGTTTTATTATTTGAATATATGTCAAGTAGCTAAACCGCAAATATCTTCATCAATCTCAAACCCCTTCATGAAAAATTTGCATGTCGAAGTGCATATGATATTATCTTAAAAATGCAAGTCTCTGTCATTAACGTTATAGTGGGGTGTCATATCAAGAGACCTGTATTTTGAGCCAAAGCAATATTCTCATGTTTACTTTTGCATCTAAAAATAAGGATATATTTTGCCTTGATAATGAATCATATATCAGAAATTTTGGAGATATATAATTGAAACAGACTCACATTGAAGACGGAAATCACAGATGAACTTATTATTCCCTTTCACGAACAAATCCTAAGTGCTACACGTCATTTCAATTTTGAAGAAAATCAGTCTAACTACGTTACATTTAGCTTTCTTTTCTGATGATGGATAGTATGAAGAATAAAATGATAGCTACGTTTTGGTGTTTGACACAGGAGGCATGATTTAATTGAGATTTTTATATCATGACACCCTTGGTAACGTATATGATTCAAAAATAGTAACATCGTAGAATCAGTTATATCATTATGAATAATTGCAAAATATCAACTGGTGTTTCTTATACCATGTTTACACTGAAGTTAAAGCAATAATAACACTTGAAACAGACATAGTCCAACGCCTAATCATGTTACGTAAATGATGGTGAAAGTCACTAAATTCTAAAATAGCTACATTAAAGATAACACCAACCTCAACTATGTATGCAACACATATGTAATTAACTAAGTGCAACATGCGCTACATGTTTTAAAGAAAAAATGCAGGCTTAAAGTTACTTTTTCTTTCTTTACACATTTTAAATGCTAAAATCCTTTGTAACGTAAATGATACAAAACTCACAATCGCGGAATCAATACTATTTAGTATAAAATATGTGAGTATCGTCAAGAAGAAGTAACGCTAAGTGTCTCCTGATATCGCTAAGTGTCTCCTGATATCATACGATACATAACTACTAAAAACTTAACTTATTCCTCCATTACCTTTACTTTGTCATATATATCCTGGGCTAAGTTTGCATCTCAGGACTCAGTTCGAATAGCCTTGGGGTTGGCTTCTCCATTTCAGATAAAATATTAGTATTGGAGATTTTCAGACAAATAATGTCACTTTTTAGAGGAAAAAGACACATTTTGCTTCTCCATAAAATAATTTCCCTATCATTAGTATCTACACTTACAAAAAATATTTAAATCAGCGGTTATCATAAACTGCAGTGACATATTCGCCAACGTGTACCCCAATATCTTCACTGTCAGTATGCATGTCTCTGACATTAACACTCTTGAAAGGTGTTGTTGTATCTTCTTGTATCCATAAACCTGTGTGCAGTTCGGCTTTGACACGATTTATTTGCGTTGACCAAGGTAGCCTATGTCCCTTTGCCTGTGACAACCGTCGGGTACACAGTCCCGTTTTGTTGTCCTATTGCAAAATTCATGTTTAATGTGTTACTTGATCATGAAACACTGTCATAGCCGCTTGTGTCACAATGATTATTTCGGCATCACTGGGGTCAATAGCTGCCAATAGTATCTTCTCTGATTTTTCTTTTGTTTTTTCTTGCTGTTAGGCTATTTATTTATTCTTAAAACGACCTCTTTATCTTTTCAGATGACATTGCAGCTATTGGGACATAAAATTATTGAACACGTTCTTTGGCCTTGTATGATCCACCTATTTTGTTTTTTCCTCTCATGATAGTATTTTTGAATTTCTGCACTAGTCTCTCCCATCTACAGAGTGTACATGTTGATAAATAAATATACCGGTAAAGTATTGACGGCAAACAAATGTGTGCAGCAGAGTTCATCAACTACGTTACCATCGGTAAAGTAAGTTATCATATAAAAACACAGGGCCAGAGCTTCAATATAAAATCAATGAGAGAAACATGTTTTTATGTTCATTTTCACATTTATTCTAACAATGTTTATGCCATAGTTAACATTAAATTAACAACATAAATTCGTTTCACATGAGAGATACTATATAGGGTGTAATACATACCTTAAATTGCGTGGTTTTACTCCGAAAAAGTGGTAGACTTTCTTGATTCAGATTCAAACCAATATGTGAGCTTAAATTTCCCTCGTTATAAACTTTATTCAGAGCTAGGAGTATGGTAATAGTTATTTTCGTACCACAAGGTATCGAAAATGATGGTATTGTAAATGATGCAAACGACACTCTCGCTGCTGTATTGTATTCAAACAAAGTTAAATTGGTTGAACATAGTGATTAATCAGGTACACCCCTACCATACAATTGGTTGATATAACATGAATATGCTCAACTACGTATTGACCGTGGAAACATTGATCACGTAAATGATTTTCTTATCTATAACTTCATGAAAAACTGTGATTATAATTTTCTAATGCCCAAATCTTCACGTTTCCAACAGCAACTTGTACGACGATATTTTTGTTTGGGGTAATATGACTTCACCACAATTTGACATCGGTTTCTAAATAGCTACGTATTTACAGATTTGACCTAAATTAAGCTAAATTTTGAAATAATTTGTAACAAATTGAATTTCAAAAACAATTTTAACATTCTGGTCAATCCTATCCTATTAAACACCATTATAATCCACAGGTAAAAGCAAAACTGAACCAAGCAGGAGTGACTGTTATAATGTTACAATGTTATGATGTTACCCCTGAAAGGTCACATGTTAAATCCATGTGAAACATTTCACTTTGTCCAACAAAAGGTAAGCGATCGGTGGCTACCTGTGAGTCATTGGACGAATATGGCCTCCCGATCGTAGGCCAACGAAATTTTGAAGAGTGCAGACTCACTGTTAATGATGCCTTAAATGACAAAATACAAGCATTTTCTGGAGATTTTATGAGATGTGAGCTATTGGAAAAGATTTTTTAATCGAGTGAGAAAGTAGGAAATGCTGTAGTGGTAGGATGGGATAGAAATCCACGGAGGGGTGTCTTTAAGTGCTCTGATAAACCTTTTTAGACTTAAAGCCAACAAATCATATGATACATGCACCTACCCATGTATTGAGAGTATTAATAGGGGTCTTCCCTCTTAAACGATAATAAAACCACATTTACAATATTCCTATTTAGGAGTTAAAACATCTCCAACACATAGTAACAATATCTTAAGAGAACATATAAACCATATGTAATGCAATTAGTTTGTAATCAAAATGTAATCAAAATGATTTAAAACTCTTTGAAACTGCAAAACTGGAAATTTTCGTCGAATTTTGTTAAAACATGAACATTTTTAAATTGCTTGTTTTTCATCAATATTACTTAAATTTCCAAATAAAAAAATTTGAGTGTCACAAAATGTTTCAAGTTAAAGTATGCCGAATTTCATAAGCAAACTCTTTTTGGATATTTTTCTACAATACATCAAAGTAGGCGACAAAATTGTGTGTGGGGTACTATATAATTCATAGCACAAGGGGGTAAACATAAAAAAGACTGGCGACATTTGCTTGGGAATATTTTTGGTAAGGTGAAAATGTCAAAATGATCGTTTCTGTCATTTGACTAGAAGCTAGGATCATGTTGTGTATAAGAAAACACTTTATATGGGATGTTACGTTTAAAAAGTTCATCAATGACACCATACAATCCTGATTTTTGATATGGCGAAAGTCACGTAAATTATGAATAGGCAAATTCTAGTACATATAATAAAATATGTGTAACTTAGAAATCATATATTACATACGTGCTTGGTAGAGGGTCATATATACTACTTGTAAACACATCAAAAATTGATGTCAGTAATGTTAATACTAAGACTGAGCCTGGCGACATCAATTGTGCCTAGTTATTGAGAATGGATGAATGGTGTTGGTGAAGCAAATATGGAGACTTCAAGCAAGATAAAAATTACCTATAGCAATATGGGATCAAAATATACGAAATGGTGGTAAAGTATAAACAGCAAGACCAGACCATGTGAATCGAAATAAGCATAGGATTACCTCCACAATTGTCTCCACTCCATCCATCAGGGCAAACACATTCATAGTCTGGTCCAGGGATGACTTTACAGGTGGCACCATTCTGGCAGGGGGACTTATCACAGGGGGGTTTACATGTATCACCAAGGACAGCCTCGTACTCTAAGAGTTGTCGATTGTAGACCTCTTTAATGTTATCCGCACACTCGAGGACTGCCTTGTTTAGACAATCTACTGCAACCTTAACATGTCTGAAAAGGAATGCTTAGTGTTAATACAGTATAACCTGTGTACAATGAACACCTATTGAGTCACAAAAATGTGCTCACTGTAGGTAGGTGTTCACTACAGAGAGACATTTTATAAAAAAATCAGTGGAGTACATGTATGTGTTGAAAGGGATCTTCACTACACACAGGTCTTCATCAGAGAGAGGTGCTGAGAGGTACTAGGCTATTGTTCAAATATGTAAGTTAACGTCATTGTTGAGAGGATGCTCTTTTTATTTGACAAGTGGATTAAATTGTTTTTAGTCACCATAATGATGAACATTCTTAAAGGCAGAATCAGATCTAGCAAGTAGTCAGTATCATGATCTGGACAAGAATTGCTTCAATTTTAGAATATTTTGGGCTTATATCATTCCTTGTCATATATTTTTTCAAAAATTACCCAAATTGTACACTTTGTTTGAGGAAATTTTTTTTTTCAATATTCAGTTTACCATTTTTATTATTTGGGAGAATTTTGAATTTTTCCCCACTTTGGCACTTTGAACCTTTAATAACTAACAGTTTATAACATATCGTGGATCTTTTGGGAGATAATATTTTGAGATTGTAAGGAATATATTGGTGGGTCAACTGTACATGTTGCTTGCAATTTTTCACCCTCTATGGATCTGATTCTGCCTTTAATTATGCTCTCTCATATTATAATGCAGAATCATTGTGTGTCAAACATAAATAGTAATCCACAAAAATATATATATTGAACATATGTAAAAGTAATAGAATTAATGTGTTCATGTATGTAACTAATCTCCTCTGAAAGATTTACATCTTACATGTATGTCCAGTACTTACACACAAATTGCACTGTTTGTGATTGTTGGGTTGAGAATCTTGGCACCCAGGTAAGTAACACATTCAGTGGCTTTCTTGATGCTACATTTCACTGGAGGTTTAGTTGGTCCAGGAGTGGTGACAGGGGGTGGCACTACAGTGCATTTGTCTCCAATGATCACATCTATGGTTGCGACAAAGTCCAAAATGTCCTTCTGGATTGAATTGTCACATTCCACTATTGAAGTCATGATGCAGTTCAGTGCGGCTTCAAATTTGCTGAAATAGATATCGAAAAAGAACGAAGGTTATATATGTTACATTGTATGGGAGGTATAGGATATGAGGTGTATCTTGAGGAAAATATAAGGTCCAAGGTAAGATATTGTAATTCCCCATAAATATTCCACATGTTAAAAAGTGAATATCACAATTCGCAATTGATATTTAAAATTTGTCATAATTTCAATTACTTTCATTATTCATACTTTAGCTATAGTTCTGTCAAAGAAAAGACCATCAAACCCAACACATTTTGGTAAAACAAAAAAGCTAGGACATACTGGTTAGATCCATTGATGATATCATTGGCTGTAGGTAGCAATCTGACCATGCGAAACTATATGATAAACTTATTGCTAACTTGAAAAAGGTACAACCAATGACATAATCGATCTACCAATACGATAGCTTCTTTAATTTACCAAAAGGTGGCAGGGTTTATTGGAAAAGTCTATTATTTCAAATAATTACAATGCATGTATACAGAACATATCAGAATTTTGTACTTACTAGCAAAAACCAGTTGCAAGTATACTACTGGGAGCATTGAGGGCATTAAACAAGCGAGCATTGATGTCTATGAGGCACACCTTGGCCTCATCCACCAAGCAATTGGGATTCTGTGTTGGAGGGGGTTGTGTGGAGACTGGTGTATCTGGGGTGGATTGAGGCACCTGGGTACCAGCTGGGGTGGTAGTGATCGCTGGTGTAACTGAAAAAAATCAATATTCTTCAATACATAGATGTATATGTACAGTATTTCAAAACATCACCAAAAAGTACTTTTTCAGTGGCCACAGCGGACAATACACTGCCAATGCAATGTACATCTACATTCTCATTGTGTTTCCCATTGTGTTATGAATGGGTCTAAAACTCTGTTTACACAAATGGAGACATGACATACTTGGATCAGGTCTGCAGGCTCCGCTGAGGGTCACTTGTTCCACAATTGCTTCAAAGATGAAGTTGATTTCTGTTTGTTGATCTTTGGTACATTTGAACATCCCTCCCCTGATGCACTGCCTTGTCTCTTCAATCATCCTGTAATGACATAAAATACTGAAGTGTGCAGTTCTGTTGAATCACACAAAAATACTATGTAACAATTAACACTATTATTTGGGAGAATTTTTAAATTTTTCCCCACTTTGGCACTTTGAAAAAAATTACTTTTGGGAGATAATATTTTTGAGATTGTACGGAATATATTTTAAGTGTTTTATGTAAGAGCATAAAGTGCATTACTTATTCAACAACATAAAAATACTGAAGGGTCTTGTAACTAAAATTCTACACTTCGGTTTGACTTAATAATAGACCAATTATGAGAGTAACTAAAGATTGATTATCCAAAAATTTAATTTCTGTGACTTTCTATTAATTTAAACAAATGATTACATAAAAATTTATTGTATTATGATTAATTTCAATCTTGGAATTCATTTCATTTTAATATATGATGTAAGATCAGAATTTTCAAGTTTCTGTTCAAAATTCATTACAATTTCACATTTGGGTATCCACCTCAAAATATTTTCTGAAACATATTTGAAACAACTTTGAATCAATTATAGTTACTTACACACAAAGTTTGGGTTTAAGTGAAGCATCAAACAAAGAATCAAGAACAGTTCTCCTGAGCGTTTCCAAGCAGACTTCAGCAGCTTTGATCTCGCATCCCTCGACAGGGGGCTGGATCCAATCAATGATCACCTTCCACTTCACTTCATATTTGATCCTGATCTCAGAGGAGCAACCCTCAACTGAGTTTCGGATGCAAATGTCAGCTTCTTCCACTTTGCTAGAAACCAAAGTATATTGAACTGAGTTGGAGCATTATGTACATCTATATAGGTGTTAATTACTATTTATTGTGTCAAAATGGTTCACAACTAACAAACAATAAATAAATTGTGGGCTTAGCAGTTGAAGCCAATATGTAGTTGTCTTTTTATTTTTTAATCAAAACTCGTTATTTCCTACATTATTTTAATAAAGCCAAATTATAGTGAGAACCAATATCTACAAATTTTTCTGATATTACAGTTCTGGTTTCTTTGAGATTTCTATCGAAATAATACATAAAATACATGTAAGAACTCCATGCATTCTTCCAATTTATTGCAACTTTTGTGAAAGAATAACAAATATCTTTATTTTAAGAGACTTACCTGATGGCAATATTAACATCATAAGTTCCATCTATGATCGTATTTTCCAAGTAAGTGTTTACACTGTTGTAACAGATGTCTGCTTCCCTGATGTTGCAAACTCCTAAAAATATTCAAAAAATGAATCAATTAAAAGAGCTGCATCAGAAGGATGATATTAGAGTAATATTTGGGAAAAACCATCAAAATTAGGCATGCCCAAAATAATATCTAATATTTCAGGCACTAAATATCGACCTGTAACAGTTAATTTACATATACAATTGAAGTCTGTATAAACCTCTCCTCATCAAAATAAAATGCATCTTTGCAATTTTGATAATAATTGCACAATTTTCATTATCATAATTCCAAAATCCATCAAAAAAACAAAATGAAATATATAGTGTAAACCACTTTTTGCAAGGACTGTTTAATAATGATTTAAGATGATATGAAAATTTTCAAATATCATCATAATCCATAAACTCCTATTTCCATCATTTTATTTGATTTTATATTACATGTAACAAATAACACAATATCTATTCTTCCATAACTTTATGTAAGTAAAAAATAGTACTGAAATTACCACCATCTTTTATTTCCTGATCTTGAGCATTTGCAGCAGTTGCAAGACATAACGAAAGAAATAATACATATCCTTTATGATTGGCCATGATGGCTCTACAGCACCTTTAGGGCGACTGCTCTCTAAGATTGAAGCCGAGGAAATGATGTTGGGAGGCTGGGGAAATATAATATGTGAGGCCCAGACAAAGATGACAGATTATACCACTCGCCACCCTCTAAGTCAATAACTTTACATGTGGACATCTTTTGTCAACATAAAGTACAAAAAAATGAATTTAACATTGCGGCAATGAATTTAGATTATGTGCTTTACTAAAAGTATGTTTGTTTTGCTCTTAGTTTTTCAGGATGGATTACATTGCGGATATCAAAGAGATTGTGTACAGAATCATATTTCACAGGTGCAATAATGTACTTTAGAAAATTAGTAATAAAAGTACAAAAACACAAAATATCGCCTTTTGAGATACTGGTCATAATTGTTAAGACTTAAAAATAAATTTACAATCACGAAAATATCGATAAGTTATTATCTATTAATGATCGACAAATTCAACTCTTTAAAAATTTACTCAATACTTTCAACAATAAATTTTGAAAGAATTATGGATTGTGACATCAAACTATAATCTTTTGATCTAGATTTAACTAATCAGAATCCTGGGAATATGATTGATAGAAATCCAGCTACCCAAGCGAGCAAATTAGCATTCACTTAATTTATGCTTTCATTAGTTTTAATGTATCTGCCATTCATTTCATAATGAAACTCTAATTAATGGCCATGACAGCAACACTTATTATGGGTGCATTTAAGGTAAGTGTGTACTTTCGGCCATTTTGATACAATCCCCATAGAGTCACATGTCACTTTAAAATATGAACTCCTCCTTCCCCACATAAAATAAAATTCAGCGACCTACTTTTTAAAAGTACAAAAAAGTAGGTCACTGAATTTTCTCATTTTTCATTCATTTTATAAATAAATATTCTCCACTTTTTTCTAAGTACATTAGTGCACTTTCTGAAAAATTGAAAGATGTAGACTATATGGGGAATGAGGAGTTTATATTTGAAAAGGAACATGCGACTCTATGAGGATTGCATCAAAATGGTCTGAAGAAGTCACTGATGACCTAAATCTTTTCAGTTAAAATACTGAATATATTTATTTCTCCTATTCAGAGGTGAATTGCTCTGACACTCTGTACAAGTTTATACTTGAAAAGACCACTTAAATATGTTTAATGTTTAAGATGTAGGTGTGGATTGTTTAAAGACAAATAGACTGTCAAAATATATGTTTTTTGCAATCAAGCAATATTTGTTGAAGACAAAAAAAGAGAGGCTAAAGAAAGTTTAGATTTTAAGATGATACGAATACAAACCCCTTCAACTTTCCTTTATCCCACCATACAAGTGGACAATCTATATTAGCACTCAATTTGTTTATATTACAACAGAATATAGCTGATGAATTGTTTATTTGGAGATATTACGAACGGCACTGACCTGCTCAATTGGTGTATGGACTAAAATACCCATCACAGACAAGTAAAATTGGATCTAACAGTTAGGGTTTAAAAAGTTTCCTAAACTTTTCACAGTTTGGCATTTATAAACAAAGGAGAATGGGAAACTAAGGATTTTTAATTATTTTATCCATATATATAAAATGTTTGTATCTAGAGAATACCATTGATTCCCATGAGAAATGATCAGTTAAATGCTGCTATGGATTTATCACTTGTACAGAGTGTTATAACTAAACACATTTAAAATTCAAATTACTTCATATGTTTAATTTTCAATCAAACCCATATATGATGTGTGATTAACTATATCCATGGCCAATCACAAGTGCATCAACCTATATGTTATACAATCACATGCTAGTTTAATGGTTCTCATACAATTGGCGATACATGACGTACACCATATTTAAAATTGTTTTGACAATATCATTTGCAAACATTTGGTGTTTATTCAATGGGTATGAAACATAACCTGGAACTCAGTCGAAAAAACTAAATCCATCCATCCATCCATGAGCAAATACAACTATATTCTTGCACCAATTACCTTTATAATCATGTGTTCATCAAGTAAATGTTAATTCAAAATTATTAATATAATGTGTAATGAACTTACTTGATTCACAGTGTTTCCCTTGATAATTCTCCTTACACTGGCACTTGTAGGCTGGTAGTGACTTGGAGAAATCCACCATTTCACCTGAACCTGAACCCTCTAAAAATATTGATGAAAAAGACAATTTAAATGGATGAAAGTGGAGGAACGAAGTAAATGAATCCCTTGCATCAAAAGACTATTTCTGGATCCTGCTTTGGTTTCAATGTCTTATATGAGTATGTGCCATTTCTTGTAGATGACATTATTGATCTGCTGAATGTGCATATGTGCATTATCTTTGCATGCTTTAATGCTATCACCTACCATTGTTGCAGCTCTCCATACATTCTTTTTCTGTGTTAAAATTGTTGCCATTCCCACGGCAACCTCCATATGTAAAGATCTTACACGACATGGAACTGACATCATAATGCCAACGTTGATGCCTAGCTCTGCATGGTCCGACTTCTGGAGCTAACGAACAGAAGGAATTGTCCTTATCGCAACGTTTCAAACATTCTTCCTTGGTCTCAAAGTTGTTACCATTGGAATCACAACCGCCATATGTGAAGGTTTGACAAGATTTTGTATCTTCATCAAAATACCATCGTTCAAAGAGAGCTTTACAAGGACCGGTGTATGCCTTGAGAGAGCAAATGTCATTGCTTTCGCCAGATCCACTACCTGACATATCGTCCATGTCAAAGTTCTTGATGTCTTTGTAGTTCTCGTCATGATAGCTTACACAAATTCCTTCATTTTCACATGGATTTTTGAAACAGAAATCGACCTCTAAAAGTAGAAAATTAAAAAGCTGAGTTTAATTCATTGTTCCATGCTCTTCCACTTCAAAATAAGTCGTGATGAGAGGGAGGAATAATAATTCAAGACATTATTAGACAGTGTATTTCATTTTGTTAATATATAAATCCACCTACTGATTTCACAATTTTCGCCTCTGAATCCAAAAGGACATTCACACTCATAAGTGTTGGGGAAATTGTCATCAAAATAATCACTTTCATCCTCTCCAGATCCTGATCCTGATCCACTTCCAGATTCATCCTCTTCCTTGTACATCGGATTGCATGAACCACCATTAATACAGGGGTTTCTCTTACAGGGGTGAACTGTAAAGATAAAACAGCATGCAGCACCATTAATACAAGGGTTTCGCTTATTAGGTCAAATATAAAGATAACATGTAGCAAGTACCACTATTAATACAAGGGTTACTCTTATAGGGGTCTACTATAAAGATATAGCACGTGCCATCATTAATATAAGGGTAGCTTTTACAGGGGACAACTATAAAGATATAGAAAATGGAGCGTACACCACTATTAAGACAAGGGTTGCTCTTACAGGAGTCAAAGATAAAGATAACACAGGTTTTTGTACCACCATAAAAGTTGCATTAAATATCAATAAATGTGTATCTTAACTGTATGTATGTGTTTTCTAAACTAAATAAATTCACACATTTTTAATAAAAACAGGGTAATTCCTAACCTTTTTCACAGTGTTTGCCACCAAAAAAGTCTGGACATTCACAGGTATATGGATCTGCCACACCAATTTGGAAACCTCCACTCACGCAACGTCCTCCGTTCTCACATGGATTTGTTTTGCACAGTTCAATCTTGATCTCTGCAAATAGTATATAACAAAATACTGGATGTGCTCTCTTCAAAATGTTCAACGTTTAAAACATTCTGTTGGATCTGGCCTTTCTTATTTGACCTACAAGTGATTGGGTCTATAGCTACATTGTATAGCTGTCAAATATGCACAAAAACTTTTGCTCTGTCCAAGGAGATCTAAGCAGAACTCTAACTAGTTACTTGCTATTTTCAGTGTATGCTCTCTCTTAGATCCTCCACCTACACAACACATACTTACCAATCTCACATCTGATGCCTTCAAAGTCTCGTTCACATTCACAGCGATATCCCTCCATGTCTTTGTCATCCATATCTCCTGAACCTGAACCTGAACCTGAACCTGAACCTGATTCAGAAGATGCTGTACGCATGTCATCATCATCTAGAAAATCAAAATGTATTAGAATAATCAGCTGTATTTTTTCAAATGTCTACATCCCAGTAAGCTCAAAATGTGCTTTCTCTAAAATAGGAGAGAGGGTAGACAATTTATATCTTAGACTATTGTTATAACTGAAGAGATTTATTTAACTGGACAATGAGAAATAAGATCACCCCAGCATGGAGTTCATTGTGAAGAGTTAACATTTATTTGTGCATTTCCTCTCTTTATATTTCAGCTCAACAATGTGAATTCAGTCTCACTGAACATACAAAACAAGGCATTTACATGCATAGTGTCACCGCCTGCCATTTGTTATATTTGTTAGGCCAGCCGCCAACTATCACACATTTGTGCAACAACAACCGCCGCTTCCACAATAAAGTTTGAGACTATAACAATATGTCACCACTATTTGGGGTGGTGACATAACTAGTTTTCAGATTAGACTTGTATATTTAATTCTGAGCACTCGGGATCCTATCTTACATATTGGTTCCATGCAGGTATGGCCACAGCCATTACTACAGCATAGTTTGTCATCAGGGCAAGCCATCTCACCCTTCCCACCCTTGGCACAACTCTCTACACATATACCAATACCACCATCAACCTTGGGGCACTGGCCTTGGCGAGCTGAACAAAGTAAATAATCTAACTATACTATGTGGATTACAAAAAGCACTGTGTAAACCTATTTTATAAAACTATTATATTTTATTAATCTATTATGAAACTACATGTAGGTGTTTCATTTCTATAATATATATATGTCTGTCATCATAAAACCATAACAAAACTAATTTATAATAGTCAGTATATATATATTATTTGCTAGTTATACCATGCGTGCTAACTAATAATAAAATATAGTTTTACTAACTACTAACAGTTGTTTTATTATAAAGCTTTAACCACACAAATCGTTTTAATCTTATAATATTAAAATATATCTCCCATTCACGTTACTCACCCTTCTTGAAATCATCATCATGGAAGCTGATGCATTTAGCATTGTTTTCACATCTGTGGTTTATGCAGAAGTCAACTCCTGAAAATATGAAACAACCATATACATGTATGTACTTTGGCAATTCCTCAAATTACTCAACTTTTTTGTTTATTACATTAGAATTAAAAAATAAAACAAGGTAAAAGGAGTGCAGAGGGAACCCCTTGACCTAATCATAATTTTGTATTTTGTGCTATTAATGTACCCTTCCATAATGCCTTCGGGCGACTGAAGGGATTTATATTATGATATTTTTATGAAGCAATAAATATTTCTTAATATAAAAAAAAAGGTAAAAGGAATTGCTATTGTTACTATCACTGTGACATGTCTACTTACTGATTTCACAATTTTCGCCTCTGAATCCAAAAGGACATTCACACTCATAAGTGTTGGGAAAATTGTCATCAAAATAATCGCTTTCATCCTCTCCAGATCCTGATCCACTTCCAGATTCATCCTCTTCTTTGTACATCGGATTGCATGAACCACCATTAATACAGGGGTTTCTCTTACAGGGGTGAACTATAAAGATAAAACAGCATGCAGCACCATTAATACAGGGGTTTGTCTTACAGGGGTGAACTATAAAGATAAAACAGCATGCAGCACCATTAATACAGGGGTTTGTCTTACAGGGGTGAACTATAAAGATAAAACAGCGGTATATATCAGCATTAATACAAGGGTTGCTCTTATAGGGGCCAACTATAAAGATATAGCATGTACCACCATTTATACAAGGTTTGCTCTTACAGGGGTGAACTATAAACCTAACACAGCATATATCACAATTTATACAAGGTTTGCTCTTACAGGGATGAGCTATAAACCTAACACAGCATATATCACAATTAATACAAGGTTTGCTCTTACAGGGATGAGCTATAAAGCTAACAGCATATATCACAATTAATACAAGGTTTGCTCTTACAGGGGTGAGCTATAAAGATAACACAGCAGTATCAGCATTAATACAAGGGTTGCTCTTATATATAATATGTATTTAGATGTCAATGGACCAGATAATCAATAATTATTATAAAATGAGTGAGATTGATTTAATTCAACTAACTAGAAACAATAAAAACGAGATAATTCCTAACCTTTTTCGCAATGTTTGCCACCAAAAAAGTCTGGACATTCACAGGTATATGGATCTGCCACACCAATTTGGAAACCTCCACTGACGCAATGTCCTCCATTCTCACATGGATTGTTTAAACAAAGGTCAATCTCGATTTCTGTCAAACAACATCAAAAAGAAATCACTTGAATGAATAAATGAATGCAATATATAAGATATTTTTAATTCTTACATGTATATCGAATAAAGGTTCAAGAAGCTTACCAATCTCACATCTGATGCCTTCAAAGTTATTTCCACATTCACAGCGATATCCCTCCATGTCTTTGTCATCCATGTCTCCTGAACCTGATCCAGATCCAGATTCAGAACCTGATCCTGAACCTGAACCTGATCCGGATACTGATGAATCCATATCTAAAAATGCATCAAATAAGTTATCAACCTCATTTTGTATCAAATCTGACATATTAAAGTAAATAGTAGAGTTATGATGTGTTGGTCAGAGTTTCTTTGCTTAATTAATACCATTTACTAACTTAACCAACTAACTCGATGATCAAACTAAGAAGTGTGAATCCCTCTCTCAAGATACTTACATTTCTTGAAATCATCGTCATGGAAGTTGATACATTTAGCATTGTTTTCACATCCATGGTTTATGCAGAAGTCAACTCCTGAAATGGGAAGACAATCAATGTGAAATGCAAAGTGATGTGCAAAAAAATTAAATTAAAATGTGCTAGTCCAATTATCAGTACTTCCTCACACATGTCATTTTAAAAAAACAATATTAATCAATGGAAACGCAAATAACATGTAAATCATTTAAGACAGTAGTAAGTAAGTAAGTAAGGTATTTATTAAGACACTGACTTTAAAATCTCACTCCAGTAGAATGGAGATGAGATTGTTCAGAGACATACTATATAATTATGATATTACATATATATATGTTATATAATTATAACATTCATTTTTTGTTTCTGTTTTTCTTGTAATTCAAAGAGGTGACGTCAGGCAATACCAAGAAAACAGGAACTGAACATCCACATAGGATTAAGGTTCTGATCCTATGTAATTCTAAAGTAAATATTGAGGTTTGTAATGCAGTGGTCCAGAATAAATAAATGAAGTACGGTATGAAACTAAACCAAAAGTTCAAGTTCATCGTCCGATAAATTTTAAGATAAATATTGCAATTTAGGCCTAGGACAGGCATCTATTGTACATCTGAAATATGTAAATGTAACGAATAAAACAATAAAACTGATACTTTGGTAACCTAACCTGATTAGGCAATTAACATGTAAGTACTAAATAAAGATGTTGAGGACAGTAAAGTTTTAACTCACTGATTTCACATGTTGGCCCAGACCAGACTTGATTAGGCAATTAACATGTAAGTACTAAATAGATGTTGAGGATAGTTAAGTTTTAACTCACTGATTTCACATGTAGGCCCAGACCAGCCAAATGGACAGCTGCATTCATAAGCGTTTGGAAAATCATCATCGCCATCACTAAATTCAAGCATTGCCTCTCCAAGACCTTTAATAAAAAGTAATAAATGTTGATGATATTGACATACAACATTGATCTGTATCTAACCTTGCATCAACACTATCTCCTCTATTTGTTTAAGTTTCATTAAACTGTATATCTGAGAAAGGTAACTTGATTGAAGAGATAGAGAAAGGCAAGGACTTCAAGAAAACTATTAAATAACATTCCAATATTTATGAAGAGTTTAGTGGGTGAACAAGTGTTCAGTTGAAATATAATATCTCATCTTGTATTTTGTTTTTATAATAATAGTATCGATCATACTCAAAAACTACTTTACTAACTGAGACAGCACACAAAGATTATGCTGATTATGCCAAATCTTACCTGATCCAGATCCGGATCCAGATCCAGATCCCTTGCTGTTTTCAAATACATCAAGACTGAAGTAACTGCTACACATTCCTCCATTTTGACAGGGTTTGGCCATACATGGGTCAGCTGTAAAACAAGGTATCATTTATTTATTTTAAATATTCTACCACTTATTATAATCGATCTGATATACAAACAGTAATTTATGGTGCCTGGTTAGATGGCAATATTAGCATATAATATCATATCGGTTCATTTCAAAGAAGTCCAAGGTTATGATCCTTTTTATTAGAAGATTCACCATTCAAAATTGAAATTTGAATATTTGATAATAAAATATTTATAATGTTGTTCAAGTCATATTCATATAAAAATCTTGAACATAATATATTTGCTTAATACTTCATATTTAAACTGCATAAATATACAATTACATGTAAACATTTAACTAAAAGATAAATGTCAAAATATTTATTTTCAGTCATATTACAGGAGTATTATGGTTGAGCTAAATACTATGTAGGATGGATACAATTCTGATTTGAAAAACATATAGCTATATAATATACGCCCTTGGTTGTTAGCCCTATCGGCAAAAGTATTGTTATGTAACATTATGTAATTTATAATAAAATTACGTCATCATATTATATAGCCAACAACAAACCTACTTAGTTGTGTTTCTCTTAACTTTTGCCTATCAAAGAGCGCAAGTACACCCAGAACACTACAGCTTCATAAATAATATATGACTTATTTCTTGATGGAAATCTAAATTGGCTAACAGCTACATGGAACTGATAACATGCCTGCATGCTGTTATAAGCCTGTGTTGTGATCATTAAAAGCTTTTTAGACACTGTGTCTCTAGGAAATTTTTAGAAAACTTAAAATTCTGCAAAAAATGAGAATTCACTTCAAGTTCAAAATTTTTAAATACTTTTTAGAGTTAGTTACATAACATTGGTCATTTATGTTTATGAGAAATGCATATTTTTTAAATCAAAGAATTCAAATTCAAACATAATCATGAGTGGTCAAACTTTTGTGTATATGTCAATCTGGAGTGTATAAAATCATACGTTTTTCACAAAGCTTGCCACCATATCCTTCTTCACAGTCGCAAGAGTATCCGTCATCTCTGAAGTCAAAACCAGTCACACAGCTTCCTCCATTAAGACAGGGATTCTCAGCACATGCATCTTTTATTTCTGAAAGCCAATTCTTACACCATAGCAAATTCACCAATGACTCATATATAAATTAACACCCTTGCACCATTTAATCCAAGGGGAACAAGTGTCATATTTGAACGCATGTTATAATACTAAAATAAACACTATGAGAGTTCTCCATATTCCATACATTAAATACTGTCTCATAAGTGTTCACCTTAGATGTAAAAAAAATAAAATAAAAACTTCCCATTTCCATACTTTTCCAAGCAACATTTTTTTTCAAATAAATGTTATATATTAGCACATTTGATTCCAATGTAATGTTATATAAGCACTAGGTGATCTTTAGCAAATTCCTTATTGGACACGTTTTGTATATGATGGCCTACACTCCAGAGTGAGTGTGTTACATCAATAAGGTTTTCTCTGAAACACCTTGCCCCATTAATGCAATACAGAGTGAGGATGTGAATCAAATATTGCAATAGTTCTTTCACCAAAGCATTATGAATAATAACCAGAAAGCTGATCTCCAAAAGCTTTGATCATTGAATTATTTCAGAAAGCTCACCTATTTCACAATGATCTCCATTCCAATCAACAGTACATTCACATCTGTATGTGTACATGGTCTCAGCCTCATCTTCCATTCCTGATCCTGATTCCATTCCTGATCCCATGCCTGATCCCATACCAGATCCTGATCCTGATTCCATTCCAGATCCCATTCCAGATCCTGATCCAGATCCCATTCCTGATCCAGATCCACTCTCAGAGGCATCTCGTTTTACTAGTTCCTCGATGCACTTACCTTCATTCTCACATGGATTTTTCACACATGGACGCTCTGGAAATATATGAATTATATGATTGTGTCAATTATGTATCTATTATTCCCCATCTTCATGCTAAGCCTCATTTTCCAAAAATTACAAAGTAGCATGGACATTCACAATAATTCACACGTGCATGTAATAAGCGAGTAATTCATGAATTATTGTACTTTAGTTAAAGGTGCAACAATTAGTGCAGGGGGGCCATTCAACGATCATCGACCAGTGTCAAAATATATTTAAGTTTGGATATTTCATCCAGACACATATATCTTTATTATCTACAAAGAAACCCCCTGTATGGACATTATATCAGCTGATATTCCTCTTGAAACGTGTGAATCTTAAAAATCTGTAAGTGGAACTCCCTTTATAGAAGTTTTGAACTGAATTTACACTTCTTTATGCTTAAATTGAGAGTTTATCCATACATTTTAAGAAAATAGGTATATCAAAGAAGATGTTAAGCCAAATATTAACCTGATACCTCAGAAAAAATAAAAATTGCGAATTTCTCTCTACAGTCCTTGTTGCCCCTTTAAGTTAAGATTGAATATTCTATATTTTACTATTTTGAAAACCTCCTACTGAAAATATACCAGATACCCTTACCCTCAGAAGGAATTCATACAATAATATTCTATTCGATTCAGTGCTAATCTAGAATGTTTTTTATTATATTATTTCTGAAATCTGACTTATTGGAGTTGAAATAAATAAATGTAAAATGCTTATGGATGGTCAGAGGAGAGAAGAAGTAAAACAGCATACCCTTTTCACATGTCTTTCCATAAAAGTTCTCTGGACAAGTACAGGTGAATACATCAGGTGTCATTGCATTAAAGTTACATTCGCCTCCATTCTCACAAGGGTTATTGCAACACAAATCACCTGGAAGGACAAATAGTAAAACCTATAGCAGCATATACGTAATAAGTTTGATAAACGTTAATCAAAAAATATTCGCACATAATATGTGTATTTCAACAGAGATTTTAAAAACAACTAATAACTAGAACTTCACTAAAAAGTAAATGCATTTTTACTCAATAAGAATATGATTAAGTGCATTTTTACTCAATAAGAATAATAAGAATATGATAAATTGCACTTTTACTCTTGAATAATATGATTTAATGTAATTTTACTCAATAAGAATATGATTAAGTGCATTGTTACTCATGCTCAAATAAGAATATAATTAAATGCATTTTACTTACGCGCATCACACGTTGCCCCTGTCCAGCAATCTTCGCAAACACAGACGGTTGCGAGAATATATTGGTTGTAAAAACATTTGCCGTGGTCGCATGGGGAAGGATCACATGGGTCGCTTCCTGAAACAAATGAAAATCACCTGTAAGTTCTGCTTACACACTTCAAAACGCTGAACAAAATCTTTTAGTATCGAGGTGAGTACTAACGTTTGGAGAAGTTGACAATGGCTTTTCTTAGGGATAAGATGAATTCAAAATTACGTATTGGCAGTGGTAAATCTCAAACGGGTATGATACGTTAACTGTATTTTTTTATTTCAATTTATTTATGTCTTACTGTATGGGAATAATACATTGTAAATCAACATTTAGTTTTAGTTTCATCAATGGTAAATGAAAAATAAAATATCATTTTTTAAAGCAATAAACATAATAGACCTAGGCCATTTTGGACGATGATATGCCTAAGACTCCAGTGAATTTCATCCTGCTATGGACCAGTGTGCATGTATATGGTTTTATCAATTTTGGAGATTTCAGATATATTACATACATTATATTATTACAACAACGTTCTATTAAATGGATGTAAAGAGTATGTCAACTCTATGATTTCACATGCTAACGTCAAACACTAAAAACTGTCATTAAAGGTGCAACAATTAGTGCAGAGGGGCCATTCGACAATCATGGACCAGAGTCAAATATATTTAAGTTTGGATATTTCATCAAGACTTATGTCTATTTTTATTATCTACGAAGACACCTCCTAGAAAAACATTATTTCAGCTGATATTCCTCTTGAAACATGGTGGATCTTAAAAATATAAAAGTGGATTTCCCCTTTTTGAAGCTTTGAACTGAATTTACACTTCTTAATGCTGAAATTGATAGTTTATCCATACATTTTAAGAAAATAGGTATGTCAAAGAAGATGTTAAGCCAAATGTTGCCTTGATAGCTCAGAAAAAGTTAAAATTTTCCTATTTTATCTCTACAGGCCTTGTTACCCCTTTAAAGTGTCTTTATGGTATGCGAATGTCTAATAGTGCAAAATAAACAGGCAAATTAAAACACAAGCAAAATAAAAAAAATTGAAAACGCACATTGCGAAATCACACTTACGTTTCTCACATGTGTCACCCTCCCAACCAAATTCGCAAAGACAAATGAATGTCGATGATTCACCATTGGTAAGGCAACTTCCACCATTGTCACATGGGTTACTCGTGCAAGGGTCTAAGTAATGGAAAGGCCATGCGAGGATTAAAAATATTAAAAAGCATCCCAAACTTACCAATCTAGTAGACGTGTGGAAAATTGTTAATCTAGTAGACATGTGGAAAATTGTTAATAAGCAGTGATGACATGATACAATTAAAAAACGTAAAACATCAAAAAAAGGCTTAGTTATTGTTGTTAGTAATAAATGGTTGGTTGTGATGAAAAAGTTGTCACTGGGTAAAGCAATAACATCAGATGTAAGTTCATCAAAACTTTGCAATGTCATATTTAAATAGTGTTAACATCGTGTTAATAACAAACCTTCGGATGTAGTGGGTGCTGGGGTAGTAGTACTAGTAGTGGTAGACTTAGCTGTTGTAGAGGTAGTAGTACTAGGGACAGTAACTGTAGTACTGTATTGGCAAGGTACCTCTGAACAAGGACTATTCCCGTCACCCACTTTTGCCCCAAAACCACGGGGGACACAAGTGGTGGGGGCACATGGCATTCTTTGTGCCACTCCGTTATCACATTGAAAATAGAAATATGGGTCGGATGTGTCCTCAGCGTACCAGCCCTGTTCAGTGGGAGGAGCCCCCGCACAATCTAAGTAAACAACGATCGACAAAGAAATAGCAATGTGTGGGAATGTGCATTGAATATATGAACCTTTGGAAAATTGACAAAATTGACCAAAAGACAAAAATTATTCAAACAATGGCGAATGGAGAAAGTAACGAGCCACAACGAAATAAGTGCATAATGAATAAATTAATCTATCAAAAAATGGGGGAGAACACTATTGATTGAGTATTTGCAAGATAAATTGATGACACAACTAGCATTAAAGAAACGGGGGTTTACTTTGAAACATATAAATCTATTAAGATTCCAAATTGGGGAAAATATATACTTAACTCATCAAAAAGATCGATCGACGTTGATCAAATAATTGTAAATAATGGTGAATGACAACAAGCAACAAAAAAATCGGGAAAATACTAACTTCACCAAGTTAATCAGATAATTGCAAAAAAGGATGGATAGCCAAAAAGTAATAAATAAAGGTGGAAATAAATTTAAAAAAATAAAAATGAATAAATAAACAATTAACGTCAAAGAAATTGAATGGACTTTGAGCATTAAAACTGTAGAGAAAAATGAGAAAAAATAAAATGATCGAAACGAGGAAGGTAAAATCAAATGTCTTGCAAATAATGGCGGATGAAATTATTATATTATGTACGTTATCATTACACAATTATCTGCCATATGACCTACTAACCACTAACTGGGGTAGTTGTAATTTGTAAATCATATTTTTCCTTCAACTTTCAAATATGTAATATTGATCTGCCATCGTTCGTTTTCCTGCAACCTTAACTTGCAAATTATGATCCATAAAAAATAAGCGAACAAAGATAAATATTGTTAATTTTAATAAATAACATATATATTAGTTTAAGTATACAAATGTAGGCAAACGTGTATAAAGAAATTAGAAGGAATGTACTATAAATTGTTGGAATCAATCTTTTCATGATCATGCCAATCTTTTGTTATAATCTTAATCGCATTTTAAATCTTTTTTAGAAAAGTCGTTTTGAGTCTAAAAAGAAATTGAGGTATCTGAATGCGCAAGTTATTGAAGATGTAGAAAATGTAATTCGTATCATTACAACTGAAAACAAGACGTCCACATTTTGCCAGAATACCTGGAACAATATTAAAGGCACTTTAAGAAAAAGGCATGACATGAAATGATGAGATCAAAAAACATTTTTTCAAAACGCATTCTCAAATCTTCTCTATCCCTTCTAGCTTCTTTATTGGTTAATAGCAATGAATAAAAAAAATATTAGAAAAGTATTAACAATTTTCTTAAGAAATATCAAAGTAGTGTAAAATTACCATCATCATTTATTTGCTGATCTTGGGTATTTCCAACAGCCGCAAGACATAGTGACAAAAATAATATATATCCTTTATGATTAGCCATAATGGCTATCTTTATTTGCGTCACTAAAACACCAGAAAATATCCTGTCTTTCTGGTGACTGTGCGCCCTCTTAGAAATCAGCTAAGAAAGTGATGGTTCGAGAATGGTAACGTAAAACCCGGATGACATTGATAGATAGATGGGTCAAAGGCCAAATAGTGCCAAGATCAGCTGCTTATATTTTAAATGCACCACCCTCTTTGTCAATATTACGATATGTGTGCATGTGGTCAGGAATATATCGTTCAGAAAAGAATTTAACACTTGGCAAATATTCTTCTAGAGATTCTAACAATGATTTTTAAGTTTATGTACTTAACGCTGTTTATTTTGCGCTCAATTTTAGGATGGATTACCTGACAATTCTTTAGTGAGATATGTGAAAGCATTTTTGTTAAGAATGTGTATTCCAAGTACATGTACAATATACGTGAGCAAAAAAGTCTTGATTGCAACAAAAGTACAAATTTAGGAGTGAAACATGAAACGACTGACATTGTGACTCTGCCATAATGCCATGATCATCAAAAATTGTAACATGAAACGTTTGTCATTGTCACTGTCGTATAGTCATGAAGTTGTTTGGGTAGAAAACTAAACAGAAAGTCCCACAACAGTATAAAACACTTTATTTTTATAAAAATTTTATAAGCAAAACCATAACTTCATATTTAATCAGACATGAATGTTATTTCTGATTGCTATTTCATGCAGAATGCTGCTTATCGCAGAAGAGTCCAAACAAATATGCCACTAAAATAAAAAAGGGATCCATCATCAAAATGAAAAGGTGAACTAATGCAACGGGTCTATACGTAGACTTTGCCATCACAGTCCATCACAGTCCATATCTTACACAAAAATCAATAATATCGTAAATAATGCCCATTTTAGGTGGTCAGAGGTTTTCCGACCAAAGTACTACAATACTGTTTTGATTTACCAAACCATGTCTTATTTATTGCTTGCATGGAGGTTTTCTCTTTTGGAAATTCAAGATTGGCTGTGTGTATCGCGATGCTAGAAAATTTTCAAAACCCATCCCATGGCCAGGTGGTTTAACAGTACGCTGCAGAGCAACATGGTTGTTTTCAACTAGATCTAAAGAGATCTTAACAACCGAAACCTTGTTGTGGATCAAGATAGCGTGGCAATTTCAAGTCTAAACTTCAGAGTTAGCAAATTCCAAATCAATTTAGATATACCCCCTATTGTTTGACTTATACTGGAATTCCAATGCAGGACTAACTCGTGTATTTTGTAGATTAAACAGAAAGCTTAAGTTGTAACAAGGCGTGTCAGTTTAAACAACAACAATAATGAATTTGAGACCTAGAGTATTTCACAAATATTTGGGGACAAAATGGCTTTCACCTACGCAAACACATTTTGTCTTTTTAACAATGTGATGTTTGATCGATGAATACAGGCCATCTAATTAACATTCAAAGATAGATATCAATATATATGATAAAACGGGAGACCGCCACAGTGACATCACCAACACAAGACAAAACCAAATAAACCAACAAAAGGTTGAGTAAACCCCCGGTAAACCCCAACAACATATGAAAGCACTCCTACGTTGATTCTATGATTGAATCTATGGTTCTTTAATGGAGGGCAGAGGAAGACGTTAGAAACTGTTTGTTGGAACACATTCTTGATAATGTTGGTTTTTCCTTATTTATTCGGTTGTACTTATTTTCAAAAATGCCTCAAATATCCAAGGAGGGAAAAAGGATTATTACCAAACAATATAACTGGAGTTTGCATGTGCTCTTTTTATCCAATATTGAAAATATTTCGAATTTCATACTTACTTAGTTAATAATTATTTTACTGCAATTTGAATATCCACGCACATACACAATGTATGCAGACATCCACAAACTGACCATGATTCAAATCTCTAAACGTGTCATGTCAGCACCTCAACTGTTTTATTTAACTACGAATGTAGATTTATTTGTCCCAAATAAACTTTATTATCTGAACAAATATTTCCAAGAATATGTTGCTAAACGCCTGGTTTATATCAGATAACACCGTCTATCTTACGAGCATGCAATTAATGAATATAACAAATAAGAAAACGATACGGGTTGAAAACGGGCAAAAAACTTTGAGACTATTAGACGAACCATATAAAACATATTACCATTATATTATCACGGTGCCATGCCCGGGGCCAGTAGCTAGTTACTATATAGTTTCACCATCAGGCGGGTAGCTGATTTGGGAAAAAAACATGGCAGCTATTGGAAAAGTTCATTAGATTTACTGAATCAATTTTCATATAACCTTTCCGAGTTTGACAATTGAAAACATGTGTCCAGTAAAATAGTATCCGTCCAATATAAGAAAATAAAAAATGAAGCAAAAATACCATATATGGAACAACAGTATCTCAAATAGCAATGTGGACTACTTAATAATTGTAAATAACACAATGTATAGAAGGTGTTTAAAGTTGCGTCTAACCTTCCTGGAGCTGAAGGATAGATGGAGGAGTACTATTCAATACATGTAAAAGTAGGAAGGGGGATAGATGGGAGGATATCAAAAACAAATGTGACTGCAATTTCAAATTGTTCATATTCATGTAAATGCTCACACGTCTAGGGAAACGTGTAGACATGTCTATGTTAGGTTATGTTTTGCCAATGGATGTAATATGTTCTTTGTAAAATGGATATTACAGGGTGACACAAAAAATGACACCCACCTTACGTTGCATAACTTGTTTATCCATTAACATATAGACTTGTCCTGGGCATAATCCGAAAGCACCTTGAGATATTTCAGATGTGTAGCTCAACTGGGTCAAATTTTCGGAGCGTTACAACATTTGCTCTAAACATCGTCCATTCATTTGCAGACACACATGGATTCTACACAAAAATTCCACACAGCTTTGGTAATATAACTTTGTGAATACTTATAATTTTGGCTTTTACTTTCAGGGAATTGAAGTCCATTCAAATGAACACAAAATAAAGCATTATGACTTATTTCCAAAATTATGTTACAAAGGGTGGGTGTCATTTTTTGTGTAAGATCCAGATGTACCAGCAAAGGAATAGACGACACCTTTTGTAACGCTCATAAATGTACATCTAGGTGAGTCAGTTAACTGAAACTTCTTGTGAAGTTGCGAAATGGATTGCCGTTTTAATGTGCGAAAAAAGCAAGTCAGAATTTCTTCAGACAAAACTGTAATGAAACATTATGTGAGTAGGTATCATTTTTTGTGTCACGCGGTATATTAATCCTGTGCGACATCCATAATATTGTAACACTTCCTCTTTCAACATTAACTGTGGATATGTACTGTTAAAACTGAAATAAAAACCGATTAAGAAATATTGTAATAGCAATGTATAAGCGAATAATTCGATCAAGGTTGAATTAGTCAATCGGAGTCTATCTAACCTTCATAAGCTTAAGAATGTCAAGCTAGCCCAAAAGAATAGCACAATTCGGCAATTCAAAGCGATAGAAATTAGAAATTGAAAACCCCTGTTTACACTTATGCATAATTTAATATAAGGAGCATTGTGATAAAGGATAAGTTGAGGCCATTTGCTTAAATTCAAAGAATACTATTCAAAAGTTCATAAAAAGTTTACTCATACAAACTTCCTATATTGTCAAAGACATCTCGCTTGACATTAGTTGACGTATTAGTGTTGAAATTTCAGATTAACGAGGTGTGTGTTAAAAAATAAAATGTCACCTTCGGATTAATGTATTAAGTAAACAAGCAATATTTGTTAAAGATTATATGTTAAGTTGGAAGTTTTTTGATCGTGACATGGCCCGTTAGAGTGCTGGTATCATGACGTGTATGGGTGCACTTTGAACCAGACGTATAAACCTTTTCATCCATTGATGAATGTTGATCTTTCTGCCATTCATGTTTGCATGATTAGAATGGTTCAAATATGTTTTTATTGTATTTACCATCCAGTGAATGCTACCATTTAAAAAGTGTTGATATGATTTTGAACTTGATATTTGAAATTAATCCCCAAATAAAGTCACTAGGCAACAAAATGCAGAATATGTCCTGGAGACCAAAAAGAAAATTTTATGATTAAAAGTACACTAAATCTGTGCTCTTTGAGTACAATCAGTTTATTTCTGAAGGTGACATCTTTATTTGTCATTGAACACATCTAAAGGCTAAAATATGATAAATATGTAACTCACCGTCATTTACATCACCATTAGAATGCCATCGTTGATTTCTTGTGCATTGCCATTATCAAACTTAACTTACTTTTCTCTGCTTTCAGATTTTCTTCGTACTAAATCTAAGTTTTCTACTGATCCAATAATGATATTGATTAAACTTACCACTACCAGAGCCAGATAAATCATCATCAGTAGATCCAGATTCGCCAGATCCTGATGAATCTCCCGATCCGGAAACATCCACCACAGTTACTCCCGATCCAGATTCGCCAGATCCTGATAAATCTCCTGATCCCGAAACATCCACGACATTTACTCCTGATCCAGATTCGCCAGATCCAGATAAATCTCCTGATCCTGAAATATCCACAACAGGTACTCCTGATCCAGATTCGCCAGATCCAGATTCTCCAGATGCTGATAAATCTCCTGATCCCGAAACATCCACGACATTTACTCCTGATCCAGATTCGCCAGATCCAGATTCGCCAGATCCTGATAAATCCCCTGATCCTGAAACATCCAGGTTGTCACAAAGCGGTCCGCTGTATCCAGATGGACATTTGCACTCGAAAGTGCGTTTCCTTGATGTAGCAGTTTTATCACCACTTCCCATTCCTATTTCTACGTACCCTCCACTCCCCAAACCACTTGACGATCCAGAATATGCGTTGTCAGTTTCACTGTAGCCGTATATCCCATCGTTTGAGCCCCAACCACTAAAGCCAGATCCGGAGGACGATCCACTTGAATCATTTCCAGAACTGTCCCCGCTTCCAGACATTGAGCCATCACCCGACATAGTCCCACTGCCTGAATCTGTTCCACTTCCTGACATATCGTTAAAGGTGATATCAATGCATGTGGCATCTCCAAAGCATGGGTTTGACAAACAGGCAGATTCGCCTGATCCTGATAAATCTCCTGATCCGGAAACATCCACGACATTTACTCCTGATCCAGATTCGCCAGATCCAGATAAATCTCCTGATCCTGAAATATCCACAACAGGTACTCCTGATCCAGATTCGCCAGATCCAGATTCTCCAGATCCTGATAAATCCCCTGGTCCTGACACATCCAGGTTGTCACACAGCGGTCCGCTGTATCCGGATGAACATTTGCACTCGAAAGTGCGTTTCCTTGATGTAGCAGTTTTATCACCACTTCCCATTCCTATTTCTACGTACCCTCCACTCCCCAAACCACTTGACGATCCAGAATATGCGTTGTCAGTTTCACTGTAGCCGTATATCCCATCGTTTGAGCCCCAACCACTAAAGCCAGATCCGGAGGACGATCCACTTGAATCATTTCCAGAACTGTCCCCGCTTCCAGACATTGAGCCATCACCCGACATAGTCCCACTGCCTGAATCTGTTCCACTTCCTGACATATCGTCAAAGGTGATATCAATGCATGTGGCATCTCCAAAGCATGGGTTTGACAAACAGGCAGATTCGCCTGATCCTGATAAATCTCCTGATCCGGAAACATCCACGACATTTACTCCTGATCCAGATTCGCCAGATTCAGATAAATCTCCTGATCCTGAAATATCCACAACAGGTACTCCTGATCCAGATTCGCCAGATCCAGATTCTCCAGATCCTGATAAATCCCCTGATCCTGACACATCCAGGTTGTCACAAAGCGGTCCGCTGTATCCAGATGGACATTTGCACTCGAAACTGCGTTTTCTTGATGTTGTAGCAGTTTTATCACTACTTCCCATTCCTATTTCTACGTACCCTCCACTCCCCAAATCACTTGGTGATCCAGAATATGCGTTGTCAGTTTCACTGTAGCCGTATATCCCATCGTTTGAGCCCCAACCACTAAAGCCAGATCCGGAGGACGATCCGCTTGAATCATTTCCAGAACTGTCTCCACTTCCAGACATTGAGCCATCACCCGACATGGTCCCACTGCCTGAATCTGTTCCACTTCCTGACATATCATCAACGTTGATATCAATGCATGTGGCATCTCCAAAGCATGGGTTTGACAAACAGGCAGATTCGCCTGATCCTGATAAATCTCCTGATCCGGAAACATCCACAACATTTACTCCCGATCCAGATTCGCCAGATCCAGATAAATCTCCTGATCCCGAAGCAACCACGACAGTTACTCCTGAACCAGATTCGCCAGATCCTGAGAAACCCCCTGAGCCACTCGCTTCACTTTCTCCAGATCCAGAAACATCTCCTGAACCACTACCAGAGCCGGAGATTGACCCACTACCTGATCCCGAACCACTTTTCCAATTGTCCTCTGAAAATGAATAATACGTATGAGGTAAATTTAAAAACAACCAAATATGATGTGGGAATAGGTACCATTAATACCACTATATCCAGTACAATATATATATATTCACCTTTATCGCATTTGAGTCCTTTGAATCCATCATCGCAAACACATACAAATGCTCTTTTACGACTCTCTTTATGTCCTCCATTTTTATTGTTGGACCTTGAAAGTGGATCTACGAACCCATTTTCTGTCTTTCTAGTGACAAGATCATCGGGTCCGTATTCTTCATATGTGACATTTTCTAGATCTCCAGATCCCAATCCTGAGCCAGATCCAGATCCAGACGATTCACCATACCCTGGTGATGATTTGTTCACTGGTACGCATATGCCATGGACACATGGATTGTCTTTACAAGGCTCTACATCTAATACAGAGAAAGAAATAACTCAATAGATTGTAACATTGGCAAATCGACAGTCCATTGTACTATTTGAGAAGCGAGGACGTAAACAATTATAGGGGGTATATGAGTTCATACTAGGATGTGATTACGAATGGTCAATGTCGCGAACTTATTCGCATTATTGACATGACAAGTCATAATATGTATTTGTTCTTACTATTTTCACAAAGATCGCCAGTAAAACCAGGTGGACACTTGCACATAAATGCCGGTTCTAAGCCGCTTCCCTCTCCACTAGCCATACCACTTCCACTGACATCATCTCCGCTGGACCACGATTCACCTCCACTGCCACTTCCAGCGCTAGGAAGGTCATCCTCTTCGAGTCCGAAGCCATATATACCACCCTCTGAGCCCCACCCACTAGCTCTAAATCCAGATCCGGATCCAGATTCACCTTCTAAGTTTGAACTATCACTGCCTGATGCGAAACCATTTCCAGATGATGATGATGATCCACTTCCTGATATACCCTGATCAAGATCAATGCAAGTGGAACCTCCAAAGCAAGGGTTTGACAGGCATCCAGTTTTTGGTGGATTTCCTGTAAAAATAAATTACTCAACATTCACTAGTAGCACAAGAATGTCATCCTGATTCTCAAGGTTTCAGTTGCTCCAACTTGTGTTATAACCACCTTGGTTCGTCAAAGATGCAAAAATGTATCATAGCTTATAAATATTTATATTTAATATCAAAACTGAAAGTGAAGCTTGAAATGTTTTTGTCCAAACTTACGTTTGTCACAAAGTGGTCCGCTATATCCAGATGGACATTTGCACTCGAAACTGCGCTTTCTTGATGTAGCAGTTTCATCACCGCTTCCCATTCCTATTTCAACATATCCTCCACTCCCTAAACCACTTGGTGATCCAGAATATGCGTTGTCAGTTTCACTGTAGCCGTATATCCCATCATTTGAGCCCCAACCGCTAAAGCCAGATCCGGAGGACGATCCGCTTGAATCCTTTCCAGAACTGTCTCCGCTTCCAGACATTGAGCCATCACCCGACATAGTCCCACTGCCTGAATCTGCTCCACTTCCTGACATATCATTAAAGGGGAGATCGATACACGTGGCACCTCCAAAACATGGGTTTGATAAACAGCCAGATTTCGGTGGAATTTCTGAAATAAGTAAATAAGACTAGCGATTTATACACTAATATCACAATGCAACTATCGTTAATGAAGTATGGTTATACGATGCTCATCATATTGTTATGGGTTCAAAAGTTTATGATTGAGAATTTGATTTAGCAATACTCCAGTCTTACCTTTGTCACAGAGTGCTCCAGTGTAACCGGGCGGACATTTACACATAAATGTTCGTTTGTTGGTTGACATGTCAGTATCATCGCCACTACCTCCGCTGCTCAAGCTATCTCCACTGCTCATGCCACTTCCACTGCTCATGCCACTCCCACTGCTCATGCCACTTCCACTGCCCATGTCACCTCCACTACTCATACCACTTGACTGACCACTCCCACTTGACATGATTGAATTACCACCAATTCCACTTCCATAATCTCCATTACCAATATCATTGAAGCCATATATTCCATCTTCAGAACCCCAACTATCAGATCCAGACCCTGATCCAGAGCTTGATCCCGATCCTGAATTAAACCCTGATCCATTTCCAGAGTTGTCACCACTTCCTGATCCACTTACAGACCCGGATGTGGTTCCACTCCCAGAAATACTTTCACCTTCTCCAGATTCTGCACCACTTGTACTTTCATCACCAGGTAGATCAACGCACGTGGCACCTCCATAGCATGGATTGGACATGCAACTCGATCCACGCGCACTTGTAGATGTAGTTGCTACTACTGTTACATCTTCTACAAAAGGTATAACCAAGTAATATTAATGTGCACCATACATGTATATGTTCATTTTTAGATAACCAATGGCGATATATCTTTATATATTTTTTTCTCTTATATATAACAATATATGGGCCTTTTGTGTTGTCATATAATGTTGTCCGTTGTGTCATTACACTTGGGCTAATCGTACAGATCAAACTGAATAAGAAATCTCTAAAACACACACCTTTTTCACAAAAGTTTCCTTTGAAGCCTAGTGGACACTGGCATTTTATACCCTTGTTTTTATAATATAAATACTGCCTTAGGAATGTATCATCTCCATTTATAGTATACTCTTCTAGGATGCACATTCCTCCATTTTCACACTGCACATTTTTACACAGTAGGTCTGGAAAAATTAAGATAAAGATGTAAATTTCTTTGGAGACGTGTTTCTGTAATGTAACGATCTTCGTATTCAAATGTTGCTATTTGTGATTTGACACTCAACTGAATTTTTTCAACAAATTCAAACATGCATGAAAATTGCAAGTATGATAGAATGAAATGTGTTAGTATTACACAACTGTAACTCAGTCTTGTTTAAAACAGGGTTATGTTAAAGAATATCAGTGCCCGAGGCCAGAAGCCAGAAGCCTGTTTCTGAAGCCTCTGCTCGCAGGCTCGTCGCATACATCTGTAAAGGTATGTTTTATTTTGTGTACCTACTCACAACAACACATACCATTTATAGTGTGTTCAGAGCATGTATCTTCAAGTAAGGAGAGGGCAGCTGCAAGAGAATCAAGAGCCTGCTCTTTCATATCCTCCATGCATCCCACCGTGTGTCGAATAACGCACTGCACAACGTTCGCCCTTTCACTGCAACAAAAATATGTGTTCGTTATACAGCTTCAATTTTATGTCACCCCCACAAGTGGTGACATGTTGTTATAGCCCCCAATTTTTGTGGCGGCTATCGGCAGTTGGTGGTTGGTGTTCGTCAGTTGGCGTTTGGCGTTTATAACAAGGGGGTGATATTTTGCCCGCCAAAGTCTGTTATTTGTTGTTATGAAAATAAAATGAAATTGTCTTATTTTGTCTTTAAAACTAGGATTCCTTCACCCTCGATAAAAGTAGAGATTATACTTAAAATACCTGCATATATCTATGTAGTCATTTCCTAAGATGGAATCTATTATTCCAGCACCAGTCGCCTCATTGACGGTCAAAGTAAAATTGGCTATACAAATCGGAACTTTTCCAAATTCGCATGGTTCTGAAAGTAAAATGTTTAAGTACAGTAGATATCGTTATTATGTTATTTTTATTTAATTTTTCATTATTTCTTTACAGCATTTTACAGTGGCACTTTATAAGCACGTTAACATTTAAAATCTTTAATAAAAACCTTTTTTATTATAGGTGAAATAAAGATCCATGGTCATGTGAAATGCAGTTGGTCAACTTATGAAACTCATTGCATTTCACTACAAAGTAAAATTTATTCTAGGATTTGAGAGTAAATAGCGCACGATCTTACAGTACTAAAGAACAACATGTTTTGAGTTGCAGACGCTTTTTATAGAGAACACCTTGCCCATTCTAATTTTACCATTAAGTCCTAAAATAGGTCTTATAATATGTGACAAGTTGCACATATTCATATATCTACTCATTTAAGCATAATTTAAAGTTTTGCATCTGGATGTGACCCTTAAATTCGATCACAACCAGTCCATTTATTTTATGGGCAATAAGAGCTTGAGTGAAACGAAGCCTCTATAGTCCATCTTCGACATCTAAGGTGATATAACACAGTCGGAGCAACTGAAACATTGTGAATCAAGATGCTACAGTCTCTGAGTCTGGAACTCACATATCTAGAGAGCATATCTAATAATTTAACGGGATTGTGCAAATTGTGCGACTCTTTAGTTAAACGTGTTCTGAATTATTACCGTGTTTTTAAATACCTATAATTGTATTTTCTTTTAGAAATGGTGCCTGTTCTTAAAATATGTGCAACAAAGCTGGAACGTTCATTTACTGGAATGTTTAAATAGGAAAAGCACAATGACGTCTTTGAGAAAAACTTTGTACACAATTGTGGAGAGTGAATAAACAAGATTACAAAGAACTTTCCAATACTTTGACATACGAACTGGAATTACAAACATTGGACTTTCTATTCTTAACATTTGGTTTAGTGTACCATTATCTTGCGTCCTTTATTTACCTTCTGGGTGGGGAAAATTGCATTACATAAACATAAACTTTTAAACTTTTTGTAGGATAAATAAAAGACTGTCTATTACTTGCGAAACAAGAAAAGAATTGTACTTTTAAAGTAATTTTAAACTCAAGGTCGCTCACTTGGAGCAAAAATCAACATATTTAATTACTTATATTCAGGAGACTTTTCAATTTCTGTCAGACAGTTAACGATGAATCCAAGCAACCAGAAGACTTTAGTAAAACAGTTTCATCAACAACAAAATAATCAAAATATTAAAATATTGCAATCTATGAAAATCAGAAATATTAATGCAATTTCTCATGGCAGGTAACTCAGCTGATTTCAGTCATATATCTTTCTTTGTATCCAAACCATTTCCATTTGATTTTGCTTCTTAACGGTGCATTATCTCTTAAGTACCAGGCTCTTACATGACCGATATATATTTTTAAATAGCTATGGTTTATCATATCCAGTCTAATTGACTTTATCATATCTCTACTATTCTTAGAAAAAATAAGCTAGTTTAGCAGACGCGCTTGTTTAAATGATTAGAAAATACTCAAAATCCAAGATATTACGAAAAAGATTGACTGTACTATCAGCCAGGATCATAGAAGTAAAACAATATCTATGCCGTGTTTTGGATTCTTCGAGAGGATTTGTCTAGAACGTATCCCTCTGGACTTTTGGTGAAATCATTACGCTGCTTTTGATTCATAATGATAATATATCGTTCACAATCAACACAGAGACAAAAATCTCCTTTTCTGTAATTTCTTAGCTTGAAAATGTCATTCATGTAAAATTGAATTTATTGTCATTCTTACTTGGTGTGTCAATTTTTCATAGAAAGTGCATATATCTCCAAATCTGTTGATTGTGTACGTTACATGTAAATATGAATCAAAAATATTTAGGGTTATTTAAGGTGTGAATTACAAATACTGGCCCTGTAATCACTCGTCAAGAATTTATCAATTCAGAATAAGTTCAGTGTCAATTCAAGCATCAATATGCCAATTTGTCTTAAAAGAAATCATAGGCGCAATTTGTCTCTCGAACACTGAAATTCTTCTTATGAATGAAGCTCTCTTTGTATTTATTTAGTTTTTTAAGACTATAAGTAAATGTACATACACTTCAAGGTGCGTTTTTTATCTCCAGATATCTGTAAATTGCTTTTAATTGTAGGAAGTAAATATTTTAAAAAATATTCAAGTACGTTTTAGTACTCTTTCGAACTAACACGCAATATTTGCTGCTTGAGGAGATATAAGAAGTCCTGTTTGCAAAACCTTTTAGAAGGGATGGATTAAAATTCACTTTGATTGACAAGGTGTATAAAGTCCTTGGAAGATGTTTCTGTATCTATGAATGCGATAATGACCTCAAAAGATAGTTTCAGAAATAAAACGTAAATTTTTGGACTATCCACGTAGCTTTCATTTAAATAAGTTCATGTTTCACCTATATTCTCAGATTTATAAAAAATTTATAAAATGCTATAATCGTAATATCGACATTTATTGATTGAACACAAAAAATGTAAAAAAAATCTAAAATAAAGTTGAAATTTGTAAAGCATGAAAGTTCCACCATAGGAATAAATCATGAAAGATGCCAAAACATATTATGCAAATTTTTCCAAGACCTACAAAACTCTTTTCCCGTATTTTGCTGTTGATATTGTCTGGAAAAATAGTAATTTATAATAGTTATGTAAAAATGACATACCTGATTCTTGCGCGGACACTGTTATAACAAAACACAGGACGGCAAAAAGTCCAGCTTTTACCATGGTATTATCCTTTTTGTCCGATATTCCTTCTCTTATCAGAATATCCAGTCCAAATTATTTTAATTTTAAGTTCAAATATGTAGAACAAGAAAGAACTTAACTAGTTCACAAATTCTCGTAAAGTTGTTGTCAGCTAAACAACATCTTTAAGCTGTACTTTCCCTTTTGTATCAATGTCAAATTTGCAATTAGTCCGGTACTTTCTCCTGTTATATATATAATTACCGACAAATTCTGGAAATTCAAACTGTTCCGAAACTTAAAACTGGACTTGGTGGAGTTGTCAGGGAGTCAAAAGGCAGAATAGTACGTGCAATCATCCCATCATCCCATGTTCTTGGACGGACCATTTGCTTACAAATTATACTTATCTTTTTCCACATCGTCATCAATAGAAATAGCTATTTCAGTATTTTTAACATTATATGTTATGTATCTATTTTTCCATAGAATATAGTTTATGGAATATATTTCGATAAAATGACAATTAAGAAATCGTATGGCAGAATAAGAGGGTACCAGAATCTTATGATCTGTCCCCAGTATACATTTACCCCATATGATCACACCCTCTACAGAAATCTTAATAGTTCTGATCAAACAGAATTCTAAAGTCCTTCTGGTTCAAACCTCAGAAGAGCAAACATCCTTTGTTTGCGATTCTTAACTAACTTAACAGTTTCTTTCAAAAATTTGGCCGTTCAAAAATGTTGTATGCTAAGATAATTTATAGAATTCAGATTCGTTTACAATTAGTATTCCTCTTAAAAAGCATATAACATGACGTGTAAAACTTTCTTGGTGAGTAGCACCATTATACCACTGTATAAAATTTACTAATATTTATAAAAATTGTTTATTTCTAAAATCACATTGTACATCCAGCCCTAGTAAGCAGACTTAATTATATTTATCTAAATAATTAGAAATAGAAAGTGTATAATTCCAAGTAAAAAATCATGTAAAAATGCAGGGAAGTTTTATATTAATATAAAATCAAACACAGACACAGATAAAGAAATAACATAACTGAAAAAGACTGAACATTTTGTAAAAATGTAAAGAAGGTCTTCTTTAAATATTCTAAATGATGTATATAATCTGTCTAAAATTCAATTTTAAAACATTAACAGCAAAAAATATCATAAAATTATATAGATACTATAAAGGGAATAATAATTCATAGTCCTAAATCATCTAAGTAACTGGAGTTTCCTGACATGTATTTAGTTTTTGACTTCTGTACACGTGGATCCTTTGGGTCTTCGCGGGGAGAGGTCAACTTCCTTTTAGGGGGTGGTTTCAAAGGTCTTTGAGACTCATCTCTAAACATGGGGAGTGTGTCAAGATAGTGTTCTGATTCACACTTATATGAGTAGTTTTGTAATTTTTCAGAAGACCCCTGGGATTCTACTACACATGGATTATTTGAGTCTTCGCGGGGAGAAGTAAACTTCTTTTTAGTTTTTGACTTTAGTACACGTGGATCCTTTGAGTCTTCGCGAGGAGAGGTCAACTTCCTTTTAGGGGGTGGTTTCAAAGGTCTTTGAGACTCATCTCTAAACATGGGGAGTGTGTCAAGATAGTATTCTGATTCATATATATTTGAGTTTTTTAATTTTCCATCAACAACATGCCCTTGGTATGCTGCACCACTTACAGGAGTTTCAGCACCATTTGTTCCCTTATCATATCCAGGACTTTGAGATTCAAGTGTTTCCATTTTTGAATTACCATTATTTTGAAATGAGGTCCCATTTTGTATTTTACATTCCAAGATGCTGTCTATATAGCTTTCCTCTTCAATGGAAGCTGGAGCTAATGTAGTTCTACTGCCCATCTCATTCAGTTCACCTGTGTCGACCACTCCCGTCAATTCATCGATATTACTTTCCATATTGCCTTCCAAACTAACCTCGCTAACAGGGTAAGTATTGTTGGGTTTGTCAATCAATATAGTGATCTCATCAGGCTCACTGTCACTATCAAGACAGGGTTTGTTATTTTCTTGACAGATATGTTTTGCATTGTCGGTTAAATCAGATTCACTCATAGCTTTAACAATAGAACACTGCAATGATAGTGATTTTTTAGTTGTCTCTCTAAGCCTGAAATGGTAATGTTAACACAAATTCAAGGTTTTTAAATAAAAAAAATCATTATTAACCTTTTAGCATTCTTGAGCAATTATAATGGCTTCCCATAAAAACCAAAAAAACGATAAGTACGGTAACCACAAAATAATCCTACCTTTTCTTTGGTCTCTTTGGTGCATCTTTGCTTCTGGTGTACATCCACTTAGGCAGATTCCGCGAGCTTCCAGTTCTTGTAAGATTGACAAGAGAGGTAGGTTCTACTTCCATTGTTGCTTTATTTGGTGAAATTGTTGGCTTAACAACTTTGGGAGAAGTTTCTGTTATCTTACATCCATCACTTGGCGTTTTTTGGACCCATTTTGTAATTCCATTTTGGTATCTAAATAATGTGTATTTGCATTTTTAAAAAATCCATGAACGTTTTGGATATAGAGACAGTATAGTAGAAACCAAAGTATCACTCAAGATATGATCATACATCATGCATATATACTTGTGTTAATTGTAAAGGAGAGACGAGTGTATTTTTTGAAACGTGAACATTTTTCCAGTTTCATGTAGATTGTCTAAATCTTTGGATGACAAGTACCCAGCCGTGTCATATATTATTGTATTTTGACATTAACCACCATTTTATGTATTTACCATCCGAAGATCAATGGTTAAAATTCTCATTCCCATACCTATCAAGGGACTCATTTGAAGCTGCAAGATAAACTGTACAATCCTCATCTAGATCTATCTTTGCAAAACCTGAATTAACCTTCGCTTCCTCATACAATGGGAGCATCTCATTTTCCACTGAGTACTTCTTCCTCTCACCAATAGGGGGAGTTAGCATAAAATCGGAGAACATCTTAGGAACAATTGGTTGCACTGCACATGGAGATTTAACCTTAATATACAAAATGTAAATACATTGCTGGAGAATTGACAAGTAGCTCAGGCCACAAAACGATTGACTTTGTCACCAGTGGATAGTTACAAGTTTCAACATGAGGTGGCCAACTTGGCAGGAATATCACGTTTCCTTGAACTTGAATAAGTAAAAGAGTTGAGAGAAATTTTCCATCTACTGTAATCTTTTTGAGTTTGATGATTATACCATTTAGAAAATGTTCAGGGAAAGAAATCACATACATGTACATGTAAAATGTACTATCTATTAAATATAAGATTAATTTTCATTTTTCATGGTTAACAATGGGATTTATGAATACCACGTTTTAAGATAATATTTTGTAGTAGGATTTCAAACATAATATGAACATCACGATTATGTCTACTAGCATCTAGTGATTTGAAAATATTTTGGTCACATTGAAGCTCAACTAGATACAGGGTCGTCAAAAAAACTGGAAACCCTAACACCATTTTTTGACCACCCTGTACTTTACTTCAACAATACTCACCAAACACAGTGTTTCCTTCTAAAATGAAAAAGTGTTCTGAAATTAATAAATTAATGAAATCATGCATATTTATGAAAATCACTTTAATCTATTGACATTAAGTCATTTAGAGTTCTGCTGTCAATTTTACATGTAGCCAACTTTGATGGATTTTTACACATTTTAGTATATATTTTTGTGAGAACTTGGAAGTAAAATAACATTTCTAACAGAGCATGACTAACAAAATAACATGTTAAAGATTTTAAATTAATCTCATGAATAGGTGATGACTTTCAACTCTTCCTTCAGGTGATTCTTACCTTGATATGTCTGACACCTGCGTTGATGGCACATTCCTTGTGCTGGTTGGTTGTGTAGACATACATTGTGGCCTGAAATCATATAACAGATAATGGTAATGATGCAGTGATACAAGGAAACTACAGTACACATAATGTTTATGCTAACCTCACAATAACGAACATTTTCATTGATTTAAGCATACTTAATATGATACTTCTACTTGAACTTTATATACTGTATGTACCACAATACAAAGTGAACCATTGTGTGAAATGTAGGTTTGTTCATGTATGCACATGTAGCATAACACAGTCTTAAAGATCTTATAACCACAATACCATTTTGTTGTTGGTTGATGAAATAAGGCCTGGAGTGTCCATCAACCTACATGGCACATTAAACTTTATATATCCAGATGCAAAAGTCGTTACAACAGTGCAAATATGGGCTTTCAAAAAATTGTTACTTTAGAAAGCGCATGGTGGAATCAAGCCAAACTGTTGGGGACATTTTTTATTTATTATGCTTTATTCAATAAAAAAAATATATATTAAAAGGAAATTTCCAAAAGGCGACTTTGTTTAAACAGTGTTTACAACAGTGCAATTATGGGTTTTAGATCTGATAGACCATCATCACTGTAATGTCCAAAGATTGTAACTTACTTTGCAATGTATATCCAGATGAAGAAAGCGTTGCAACACTGCAATCAAACCTGGCTGTGGAGGAGTTCTGAACGGACACTTCCCTTTCAATAATATGGCAACAACTGGGGTGTCCACCTGTAATCATATATTGAAACTGAGATCATGTGCAACAAAGGGATGACGCAAACAAATGTGAAGTAATAGACATAAGAGGGCAACATTATAACATTATAGAAGTCAACGCATTCAAAAGCAGGGATAGCTAAATATATAGAATTACAATAAAACCTAGTAGCGCTAAGAGGGCACCGCATAAACGGTAAATATATCAATGGTATCCCCGGGATAGTATCATCAAACATCAATTTTTATATATTAGAGAACAAAGTTAAAAAACGGGGCATCGCAATCAATAAGAGAGCAGTACAATGAAAGTCATTTCAGTAAATCAAATTGAAATAATTGTACCAACCTTTTTGGCTAATTTCATCAGTTTCCCTTTAATGTCTTCATATGAATTACCAACATCGGTCTTGACTATTATGAGCCTGCCATCTGGATAAGAGTGGGTCCATGATTCCATCTCTTGCAGAAGAGCAGGCTGAATGACATCTTCATCCCTTCCAGAAAATACGCTGCACCATTCAATGATCAAACCAGGAACATTGAACTGTTTAAATACAACATACATTTACAAACAATAGGTGTTATTAATGATACATTATATGTTATTTTATGTACAGGTTGTAAAATAAATAAATAGTATTTAAATCCAGCAGAGAGCATACACATTTTGTCTGAACAAGAACCAGGTCTTTAAATATATATTTTGGGATGAGAGAGTAAATATACTACAAATTATTAAAATGATGTATGGCAAGTGAAAAATACCTTATAAAAGCTTTGTATAGTTGGCATAGAAACAATCTCTTCAACTTTGCATTGTTCAGTAAATTCATCAGGGACATCTATTTAAAACAGAAAATAACAGAATTCATTCTATCTAAAGATGCAATATTTGTTATAATTGAATTGAAAAGTGATAACTCGTATTTACTTCTCAAAAGATTTCCAGGGGGTTCACTTCACAATTTTGGCCCAAAATCACAGGAATCACAGGAAAAGTGCTCAGAATGGTGAAAAATTGCATGCTTTTGAGAGAATTTTTGCTCAAACATCTGGAACCCACCCCCCCCCCCCCCCACCCGGCTACAGGCCTGACTACTGGCTACCATAAATATCTATTGCGCTTATTAGACTTATGGAACTGTACATACTGTAGTTTCTATCTTGTTTTCAGAAAAGACATGTACTTTACTAATATAGTTACAAAACAATAAGTTTAAAGACATCCTCTTTAAGTGCACTGTACCTTGAACTCCATCAAGCCATTTGTTGAGGTCTCGAGTTCTTTTACATGGTATATGTGCTAGTCCCGCCTCAACAATGCAATGTTCTGATAACCATTGAACTTGGAAGTTCCCATATTTTGCAACAAACTTTAAGCAGAGTAAGGAACAGTCTGGAACCTGAAAGAATCAACAAGAAATTTGTTAAAGAAATGCCCATGAGACATTTTTGTTGTGATTTCTAGTTGTCTTTTACCATGATAATGCTTTTATCTCATCTTTGACTCGATAAAGAAGAATTATCAAAGCTCATCAAGAATGGACAATCTTGCAAATATACTCATACAAGAACCTCTACATCTAACAGGTACATGAGCAGTGTATATCAAATTCATCACTCAGTTGGTTTTTCAAAAAGTATGGCCAATTTAGAGTCAGAGATTAATTCTTCCAGCAATACATCAGGCCCGTAGCCAGGGGGGTTCGATGTTTCTGAGCAGGTTCTTTCAAAATCATGCAGTTTTTCACAATTCTGAGCACTTTTTAAGTGATTTTGGCCATTTTTGGACCAAAATTGTCACAAGTGACCCCCCCCCCCCCTGGAATCCTGGCTATGGGCCTGATAGATACATGATTGAGTTCAAACAATGAGGCCATTGCAATGAAATCTAAATAAAAGACATACATAGAGTGATGGACCCACCCCTTCCCCTTTTTGCACATTAATAGATTTATCAACACAAACCTTCTTTTTAATCAGAGTGTAATATGATCTCCTTGTCTGTATTTTGTAGTTTTCATCGTCCAGGACAACATTATGACCCTGAAATAATGCAAATTGAAAGTTAATCTGTTCCAATTTTCGAATTATATGACATTTTTGTTCTCTAAGAAACGGATAATTCAGAAAGCAAATCACTCTGGGTGACATGATTCCAAAAAATCTTAAATAAAAGCCTTGTTATTTACCCAGTGAGCCAAACCTAATTAGGTCTGGCTCTTCTGCAGTCCATAACACTGTCTGCTAAGTGCTCAAAAAAACAATTAAGGGATCCGTCAAATATCAACCAGGTGGGTGATATCTTTCACCTTTCAGGTTTCAAAGTTTGATAAATGCTTGACTTCCTTAAGTTGACATTTGACAGACTCTCGTGGAATATTGGCCACCAGAAAGGAATAAAAAATAATTGACTGACTGTCCTTTGTAACACTTAAAGCTTGTCTAGGATAAAATGGCGATCAAATAAATTAATGTACATGTCACATGCATACATTTGTGATAATCCTGTCTCACCAAATATTTAGATCTGTGATAAATAATATGCTCTTGCTTCATCTATGTAGATACTACAATGTAAAAATGTAGAAATGGTGCTTCCTGCACAGTATACGCTCTGCATATTTTACTCGTTATTTTACTTGTAATTATAATATGGAAATAAATATTAACATTACACCAAGACCTACCTGTAGCTACTTATTGTCGTGTCTGACTTACAAAGCACCAAGATACGGATCGCGGACCAATACGGAGTCAATACGTATTACGTACCTGTTGAAGTAACGAGACTATCCTTAAGCCAACCCCTCTACATCCCAATCCAGGATCCTCCTTAAATAAATCTTCAGATGAGATGCGTCTATGGGTGTGGCATAGCTGTTTAGAGTAGTAGTAAGTCTTCCCCTATAAAGAGACACATCTCACAATACTCACTCAGTCAAGAGACATTATTATAGTTTTTAGATGTAGACCGACCAATCCCCCCTCCTTTGGAAAAATCCCGGAAACAACCCTGAATTTGAAATTAAAAGACATATTCTCTTTTTATTGAATACATCTGAGGCCATACCCTTTGCAATCGTCGACTTCACTTCTTAAAAGAGAGCTTCATCTTCACTCTTTCAGTTTACAATAAATCTCTGATCTCACCGAGCCAATCCGAGTTTGTCGTTGAAATATGGACGACTTTCTATATGGTCATTTCCTATGACATCACCGCATAGTTAATGAGCACAAATTTAGCATGCGTTCCTTCCACTTTGCTGATTGGTTGAAAAAGGGTCAGTGTGGTATATTTGAAATGATTTATTACCCGGGCTGTCACAGGCACAAATCTTTGGGGTGGGGCTGCTAAACTGTAATATAGCCTATACTAGGCAGAGGGTAGTTTATAACTGGACTCTGCGAGCAGGGTACTGAGGCCTCAAAGGCTGGTATCAAAAGATTTGTCTGCTGCCTCTGATGGAGCATGTTATTTTGTATAAAAACACTAAGAATACTTCACAATTTATTTTTTAACTCATATGTTTCATTATATCAAAGAAAATTACTTACTCCATGCAATGGATATATCATTTGCAGGTAACCTTCACTTCTGTTTGAAGTCCCATAACGCTAGGAGGAAAAGCTATTGGAAATGGCACAGGCGTATCATACTCCAAAATGTACCATTTCTTTTTTAACTTTTTAATGGAACTATGTAGTGACATGATAATATTTACATATGTTTTCAGCATAACTTTAATTTTGTCTTTTTAATTTTTTCTATAAAAAAATTATGTTTAATTTTCTGTCCGCTGTGACAGAGCAGTTGTAAATATGAACTGTGAAGCTGCTCAGTTACAGCGGACAAAAAAATTGAACATAATTTTTTATAAAAAAATTAAAAAGGTCCAATACGTCCAGATCTCATTAAAACATTCAGAGATATGCTGAAAACATATGTAAATATTATCGTGTCACTATATCATGCCATTAAAAGGTTAAAAAAAGAAATGGTACATTCTAGAGGATGATACTCTGACGCTGTTTTCAATAGCTTTTACTCCTAGCGTTATTTGACCTCAAACAGAAGTGAAGGTTACGCGCAAATGATATATCCATTGCATGGAGTAAGTAATTTTCTTTATTATACATGTATCTAAGAATATGAGTTAAAAAATAAATTGTGAAGTATTCTAAGTGTTTTTATGAAAATAGCATGCTCCGTCACAGCGGACAAAGCCTATGATGGAATGACAGAATAAAATGTACTGAAATAACGCTTCTTTTGTTACATGTATGTCCATCATTCGATCACATCTTTATCATGATTTTTGAGATTCTGCAGTCATACAGGCCCAAGAATACGCTAAAGGATCTAGAAAAACATATTTCATACCTCAATCTTGCTATTATGGCAAGATAATATTGCGAATCTAAGCACTGCAAGATTCGTAAAATTCCTAAAATAATCCGCGCTCCGCCTTATGACCAATCAACTTGTGGGATGGATGCGCAATATCCATGTAGAAATGAAATTCTACATGTACATGGATCTTTCCTAAACTGATATTTATTCTATTGAACTTCAAACTACCGCGATTTCACCATATTGAATGGCCTATCCTAATAATATATGTGCAAATGCATGAGTGAATTTGCATTTTGTGGTTACAGACTTCTTCTTCGTCCTAAATCTGTTTGAATTAGGGATGAACCCGGGGAATGAATGATTTCAAAAACTGAATTGGAATTGAATTTCTTTCAAAATTAATTTTGTGATTTTCCTCATTCCACGATGATTGGGAGAAAAATTTACATTTCAACTCTTCCAAATGTGAACAAGCTGATTATTAGTCATCAAAATAATACACTTACACTGCAAGAAGGTCCATAAAATAAAATAAATCTATGTTTTGAAATTTTTTCTGGTTCATTTTCATTCATTTCCAGGATAGAACTATCAATATCTATCTAGATATTTACTCGCTATAGCCAATAAAAAGGGGGCTGTTTCCCGTATGTTTGTATCTGCTAATCATAGGCCAAGGGAAAAGTAATAGTAAGCTGTATATAGAAGATCTCTTCTATATACAGCTTACTATTACTTTACCCTTGGCCTATGCTGCTAATTGGTCTCGAAATGCTTGTTTTATATTTGTGCTTTTACTTACTCGGCTTCTCAGTGAGAATCTCACTTGTACTTATATTATTACAAAAAGGCATCACTTTCACTTTATAATTTTGTATGGAGCAATGACTTCCAGTTCAGAGCTCGGATCTGAGACTCTCAGCTCGGATGGAGAAAAGAGCTAGGTCCAGAGTAAAGGGAGGGTTTGATACTCTATATGGGTATCATTTCAAAATAGCTCCTACTTTCTTTAAAAAGATGGGCCTCACTTTTGAAAAAATACTAATGTGTGTATTTTCCGCTTATGATTATTATAATATCGCCCAAGGGACTAACCCGATTTACAAACTAGATTTCTTGATTTCAAAAACATTCAATTGAAAGGTTTAACATAATAACATTTCATTTTGGAAAAGAATTTGGTTTTGCACAGCATAGGGGCCAATAGTAATTGTAAAGGTTTGAATAGGGCCTTGAAAAGTTAGAAAAAAGAACGCAATGAGAGAAATGGCCAAAATGCATGATGAAAGCATGGGCTTTCAATTAGAGTTGAAAGCTCATGATGAAAGTAAATTATAATGCGATGGGCATTCATGCAATTACCTTTTCAAATAGAAGATTGATTTTGGTTCATCAACACTAAGTTTATTATCCTACACTTAGTGTACTATATTAATAATAACATCAAAAAATTAATTTGATATCTATTGGCAAAATAAATAACCGGAGGATATCGCCACGATATAAGCTTACTCCGGAAAACCAATATGCGGAGGATATTGTTACGATAGTCCGCTTGTTGATTTCCGGCAAAATTGAACTATTTGACAAGAAATTTATTTTTCAATGATATTAACATTCAGTATACACTACTAGTAAGTGTAGGATAATAAGAACATCCTATGACTTTTTTCAGAATATCATTTTTTTAATCTACTCGGTGATATTGATACATGCACTCGTTCGTTTCGCTCTCTCGTGCAGATATCAATATCACCTCGTGGATAAAAATCATATTCCTCAAAATCATAGGATAGGCCTATCCTATAAATATACTCCCGTTGATCAAGCGCCTTGCCAAATCAGAATGCAGAATATGGACCATCAAAATTAAATCCAGCTTCCTACTAAAACAACAGGAGTCACACCAGGGGAGTCACACTGAACATTATGCTTATAGGTACCTGTCATTTATTTATTGTATACCAACTCCCATAGACAAATACATTTGGGGTCAGTATCAGAATTAGCTTAAATATGTCTTATTTAGAACCTCATTACAAAGTTCAGAGAAGTTAGGGTAGCATGCATTTGTTGACTCATTTATTTCAAACTGATCAAGATGTGATAATGAATCACAAATAAATGTGTAGTGTACCTCACAATATACTATATTACACGTATATTCCTCTTGGGGGTTTTCTTTTTCTTTTAATTATCCCATGGTATAGCCTTGTAAAATTTAAGCCTAATCTTTTTAATTCACAATAATTGTAAACAATATTTTTACAAGTTTAAGTTTACATTTTTACAAGTTTAAGTTTTCAAGAACTTTGTTCACTCTGAACTCTCCATTGCTAAATCAAATGGTCTGCCCCTAATAAATAAAAAGTATATAAATGTAAAAGTTCACATACCTTCAATAAGCGTAGCTAATATAAGTCCACTTTTTACTTTCAAAGGCACTAACGTTACAGCATGGAAAGACTGCATTTGTTGGGTTATCTGACGTTGTACATCATGGCATTTATGCCTATGACATCATGCGACCAACTTAGGGAGTAGTGAGTATAATTTAATTACTACAAATTGTATGAAGTATTTCTAGCAAACATTGGTGTACACAGGCATGACGTAGGCAACTACACTCCCAAACTAAAACTTTTCAGAAACATGTTTCTAGATTTGAAATTGAAAATAGACTGAATATTATATCACATGATACTAAAAAGTAGCTTAACCTCTTCTTAGGCTCCAGTTTTGCCTCGCCTATTTAGATTTGCCTCACCCATAGATGGGGGGGTGTATCTTAGTTCATCATCACATAAACTAGTTACTTTGGTTCAATCAATATTCATAAAAAATCAACAAATTTGAATTTATGACTTAAAATGTGATCTTTTCAAAATCACTCATAAGATATTGTTACATCTGATCTCCATTCTGATACACATCGCATCTAAAAACCTGTCTGCGTTTTAGTTTGAAGAGAGGGCCATGGTATTCCATGATGGATCTCCTCTGCTACATATATTTTAAGTGACTATACTTCACCATTACCACTAAAATACATATATTCATAATAAATGATAGTCATAACCAATGACCGCAAAACACCGTCCACAAAAGAATTTGAGACATAATAATATTGTCATCGGGATGTCACTACTTATAGTAGTGACATAATAAAATGACCATTAACCAGTTTAAAGCACCGGGAATGCCACCTTAATCCATTTGTTAATATAATCAGTTCACTTTCCCCACAGTATATATAGGTACGGTTGATGGGGTTCCAGATATTTAATTGAATAACATAAAGAGCACTTTTGGTAAACTGTCAACTGTGAGTCATATTTTCTCAAACAACTGAACAATACTATGCACCAAATACCTGACATGAATATGCATACCCTTTTAGTTTGCATTATCCCAGAAAATACCTTTACAAAAGTTTACTGCATGTACAGCTAATGATCTTTGACTCCATTCAATGTAACTGATCCCATTTTAAACTCAATAATCCAAGCTCAAAATATATATCTTATTCATTTTAATTCTTTTATTCAATATTCAAAATCAGAGTGTTTTATTTGGCATTTAAACTTTGAAAAGTTATTGCCAATGTATGTGGCCCCTGTATGACACCCAAACAATTATGGATTTTTTATAAAAGGAAAAATGAAATGCTTATTCAAGTATCTTCAATACTTATCTCAAATTACATACACTATATACAGGGTGTCCCGAAAGTATGCCGCCCCCCCCCCCCAGGCAGACATATACCAGTGTCCTCATAGTATGTGTCAGACATCATTTTAAAGCTTGTCCAAAGTTACATTGATTTGCCAAGTATCGTGGTTCAACTCTCAAATGTGAAAAATTACCGGTACGGGCATTTCAAAATTAAGTTCAATTTTACACCAAATCACTAGTCAACGTGTCCTCCTGGGCCATCTTAACAGCAGCAATTTTTTAAAGTGCCTTAAAGGTTTAAGGCGATTACAAAATTCCACACCTCTATTTGAAGTGCTTTTAGGGTTTTATCTGAAAAGAATTGCTGCTGTTAACATGGCTAAGGGAGACACATTGACTAGTAATGTGGGGTAAAATCTAACTTTACTTTGGCTAAACACTAAATTTTAAAATGAGTGTAACTTTTTCCCGTTTGAGGAACCGTGACACTTTACAAATCAATGTAACTTTGGATTCTTTAAAATGATATACGCCACATACTGGTATATATCTGCCTAGGAGATGGCCATACTTTCGGGACACCCTGTATAAAACAGTTTAAAATAGTTTAAACTAAGAGGAATGGTGGAACATTGACAAAATAAAGAAACTATTGTACATTGCATATGAAAGGTTATACATTGTGTATTTTATTTTGTGAGTTCAACCTGTTTATTGATCTGAAATATAAAAGTTGTACTCAAAATAACGCTCGACCGGTTACATTTCTAATCTGTAAAATCAATGGATGTTTTTGTGTGTGACATTGAAATGCTATTTCTGTTTCTAAGGTGAACACAATAAAATAGTATTAGTCCTGCAATGTCGACGTCTGAATGTCAAAAGATTGCATGTGACTCGCCAAGGGCAATCTGGGTACATGTTCCCAAAAAACTTTAATTTCAATGTTATGCATTTGTTGTAATTATACTTACTTACCATTTATTAAGCAGTAAAAAATAATTTGCTACGTTGGTGACAAAATGTTTCTTGTTTCCTGTTGAATGTTGAGTTTCGCATCATACGAATGTAATTTAGGCGATCGTTCTGCATAATAAGAAAATGAGAAGCAGAGTAACTCGAACCAAGGAACTCGAAGAAGTAGTAAATCCCAGCAAACGAAACATAATTTAACAGATCACTTCTCTTTAGAACTTTCACGATGGGAAACAAAGCAGCAGAAGTGACTTTTGGCAAAAATTCACCCGTGACATATGTATTTTGGGTAAACGCATTGGGTTTGGGGGAAATGCATTTCAATAAATAATTAGTCATGGATTCGCTGAAGTGGGGATTTTACATGTTAAAAATATGAGCATTTTTCAAGAGGCCATACTCCAGTGGATGAGACTACAAAATATGAAATTTAAGGGGATATGCATTTAGACAATGTTGGAAACCTATTGGGCTTTCAAACCAGCATGGTTTGGAAATGGTGATAGAAAATCGACTACTCATTTATTTATGACCCACGCTGTACATAAGGTTTTATTTCTCGATTCTTTGCAAGACAAATTTCATCATTGCAAAAGGGACACAAAGACGCCAAATATCAGCTTTCCAATGGTATGCTTTGATTGTGGGTAGCCATATAATATTATGATTACAATGGATAGATGCATCTATCACGGTTTGTAAAATCGCGCTTTTGACATAATTACAGATTGATGTTTGATATCTCAGTTTTTAGACGTCCATACATTCTCATAAAACCACATCGAAATGATGATTTTAGCTTTCTAATGGTGTCCCTTTATGATAATCAATATGACCTCTAAAAACATATCTTCAAAGCAGTGCGTGTACTGCAATCTTTGCAGACTGATTATGAATGGGGAAAATAGTTTAGTATAGTGCGTTTTTTGTTATCCTTAAAGCAATCGTTTCATGCAAAAAAATCTATTATATCTTTTTATTTTTTCAGTCGAATCGAACTTCCCTTTGGTGTCGATGAGGTGAGTTTTTTTTATCAAGTTGAAGGTCAAAATATGACATAGAAATAAAAATAACATACAAGTAAGTTTTGAACAGAACAGATAAGTCTATTCTAAGTATCCCTTAAATATCATTGCCACTAATATGATGACAACTTTTCCAGTTTCAAGTTGGACACCTATACAGTGTGGCAATGGCTTCCATGCTAGAGACAGGAGGCGGCGAAGGCTTTGAAATAATCGTAAATGAACCAGTTGATCGCTTGAGTATGTACATTCAGAGGTCAAAACATACGTATCATACACATATGCTTTTAATATCACATTTTCCTGAAAAATGTGGTCACTTTAAATTCAGTGGCCATTTTAAAAAGAAATTTCAAGCAGAAGCCCCCTTGTACTTGTATTAGAGATATAACCTAAATTCTCAAGCAGTGCTTGAATTTTTTCTAGGTAAATCCACCCACATAATTGACCGGCTGGAAAATGTGTTGGTTATTTTTAGACCTCTCCATTCGATCAACCGTCAAAATCATATACCTCGACTGTAAACCTTCGGTCTCTGTCAACAGTAGCTTTTCGGTTTACAGTCTAGGTATACAATTTTGCCGGTTGACCTCTGAGGAGGTCAACAATTGTAAACTGTTGACCACTTCTAGGTACTGTTGACCGCTATTTTTGAAAAATTGTTTTTTAATGTTGATTTTTTTTTAATTTTGAAAAAATAAGTTGTGTAAAAATTACAAGTATTCGACGGTTTGGGGATTTTTTGCTAAAATATGATACCTTTACTTATCAAATATGTTCACGTGATATTCGATTATATATTCGTCCAATTATTATATTATTTGGACTAACAGAACAATTGTTAACCTCTCTTTTCGGTCAACTGGCAAAAGTGTCCTCGACCTCTGGTCTTGATCAAAAGTACTTTCAAGGTTTACAGTATCGGTATACAATTTTGCCAGTTGACCTTTAGAGAGGTCTACAATTGTATATAGCTCACGAATCTCACAGTTAAACTGTTTTAGTTATAATTTGATAAACAGTGGTAACGTGCATCTACTAGTTTATCACTGTTCCACAGATGGATGACAGATAATTTCCAATAGCTCGTCATGTTTACCGAGAACGAAAGATATTTGTCCACCATTTTGAATGATACTAACTGGAGTCAGGGTCATCAATTCAAGCTATGGAACAGTGGTTTATGAAAATAGATTGGGTTACTAAAGCTTGCCATGTTAAAGGCGATTGATCTATGTTATAGAACAACGTCCAGTACATAATAATATTTAAAAGTATAAATTTTTGAAAATACATATAAAGGATCTTCGCCCGCAGGATGTGTATTTTGAATGCCTTGAGAAGAACTCAAATATGGGTAATGGGTAACGGTGTTGCAATAGTAGCATTTAAAAATCTGTTCCTCTTGAGATTTATGGTCTTCTGAAATTATACTATTAATTGGTGTTGCTGCATCATTGCTCAAATCTAGAGGAGTGTTGTTGCATCTTCGGTTTGGTGTTGTTGCATCAATAGTGAGGAACTAAAACCGTGACTTATTGCTTCTTGGTGATGGTACATGTATACTAATGACAGTTTCTTTAAATATAGATCGTGCGCTAACTGCACGTGTGTGGTTATTGAGCAACTCGTCCTAGAAATGGGTTTAAATTGGGGAAACAAAATATCGAACGAAAATCTATCACCGGAAGTCTGGCCATCTTGATGCAACAACACGGTGTTGTTGCATCACGATACTCCCCAGTGAAATGGACGCGGGTGGAATTACCTCTTTAGTACTCGTCAATTACCTCTTTAATACTTTTTGGGAGATGTTCCCCTTTGCAATTGTTCTCATATATAACTAACGTACTATGTATATTGTCATTTAGTGGATAAAGAGAGTAGAGCGAGAGTGTTCAGACCAACAGAGCCAGCCGTGCATACTGACGGACAATACACGCACAAACTTCTTCAATTAGCTTCGTAAGGAAAATAATTTAATTAAATAAATAATTCATTCTACATATAATTTGCCGTCCAACAAAAAGTTTCTCAATGGTTCCTCTAATTACAATTACCTTTATAAATTTTAATTTTAAGGGTAGCTATCAATAATTAAAGAAGGTGCTACATTTGTACTTGACCGTCTTTATTATTTGGACATTTCTGTATCTTAAATTTAAAAGCACACTGTATAGAACGTATATAGATATAAGGTATGAGTGCGTATTTCAAAACAGGAAGTGCACAGGGCACTACACTCTGAATTATCTCATTTGAGCTATGTAAATATACTTTTTTATGAATTTTCCATTTAGAAAGGTTCCAAATTTTGTACGTTTGTTGGCACCAACAGGATCACTTGAAGCTCATGAGAAATCTTGGAATTTTTACCCAGTTACTAGAACAGAATATAGTGTAAGTATTATTTGAATATCTAATTCCTAACTTTCTGCTGACATGCCCATTTAGATTGTATATTTTGAAAATCTAACATTCTCATGGATACAAAAAGAGGGGGTGAGAGCTTTAGAGGTGAAGTGTCCTCGATATATTTTTTTATGAAAAAACATCAGGGAATAATTTTCAAGAATAACAAAGAAATGAGGAAAATGCAGGGTTTCCATTTCTTACCACCCTGTACATGTCTCCATCGGGTGTTACACCAAGCAGAAACCGTGAAAAATCACGAGATGCGTTTTTGATGTTTTAGACATAATATTTTACAAAACTTGAATTAGAAGAAAACCTGTTTAACATGATGAATGCATCACAGGCGCGTATCGTGGTCATTTTGCAAGGGTACGCCCCCGTATGTGGATGAATAATGTGTGAAGATGAATGCGATTTTTGGCGTATGATTTCGTTCGTGCAGACCTACCATAGGTTCTGGGTCGATATAAAGATGACAGCACCAAGAGTCAACACTACACCAGACGAAAATAGAGAAAGTCGTCTGCACAAGGTCGTGCGAATTTGGAAATGCTATAAGGGCTTTTATTGGCTTAATCAATGTAGTTAAAGCTAAATCCACTTATCGTACGGTTTAAATGATTAAATTACTTACATTTAATAATATCAAGTGATACTCCTCTTTGAATCACGAAAAAAATTGAATCTTTGAATCACGAAAACAGTGAATGACAATGAGGGAATCGAGAACTTATTGTTAATACACTTGTACAACAAAGGTTTACACATCATCAAAGAAAATAACAGTAAAATACTGAATTTCATGTTTTTTTCAAAACGTTTTTTCAAATTCAAACAGTAGCTTACGCCTGGGCGTATTTTGCGTACATGACGATACGCGCCTGATCATTTTCCCAAGAGATTTTATAATGTTGTCGAACAGTTAGAGGGATTATATTTATTGATTCATCGAACATTACCACACAATTACCACACATGTATTATTGTTGTAGAACGTGTATATGAGAGAACATTTTTATGAAATCGTAGAAACGGTGTACTTGCCTGGCAGATGTGAAAATGAAAATGTGAGTACAACCATTTGATGGAAGAGCATGGTCCACTCTGACTCTCACAATTACCCCATTTTCAAAAGCATGCAGTTTTTCACCATTCTGAGCATTGTTCGTGTGATTTTGGGCCGTCAAAGCATGGGCTTTCAAGAGACCCCCTTGATTTTTTCAAAGTGAACCAATTTGGCAAAGCTGGCTCAAGCCTGACTTTGGTGGATGTATAATTGACAAGTGGCCCAAAAATATTTTAATCTCTTCCTTTAAACACCCATTTTCAAAAGGAGACAAATACCACATGATGACGTCAGGACAAACAGGACAAATCCAAGATTAGTAACTACAGACCCATAACATTACTCAATACATTATCAAAATTGTTTGAGAAAATTATAGCTGACCGAATCAAAAAACACTTAATTTCAAATGATCTTTTGTTCAAGTATCAGTCTGGCTTTCTACCAGGCCATAGCACTCATTCTCAGCTAATGGCAATTGAACATTTTTTACTTACCAATTTTGACCAAGGCAAAGCCTCTAAAACCATTTTTCTTGACATTGCAGCTGCTTTTGACCGTGTTCCGCATAACTTACTTCTACACAAACTAAGGGCCTACGGTATTCATGGACAACTTCTAAATTTATTAAAATCATATCTGACAAATAGGCGGTTTTTTGTAAACATTGCTGGTGAGTCATCAGTAACAACTGAAGCAGGCTTCCTAAACTGTGGCGTGCCACAGGGATCAATTTTAGGCCCACTTCTATTTATTTTATACATTAATGACCTTCCTGATAATGTAAACTCCAAATGCTATATCTATGCAGATGACACATCTCTTCATTTTATTTTTGACCCCAAAAAGCCCCAAGAAATTGATGAACTAGTTAAATCTGATCTAACTGAGATAGAAAATTGGTCCAAATTGTGGAAATTACAATTTAAACCAGAAAAGAGCTGTGAAGTTATTTTCCATGGAGTTAGAGCAAATCCTGAAAATGTAAGCAAATCCTTTTTAAGTGACTCTGAAATTGAAAGAACAAATGTACATAAACACCTTGGATATACTTTTGATCATAATCTGACCAATCAAAACCATATTGAAGAAATATATAATAAAGTTAGGAAAATGATTAATCCCCTGAAGAACCTTAAAACAAAGTTAAACTCAAGAGATCTGGAAACGCTTTTCAACTCATTTATAAGACCTCATTTTGATTATGGTACTGCTATTTTTAACACTGCATCAAAATATCTTCTAAATAGACTTGATCAAATTTATTATCAGGCTGCTCTTTTGTGCTCTGGTTGTCTTCATGGCAGTAATACTGATAAAGTTTTGAATCTCCTTCAATGGCCTTCTCTAGACACAAGAAGAAAAATGCAAATTAATAACTTCATGTTTAAAGTTGTAAATGGTCAAAATCCACTCTTTTTAGATGAAATTTTTGATAAATTCAAAAATCAGGGAACACGCAATCTGCGTGATAGATCTGACTTTAATTTACCAACCAGGTGCTCAAAGAGGTTCTTGAATTCATCAGTTCCATCAGCAATATCAAACTGGTCACGACTACCAAAACGATTACGTAATTTGAAAACTCTCCAATCCTTTAAAAAACACCAAAAGATTTTGTTTAAAAACCAAGAAAGTTTTATTAGCACCTCCAAACTCAATCTAAAAAGATCTCATGAAATTTTGATTAACCAATTTAGAGCTGATCTTCTTTTCAAAGCCCAACTTTATGCTCACAACTTTACTTATGTCGAGAATCCAAACTGTAAATGTGGAGCCCCCCAGACAGAAAAACACTTCTTCTTTCAGTGTCCCCTTATTAAAGAAAAGATAACAAAATTAAAAACTGATATTATTAATATAACTGGACTATCAGATAAACATTTAACTCAGAATGATCTCCTTTACTTAATGAAACATGGCTCTGACAATATTTCCCTTGATCTAAATTCACATCTCCAAACCTCAATCGCTGAATTCATTGAAATGAACCTATAACGTTTTCCCCTCCCTACATACTATATATACTATACTTTATTTTATATTATCCACACTTAATATTTCCACCCCATGGCCAACCACAAGTGCAGAGTGAACCCTTGACCTAATCATAATTTTGTATTTTGTGCTATTAATGTACCCTTCTATAATGCCTTCGGGCGACTGAAGGGATTTATATTATGATATTTTTATGAAGCAATAAATATTTCTTAATAAAAAAAAAAAAACGTCAGATGTCAGATGTACATAGAAATTTCGGCTATTTTATGAGGATTAGAACAGGTACATATGTTAGGCCAATGCATTAACTCCAGGAAAAGTACTAATAGAGATGATAAAAAGATTTAGACTTTGAGTCAGGGAATATGCAAACATTCCTTCAACATATTTTTCCTGAAATGTCCTGATTTTAAGCCATTTTGACACCTATTTTTCAATGTTTGATGCATCGATATGTTGTTTTGAGACACAGTTAACCACTTTAAAGGAAAATATGATTCATGCAGGGGTTTTCAAGATATCAATTATGGTTGACCAAAATTAAACTGAAAACAATTGATCGCATGAGTTTCCCCATGGAAAATAACACGGGAAATCTTGTTTTCCACTTTATTCCTACTGAGTCATATTTTCTTTTTAACAGGTAAACTGTGTCTCAAAACGCAACATATTAATGCATCAAACATTGAAACAGGTGTGGAAAGGTCCGAAAATCAGGACAACATTTAAAAAAAACACGTATATCTTAGATATTTTTGTTTTCTACCCAAATTCCTAAATGACCTAAAACTACTTTGGGATTATGTTTTATAAAAACAGTGTTTGTATACGCACATGCCATAAATCATTGAATGAGTAAATTAAAAATTGAAGTTCACGACACTCGCTTTTTCATTTTTAAGGCAGTAAATTCACTTTTTACATGAGCCTTTTACTTCGATAATGCTGAGTGCAGGTCACATATCATTGAATGATAAATATTTTAAGGAAATTTAGAATTATGACTTCTGGCTGGAGAGTCGGCTAGGCACTCCGATAAGTCTACACTGTTCTAAGGAGTATACTATTGTAGACACAATGTGACATCGGAAGGCTTGCCCGAGCCTCCAGCCAAGCCCCTGTGACAGATACGGGTACTTTAACATAGTACTATTTTAATTCTAAATGCACATGTTTTACGTTCCAGGTGTTTGGACTAGAAGGTGAAGAGCTGGAAAAAAGGGTAGTGGATGTCATAAAGATAACTGAGGATCCAGTCGACTCTAGGGTAATATACTTCATATGGTTGGCGCACTGCTGAGGCCATTCCAACACAGAAAACTCTAGACTACTGTCACAATGAATTAGTCAAATACTTTTGATATAGGGTTCTTTATAAGCCTCCGAGTGGATTTCCACATACCCACTCACCCACCCACCATACAGGGTCTGACTTTAATTCTTGGTTTCTCTTGCGTTATTACCGCGAGAAACTATCACTCAAGAAAATACAACTGGGGCAAGGGTATCATTTGTCAAATGGTAGGTTGCATGTTGGTATTTCAGATGTATTGTCACGACTTTAGTTTTTTTTAATATGGCGCCAAATCAGCTATATGGGTCGTTGTCATGGTAATTTTCTAGGTTTTATTGAATTATTCTGTCAAAAATATATCGCTCATTTGTGATTTTGTGACTGATGATTTCTTGTTGTATATGTGTATATATATAATATATATATGCAATTATTGTCTGTTGAAATTTGAATGGCGATATTATGAGAAAAAAAATTGACCCTGCATAGTGTGTTGTGAAGGAGCAGTAAATTACAAATCACTTTTGAAATTCATGGGTTATTCAAAAACTAATAAAAAATAATATAAAAATGGTGATGTTTCTGGCCAACCCTTTATAATGTCCAGCTCAAATACAGAGTGATCACTAAGTCCTGGGAATTTGTTTGTCATTTCATCATTTTTTGAAACAATTTACTTGAAACATGTAAAGTACATTTTTATTTATTAGGCTCATGTGATGTTTTCAGGATTATAAGGAATCTGAAGATCCGCTGAAGTGCATTTCAAAGATAACTGGTCGCCTTCCCCTTAAGGCAGATTGGATGAATGATGCGAATTCAGTTATGTGTGCCTATAAACTTGTTTCATACCGATTTAACTGGTGGGGCTTACAGACTAAGGTTGAGGCTCTACTGGTAAAGGTCTGTGTTTTTTTATATTTAGAATTTAAAATTTTTAAATTTACATTACAATACTTATCTTACCTAGAATGAAGAAAAAAATCTATTCTATACGTTTGTACACTATTGTTATTTTGACATTTTCATCTTCACTTATTTTTCGATCCAATGGAAAGAAGTGAAATACTCTCGAACCAGATGTTATTGTGGTGCACTTCTAACTTTAGTTTGTTAATTGCCGATTTGTAAACAATATCATACAATTATAACGTTTTTATTACCTAAAAGGCTGAAAAGAGTTGCTCATTTAAGACTATCATTAATTTTATAGACACATGCTTTTAAATGGCAGCACCCTGATATCTAAAGTTCTACGTGTCTATATTTATTAAACAAAATATACGACATTAAGTGGAAATTACTAAACTTATACAGTTTTCCCATTAAAACGTTAACAAGATATTGTTTCACAATGTTGTCACATTTGCTCCGATTCATCGGTCGGCGTCTGGCTGATAGAGTATTTTGTTCAAAACAATACACTTTTGAACAAAATACTCAATCGACCGGGTGGCCGCTGATTACTATTCATTATTCACTTAACTTTGGTTGCTTGTTTTACTTTTTTATCATGAACAAAATTGAGACGTAAAGGTGGTTATTCCTTAATAAATGTATCAAAATAGTGACTATCACTAGTTTTTGTACATTTTGCACTTTTGAGCTGTTTTTTTTCAGGTACAAAAAATATTTTTGAGCATCTTGGTCGACGTACTAATTTCTATATTCAAATATAGAGGTGAACACTATCACAATAAGCAGCCTTTGTGAAATCAATAAAATTAGATCCATGTCAATTTGTTGGTTATGTCACCATTTACCTCATTTTCTCCATTCTTACAAGAAAGATTTCATTTGTATTTTAGGCAACAAGAAGAGTGTTACAGAATTTGCATCGACAAGCTGTGTGCTGGTTAGACGAATGGTATTTACTACAATCTCACTTTTTTCTATTTTACTATGTTAAGAGAAAAAGGCCTGTTCTGGTAGAATTTCTTGAGAAAATAATACTAGAAGTTTGTTTAGTTTATATGTGTCGGGGGAGAGAGGATTCTCTTCTGGTGGATATAGTACCTATTCACATACTCATATCTTACCCTTTGTATTCGTTCGACTTTGCTTCTTAAAAGAGAGCTTCGTTAGTTTATAACAAGACTCTGCCCTCAGGGTACTCATATCTATGAACTTTAAATGTTAGATATTGTAAAGCTTGTCTAAGATGAGCACTGGTTGAGGTCCGACATTATCAAAAAATGAAAATTATATTATTTACTTAATAATAGTTTTATCATTTGCTTCCCTAATTTTTGTCGTTAAATATTGGTGATATCATCTGCTGGTGCAACATGCAGCATAATCTTTGCTGAGTTTCAATTACTAGTGTGATCCATTAGTGAGTATCGTGGTTTATTAAATGTATGATGCATTTCAAGAAATAAAACAATTTTTTAATCGTTTTCGATAGGTATGGCATGCCAATGGCGGAACTTCGTCTGTTTGAGAAACTAACCAAAGAAGAGTTAGATAAGGTAAAGCCCATTATTTCATGCAGGTGTCAAAGTCATATACATCTAGTCCAACACCTTTCCTGGATTTCTTTATCGTATCCCTCGCAGTTTTATGAATGAGTCCAATCATGCCAATTTTAATATCACCATGGAGATATGTTTAGTGCCATAAAAAGAAAAGTATTTAGATCACTAAACAAGCTTAGCAAACTTGTAGAGACAGTTGTCTTAATTCTGAAACAATAGTTGGTCAAAAATGAACAATTAATTATATCTCGTTATTTCAGATGCGAAACCAGGGTGATGTTAAAGGAATGAAGGAGGTGTGATAGACCTTTAGGCATGGACATTCTTGTAGATGTGGAGATCTCGAGAATCATTTTCTCACTTAACATGAAGATAATAACATGTAGCCTTAAACTCAAAATAAAAATCATATTACATGAATCTATCTGGCCTGTTTCACATTTCAAAGATAAAATGAATTGATATTCTTCCACATTTTTTCACCATTTTGAGCACTTTCCTAGTGATTTCGGGGCGAAGTTGTTAATTGTAAACCCCTTGGATTTTTGAAAAATGAACCCTCCCCAACCCCATTGGCAAAAACTGGTTACTGGCCTGGATTAATTAAATTAAAAATGTATATTGTGTTCTATATTACGCAGCACAATACTTATATTTTCATAGACTATATATTTTCAAAATGTAAAAACTTTAAGGTTTGAATAAAAGAATATTTATTATATAACTGTATGCAATATTGTTTTGTGGCGGTATATTTGGAGAACATTAAAGGGGGAATGTCGCCTAGGTTTCTCCCCTAGACAATCATTGATCTCCCATTATAATTGCTCATATAATATCTTATCTACCTAAGATATATCTTGAAACAAATTGAGGGCACAGTATCGCCGATGTATTGAGAAAATCAACAGAACAACCATCAGAACAACCAACTGTCGGATAAAACACAATTAGTCCAAAGCAACATACAACTGTTTTGTCTACATTATGAAACCCTTGAAAGTAACAAATAAAACTAAGTGTTAAGTCGAAAGATAACAAGAAATGTTTAATGATGTTTTTTAATTTCATTTTAACTTTATTACTAGCCAGTAGAAAAGTAATTTCTATGAACAATCATCAAATTGATCGCGCAACGATTTAGTTGAAGCATCAAAGTTGGAAAGTAGATAGACTCGAAGGCATATACTGTACTCTTGGAAATATTTCGCGTTTTTCGCGAGTTTTGGAAAATATAATTGTCGCGAAATTCCAATAGTTCTAATTCGCAAAATATAATAGTCGCGAAATTTCCTGGAATTTATTTCACTCAATGTAAACGATATTTTTGCTCAGAGCTGAGTGAAAAAGAGAGGCAGTACTATTTTATTTACTGTAGGTTTTTAAAGATTTTAATCAAAGAAATTAGAAAAGCTGGGAAATTATAGAGAAGTCACAAATCTGAAAAAATAATAGCCACAAAATATAATAGCGTCGAATATAAGTTAACGAGGCGTATAGCCGTTTTATTTTTTCGTGAAGCCACTCAGTAAAATAACGATTTCTCTGCAACCTGATGTCCAATCAAGATCATTCAAGTATCTATGTGTTCCTGACACGTTTGGGCGTCCGGAAATAATAACGTCTACCCAAAGTTTACATGCAAAATTTAAGTAATTCATGATTGAAATCGGGAAGACAAAATTTGAGATTCACAAACAGATTGTGAAAACTATTTACAAAAGTGTTCCAGAGACTCTAATCTCCTTGGCTAAGGTTTTATTTGAAGATACATTGCCTTATTAAGCAAATAGAGGGTAATACAAAACACGGAAGCAAATGCTATGTTGAAAATTTTCTATATTTCAGTTTGAACATGTTATTAAATGTCACGTGCTCAGTGATTTACATGGGGATTTTATGTACTTTACTTGTTTACATGAACGTAAATCATAACATGAAATCTGCAGTCTTCCGGGTTTTATCTGGGTTTGTATTGTCTTATTGGGGCTTTTCGACTTTTCGAAAACCTAACCTAAATGGATTTGTGTCTCGGGAACATTTTTGTAAATAGTTATCATAAACAATTCTGAAAGAATATCACATATTTTTATCTTCCCGATTTTAGTCATGAATTACGTCAATTTCGCGTCCAAACATTGGGTAGACGTTGTCATTACCGGATGCCCAAACGTGTCAGGAACACATAAATACTCTAATGATGTTGATTGGACATCAGGGTGCAGAGAAATCGTAATTTTACTAAGTGGCTTCACGAAAAAATAAGCAGCACTTTAAGGCCTTGTTAGAGTACGGTATAATAGTAAAAATGATATACCTGCCATCTTTTATACAGCACAATGTTTTTCACTCACTGTGAAGTACAGGAGTTCCATGGTCAGCACCATACTATCCTCTACCAATAATAACATACGTTCTAAAGAAAGAGTAAGGATAGATTGTGCTGATCATAAGGCCTAAAGATATCAAGAACTTATTAGTTTCGGGTATCCACTTTTTCCAGTTAAGCGTACACATTTAATCATTGTTATGATTAGAGTATCCATTTGAGAATGCCCTGTTCCAATTTCAATATATGGCTTTTTAAATTGAGGTTTGTTGTGCTTAGTATGGCCAGACCACTTTAGGCAGGGGGCGGGAGCAATCACTCCCCCCTGACCAGAAATTCTTTCAAAATTATTGAGTCAACCTTTCACCATTCTTAGCCCTTTGGCAAAAGTTCCCGCCTTTGTAAAGCCACCCCCTTCGGTAAAAGCTGGCTACTGGCCTGATGGCTGGTGCAGTAACACACAGTCAATCAATTTAGCACATTAATTGAAAGTCTTCCTATGAAAGCCCTATTGCACTGGCACTCTTTCAAATTCAACACACAATCAATTTAGAAAAAAAGAAAATCAACTCCTAGTAACAACAAATTCAACCACCTTATCAAATCATGATCCTTTAACATAATCGATTCTGTCAATGATGCTACCATCCTCCAAACACAGGCCTCTAGAACTTGAACGAAGGAAGGCAGTGGGTGATGTCTGGAGCCCTGTGTTCGGAGAATGTGATGTTATAAACTGGCACACTTGGTAACTCTGGCCTGCTATGAGAGCCCAGAGCATACAAAGGATCATAACAACTCTGTCAAGAAAGGTATCACCTAATAAAAGTCTTTATTGTGATCAACAAAAATAAAGTTTCTAGGTGTCAAACAATTTTGGGTTACATGCATGTACAGTCGTTTCATTTTACTTCAATTTAACTTCTCACATTTGTTGGTTAGTATGTGTTCATGTCTACTTAGCTTAACGATGTTTTTGGATTATTAAGGAATGCATGGACAAAAGAAGAAGGAATATTATGAAACCTGTACAGTATTCAGGGGACAGCCATGGTCAAATATTAATGTGTAGAAATTCTCCGTTACAGTCAACAATATTTATCCTCCATAATATTCAAGACTGATAACTTAAAAAAATAACTTTTTGGTTAATCATTTTTCTCGTGCTAGGAGGTTTGATCAGATGTTCATGTTTTTGTAACTTGTCAGAAAAAGTAAATTTTAACATTTCTTTGCGATCCTTAATGGGATATGAACTGTCATGGCGCAATCCAGAGATATTGCCAAAAAATACCTAGAAATCGTTGCCTTTAAGGGTTGGATCTGAAAACGAAGAGGAGGGGGCGGGGCACAAAATCTTTAAGTGGGTCCTAGTTTTGAATTTTGGGCCCCAAATCAAAAAGCCCAATAATGCTAGTTTGTTAAAAAGAATTGCCCAACTTAGCAAATAATGGGCCCCTGCCCCCCCCCCAGATCTCCCAGTGCTTTATACTGAATGTTTACGATTTGCAAAGACTTTATTGGTCATGGTTCAAGTATCAAAGTAATGTTTAGAGTATTGAGAATCCACTGAGGCCAAAAGTAACCATAGGTGATATGTAATACATATACCAAATCAATGAATATGACCAAATAAAAACCTAAAGTACAAATTGGAAATCAAAAGAGTTACTGCATTTCCAGTCTCATAACTGAACAGGGGATTTTTCAAAGAGGGGTGCGACTACATGCACATTTGCTTCGAACAAATCTGCACATTGAGTGGCAGATAACCTGTTTTCTTTGAAAATTGGCTCAAAAAGGAGATAAGGTTGCACCAAACGTACCCTCTTGTTGGCACCCATGGTGAATGTTTCCAATAGATACAGTAACGCTGGCTGTGTGCTCCATGCTGGCAAGACTCTCTAACTCCAAGTGATACAGTACACAACGCAACTGTGCTTCACTCAAGCAGAAAAAAAAGAAATAACACTAGCGATTTGGGTTTACGAAAAGATCCAACGTCGACCTTCGACCACCGACCAGTCATTCTTCACAGTTAGGTACACGTTGTCGGTGGTCGGCTGTCGGTCTTTTACACAAAGATGAATAAGTGAAAACTTAAAAGCTTGTAAAAGCTAAGAATCCAATGACTATTAGTACCTTTACAAAGTCGTGATTAAAGTTAAACCATTCTAAAACACGATGGAAAACGCACATGAAAAACGTAATGTTTAAACATTAAAGTTGCTCCGATTTGATGGAAAAACTTTCTAAAGTCCGTTTACACCCCCCTTAAATGATTGATGAGTGCCTACCGGGTGCGAGGTCGGGCCCAGCCAGGTGTGCACCTCTTGCCCCATCAACTGTGATATACACAGTGGAACACCCGTGACAGTACACCTTCCCCAAGGTTGGTGCCTGGCGTTTGTTGGTAGTTAAATTAACACCAATGCAGGCATCATCAATTGGTCAAAATAATAATTTACAAGAGAGTTGCAGGTTTGACACTGTGCATTCACTCATTGTAACATCGTCGTGGTCTGTAATGTCATATTTTCAAGTGATGTCTCACTTGTTAAAATACCAATTTCATTCTGGTTAGTCACTTTGGATCATGATGAGAAAACATAACATTACATTATGTTCAGTATGAAAATAACAAAAACACACACTAACCAGAGACACATAAATATATTCCTCTATTTTAATATTTTATATGTCTCTGCACTAAATTGTCGGTCTTTTATAAAATGACATCGCCGCCTTATTAAGGAATACGTAATGCCTGATTTTTTAGTTGTTAAACGTCAATCTGATGAAACTTAAATTCAATAGCTTTCCAATAGTGTGTTTAAATGGTTTGTCACATTTGATCCTGGGCAAGAGAATGCATGTAACATTACTGCCATCGTGTTGAGTAATCAGTATGACAATAACAAACCATTTTTAATAGAAATACGTAATTTTCATTAGATATACTGGGGGGCTATACTCTAGGGCTAAATCATGCAGTTTTTTTCACCATTCTGACTATTTTTTGAGTAATTT